CATTGAAATTGAGAGGAACAAGAATAACTTTAATCGCTCTGACAGCTACAGGCTTAGTGCGGCCTGGAAGCGTATTATTAAATAATACACATTACATTTTGATTAAAGAATTACTAATCTACAACTCATTACTAATCATAACCAATGACTGATTACTAATCGATTATATAATTACAATACCCCCCCCCCTCCGCCTCTAATCACTGCACCTGATATGAGTTAAGTGATGACGTCACCCTGCTGCTCTATATAAAACCGGGAGCAAGCGAGGGCTTTACCATTCTGGCGAATTGCCCGATGATGCTGGATGTATTTACCAGCGAAACGTCGTACTCAAACTGTAAATGTTGTGGATTCACTCTTCAACACACCGGTGGGCTAAAGTAGTGAATTATTTGTCTTTTGTCAACGTGACACTTTTTTTGCTGATTGGCCGTGTCAGGTGGTGGAGGGTTACGACACATTTATAAATAAACGCGATCTAACCCAAAAACCTTTATTATGAATAATATTGGTCGCGAAAGCCTACGTGTTAAATTGTGCCATGATGTTTTCCTGGCTGAGGGATTTTCCCTCCCCCAGGACCTCACAGAAATGCTCAACAAATCTGCAAAACCTGTTCCTGGGGGTCGGAGATTGGATCACCGTTTTTTCCTCTAATGATGGTAATAGGTGTGGCGCTGTAGGTTACTTTTTTAATGGAGTTAAATAGAGATTTGTGATCACGGGCCACTGAGGCAGACTCCATCCCCTCAGCAACCCGCGACCACCAACCATCCTTGCAGCGCCTCACGGCTCTCCGAACCTCCGAGCGAAGGCTGCGGTAAGCCTCCTCATTCTCTGACGTGGGATTCTGTAGCCGATGACAGTGGGCCTGTCGCTTTTTCTCAACCATCCTGAACACCTCCTCTGTCAGCCAGGGTCTCTGGGGAGGTCTGGACCGCGTACCTAAAGCAGCCATTGCAGCTGCATGAGTCACAGTCCTAAACCTCGCCCATTTACCCTCGACATCAGGAGGAGTCGGGGACGATGCCAATTCCAGCCGCAAGCGATGATGAAATTCTCGCTTGCAACTTTCATCAGATAACTGAGACCAGGCCACTTTAGGTCGGAATGGGGTCCTGGGTGTACACCCACCACCGGAGTGGAAGAATGGCAGGCGCATCGTACAGATGACTAGTCGATGGTCAGAGGGCAGATCAGCTCCACGGTAGGTCCTGGTGTCAAGGACATGGGCTCGCATCTGCTGGTCCGTCACTATGTAGTCCAACAGATGTTTTTGCTTGGACCCGGCATGCATCCATGATGTTGTGTGGATGCACCGATGCCGGAACAGCGTGTTGGTAATTACAAGCCCATTGGCGGCACAAAAATATTGCAGCCTCCTACCGTTGTTATTGAGCTGATCTGGCCCATGCCCTCCAATCACTCCAGACCAGGTGCCAGTATCATGACCAACTCGGGCATTGAAGTCACCCAACATGATGACTCTATCCCGAGGGGCCACTTTAGCCAGCACCTGTGATAGGAGGTTATAGAAGGCATCTGACTCATCGGCTTTACCTGCATCCCTCCACGGATGTTCATCTTCGGTGGGGGCATAAGTAACCATGACCACTATTCCTCGCCTCCGGTTGATGGGAAGGCGAGCCCAAAGTAGCCTGGGGCTTACAGCTTCCCACACCTCACCGCCACGCTCCCACGCCCCCTTCATTCTTTTGTTCAAAAGAAGAGCCACACCCTGTTGTTTGGCAGTCTGCTGCCCCGAGTAGAGGACTGTCCACCCCTCATGGTGGCAGGAGCCAGAGCCAGTCCACCGGACCTCCTGAATGCCGCATAGTTCCAGGCGGTACCTATCCAGCTCCCGACAGAGGAGTGGCAGCCTCTCCTCCGCAGTGAGCGTTCGAACATTCCACGTAGCCACCCGTAGTGGCTTTTCGTTGTTTCTGAAGTAGGTATTCAATCTCCTGGCTCCGCAAATTGGGGTTTGGCCCGGAGACGTCATAGACGCCTGGCCCCCCGGGGCCTCCGGCACAAGCTTATTAGTTGCATATTTCAGTTTAACTCGTGGTTTCGTGGTAATTAATTGAAGGTGGAGGGGTTACCAGCCCCTCGCACCCGTCCAGAGCCCCCGTTTAGCCCCTGTGGTGGACACATATGCCATGAGGGGAGGAGCCAATCAAAATTGGATCTCGCCCCACAGCACTGTCCACGACAGAGTTGCCCATCCGGCACCGCGAGGAGGTAGGGGGTTGTTTTGCCGGACACACTAAAACACACACACACACCCACTAAAACACACACACACACACCTGCAATGCTTACAACTCTGCCGCATGCAACGGAGTCATTTATATTTGGGGCAGTCCATAAATGACGTCACGCACCTAGGGGTGGTGGGGGCGGGTTTGAGAAACGTGACGTCACATCAAAATGCGCAACTTTATAAATAAATATAGACACAACACGTTCTAACTTAATTAAACAGACTTTGTAATAAATGTTCTCTCCTACAACATCAAAGTGCAGCAGCGCCGCATTAAACACGCGACTACAACGACAACAATAGTTTAAAGCGATTTGAAGCAAGTTTTATTCATTTTTTTGGGGGGGGGGGGGGCGGAGCTTTGTGACGTCATATGTGAGGGGGGTCTGGCTGTGACATCATGTGACTAAGAGGGAGGGGGGAAGGGTCAAAAATCATCCAAACTCGCGTGACGTCATTTATGTACGACCCCAAAGACAAAGACTCCCCTCCCCCCCCAGTGTAGCCTCTAGCTGTAGGCGGGGCAAGTGCTGTTAGCGAGCGGCACGGTACACGATGGGGGTGGGCGGGTGGCTACCAGCACCACGCCCGGACACAGTTCCATAGTTTTATTTATTTATGTTGGTAGAGCCCCTGTGAGCCATTCGGCTCTTGAATCGGGTGCAACCGCAACAAACACAAAAACGACAAAAACACGAACAATAAGAAACACCTTAAAGTGACTTTGTGTGTGACTGTGTGACCGTGCAAACAGAAAATCCAGGGGGGAAAAAAGAAACCAGCAAAATTCCTGGAAAAAAATCACCGTACACCACTAACGCTGTGTGCAAAAAAATCCCAGTGGGATGCAAGTCAAACAATAACCACAACAAGAACCACAAGACAACCAAGATTAACTCCGTACTACAATAAACAAAAACACGGCCAAAAACCCCAAAAAACGTTTTCGAAATCACCAAAATAAAAGCCGTAAATGCAACGTAGCAGTGATCACAGGGACCGTGACCGAATTTTTAACCAATAAACTACGTAAATAAATAATAACACCAAAATCTAGAGCCATATTTCAGGCCACTGAATAGCGGCGGCAGCTAGGTGTGTAACAACTCCTCTAGAGCAGTTTTGAGTGAAGATCTCTCATAGGTATTTACATTATGAGACCTCCTTTGCCAGAAACAAGATATAGGAATAGGTTTTACCCTTTTAACTGGCACAAAAACTGACACCTTTATTCAAGGCATCATGTCTGCAATAACCACAACACAAGCAGTCAAAATGCAAACAAAAAAGACAACTCTGATAATGATATTGGCACTGTCCTTGAATTTGATTGGTCCACACCAGAGACGGCTTTTCTTAGAGCCCTTAAGTCTCCACTGGTGTTGGACCAGAAGACGCCAAAAGGCGTACAACTCAAAAACAGCGCACTATCAGAGTATTGAGGGCTCGGGGTGAGCATTTACATTATGAGACCTCCTTTGCCAGTAACAATATATAGGAATAGGTTTTACCCTTTTAACTGGCACAAAAATCTAATTCAAGGACAGTGCCAATATTATTATCAGAGTTGTCTCTTTTTTGTTTGCATTTTGACTGCTTGTGTTGTGGTTATTCCAGACATGATGCCTTGAATAAAGGTGTCAGTTTTTTGTGCCAGTTAAAAAGGTAAAAACCTAATACTATCTCATAGGTAGCGATTCAAGTTGCAGTTTATTGGCGATAGCATTCCAGACCCTGGGGGCATCAATAGCAAAGGCCCTTCCTCCGGTTTTTGTACGGCAATAGGGAATGTGAAGCTGGTAAATGAGCGAAGACCCGAGGTCAAATTTGCCTCCCACGTGACTCATTTGAGGCTGAGTCCACCTTGGAGGAGGCCCAGGACCGGTGCAGATTTTTCCTCGGGCTCACGGGCAGCAATTCGACAGGAATCGATTAACCGGTGACTCCAAATGAGTCACCGATTAATCGACAATTCAGTTCGAAGCGAACAAATGGAGCGATTAATCGGCGATCCGATAGGAATCTATTCATCGGCGAATCGACAGGAATCGAATTTTCTAGCAACGCAGTGTGGAGAATCGAGTCGCGCGGCGATCGATTTCCGCCCGCGCGCTGTCGTGGATCGATTCGCGCGGATCGATTGCAGGGGTTGCGTTCGGTTGTCCTGAATCGAATCGAGACGCGCGATGGCATCGACGCACCCGGTTTAGTGATTTTGGAATCGATAGTCTGCCAGCACAATGAGTTCAGCGCAGTGAAGAATGGGCATGGCCCGAAACGTCGCCTATCACATTCGTTTTGTTCATAATGACTGAGCACGGAGCGCGTCGAGGAGTTATTTTCAGTGCAGCTGCAGCGGGTTGGAGACAAAGCAACCCTCGGGGAATCGAAAACCTGAGCAGATTTTATATAAGGCATCGGAGTCGACGAATCGATACGTGGGTCATTTGCATAAACTACGCAACTTCCGGGGAGCTCGTGCGCTCGCTCCACGTGTGGGGAGAGAGCGGAGAGAGTGGAGAGTGGGGAGTGTGGGGAGAGTGGAGAGTGTGAGGAGTGTGGGGAGAGTGGAGAGTGTGAGGAGAGTGGGGAGAGTGGAGAGTGTGAGGAGTGTGGGGAGAGTGGAGAGTGTGAGGAGAGTGGGGAGAGTGAGGAGAGAGTGAGAGGAGAGAGACTGGGGAGAGAGCGGGGAGAGTGGAGAGAGCGGGGAGAGAGAGGAGAGTGAGGAGTGTGAGGGGAGTGGGGAGAGGAGTGTGAGGAGTGTGAGGGGAGTGTAAGGAGTGTGAGGGGAGCGTGAGGGGTGTGAGGTCTTTAGAAATGCGCCGCACGGTGCCCGGGACGCGACGCGGGGCCCGAGGGAAGCCGCGTGAGTGAAACACTCTCACAGTGAAACACTCTCACAGTGAAACACTCCCACAGTGAAACACTCCCACAGTGAAACACTCTCACAGTGAAACACTCTCACAGTGAAACAATCCCACAGTGAAACACTCCCACAGTGAAACACTCTCACAGTGAAACACTCTCACAGTGAAACACTCTCACAGTGAAACACTCTCACAGTGAAACACTGTCACAGTGAACACTCCTAGTGTAACACTCTCACAGTGAAACACTCTCACAGTGAAACACTCTCACAGACTAACGCTGAGCCCTGTGTGAGCCTCACAGACTAACACTGAGCCTCACAGACTAACATTGAGCCTCACAGACTAACACTGAGCCTCACAGACTAACATTGAGCCTCACAGACTAACACTGAGCCTCACAGACTAACACTGAGCCTCACAGACTAACACTGAGCCCTGTGTGAGCCTCACAGACTAACGCTGAGCCCTGTGGGAGCCTCACAGACTAACACTGAGCCCTGTGTGAGCCTCACAGACTAACACTGAGCCCTGTGGGAGCCTCACAGACTAACGCTGAGCCCTGTGTGAGCCTCACAGACTAACACTGAGCCCTGTGTGAGCCTCGGACTAACGCTGAGCCCTGTGTGAGCCTCACAGACTAACACTGAGCCCTGTGGGAGCCTCAGAGTCTTGCTCTATGAGCCCCTGTGATGAAGAGATCCTCGCTAACCCTGGACACTGTTTTCCTGCAGTGAGTTTCCGTCATGGGAATGTGGACAGCTCAGAAGAGGACGACTCAAGCTCCGAGAGTGAGGAGGAAAATGTGGTAAGAGCTTCGTTGGGATTTCTGTCGGATGGCCAATCCCACTGCCTGAATGCATAAGGGTGGGTGAGTGGGTGATTGGGTGGGTGGGTGAGCAAATGTGTGGGTGAATTGGTGAGTAGATGAGTGGTTGAGTGAGTGATTGGGTAAGTGTGTGGGTGAATGGGTGAGTGGGTGAGTGAGTGATTGGGTAAGTGTGTGAGTGAATGGATGAGTGGGTGAGTGAGTGATTGGGTAAGTGTGTGGGTGAATGGGTGAGTGGGTGAGTGAGTGAGTGATTGGGTAAGTGTGTGAGTGAGTGATTGGGTGTGTGGGTGAATGGGTGAGTGGGTGAGTGAGTGATCGGGTAAGTGTGTGGGTGAGTGAGTGATTGGGTAAGTGTGTGGGTGAGTGGGTGAGTGAGCTACTGAGTGGTTGAGTGAATGATTGGGTAAGTGTGTGGGTGAATGGGTGAGTGGGTGAGTGAGTGAGTGATTGGGTAAGTGCTTGGGTGAATGGGTGAGTGAGTGATTGGGTAAGTATGTGGGTGAATGGGTGAGTGGGTGAGTGAGCTACTGAGTGGTTGAGTGAGTGATTGGGTAAGTGTGTGGGTGAATGGGTGAGTGAGTGATTGGGTAAGTGTGTGGGTGAATGGGTGAGTGAGTGATTGGGTAAGTGTGTGGGTGAGTGATTGGGTAAGTGTGTGGGTGAATGGGTGAGTGGGTTGCGGCATTGGTGAGTGGGTGGTTCAGTCATTGGGTTAGGTTAGGGAGCTGGGTGAGTGGGTGATTTAGTGAGTTTGTGTGGTTGTAATAGTGAGTGGCTGAGTCGGTGAATGAGTGGTTGATTTGGTGAGTGGGTGAGCGAGAGGGTGGGTGAGCGATTGGGTAGGTGAGCGAGTGGATCATGGGTGGGTGAGTTAGCGGGTGGGTGAGCAGGTAGGTGAGTGGATGAGTAAGTCGTTGATTGAGTGACAGGGTGGGTGAGCGAGTGGGTGGACGTGTGGTTGAATGCGAGTGGGTGAGTGAGCTGGTGAGTGGCTGGTCGATCGAGTGGGTGAGTGGGTGGGCGTGTGGTTGAGTGGATGGACGTGTGGTTGAGTGAATGGGTGGGTGTGTGGTTGAGTGTGAGTGGGTGAGTGAGCTGGTGAGTGGCTGGGTGATCGATTGGGTGGACGTGTGGGTGAGTGTAAGTGGGTGAGCGAGCTGGTGAGTGGCTGGGTGATCGAGTGGGTGAGTGGGTGGACGTGTGGGTGAGTGGGTGGACATGTGGTTGAGTGTGAGTGGGTGAGCGAGCTGGTGAGTGGCTGGGTGATCGAGTGGATGAGTGGGTGGACGTGTGGTTGAGTGGATGGACGTGTGGGTGAGTGGGTGGACGTCTAGTTGAGTGTGAGTGGGTGGCTGAGTGAGTGGCTGGGTGATCGAGTGGATGAGTGGGTGGACGTGTGGTTGAGTGGATGGACGTGTGGGTGAGTGGGTGGACGTCTAGTTGAGTGTGAGTGGGTGGCTGGGTGATCGAGTGGATGAGTGGGTGGACGTGTGGGTGATTGGGTGGACGTGTGGTTGAGTGTGAGTGGGTGGCTGAGTGTGAGTGGGTGAGTGAGCTGGTGAGTGGCTGGGTGATTGAGTGGGTGAGTGGGTGGACGTGTGGTTGAGTGTGAGTGAGTGGCTGGGTGATCGAGTGGGTGAGTGGGTGAACGTGTGGGTGAGTGGGTGGACATGTGGTTGAGTGTGAGTGGGTGGCTGAGTGAGTGGCTGGGTGATCGAGTGTTTGAGTGGATGGACGTGTGGTTGAGTGGGTGGGTGTGTGGTTGAGTGTGAGTGGGTGAGCGAGCTGGTGAGTGGCTGAGTGATCGAGTGGGTGAGTGGGTGGACGTGTGGTTGAGTGTGAGTGGGTGGCTGAGTGATCGAGTGGGTGAGTGGATGGACGTGTGGTTGAGCGTGAGTGAGTGGCTGGGTGTGAGTGGGTGAGTGGGTGGACGTGCGGTTGAGCGTGAGTGGGTGGCTGGGTGATCGAGTGGGTGGCTGGGTGATCGAGTGGGTGAGTGGGTGGACGTGTGGTTGAGTGTGAGTGGGTGGCTGGGTGGGTGGCTGGGTGATCGAGTGGGTGAGTGGGTGGACGTGCGGTTGAGCGTGAGTGGGTGGCTGAGTGAGTGGCTGGCTGGGTGATCGAGTGGGTGAGTGGATGGACGTGTGGCTGAGTGCGAGTGGCTGGCTCAGTGAGTCTCCCTCTGCCCCAGGTTTTCTCACCCAAGGTGGAGCGACAGTTTTACCGAACTCTGTCCCTGCTGAAGAAGCGAGACCCCCGAGTCTACGAGCAGAGCGAGCGCTTCTACGATGACGAGGCCGAGGATGAGGGTGGGTTGAGTCTGCGTGCACGTGCGCGTGCACCCACACTAAAACTCGCCTCATGAAACTATTTTGTTCTTATGCGGTTTTATTTAACTAACTCACTCTCTATGAGACCTCCTTTGCCAGTAACAAGATATAGTAATAGGTTTTACCCTTTTAACTGGCACAAAAAACTGACACCTTTATTCAAGGCATCATGTCTGCAATAACCACAACACAAGCAGTCAAAATGCAAACTAATAAAGACAACTCTGATAATAATATTGGCACTGTCCTTGAATTTGATTGGTCCACACCCGAGACAGCTTTTCTTAGAGCCTAGTCTCCATTGGTGTTGGACCAGAAGACGCCAAAAGGCGTACAACTCAAAAACAGCGCACCATCAGAGTATTGAGGGCTCGGGGTGAGCATTAACATTATGAGACCTCCTTTGCCAGTAACAAGATATAGGAATAGGTTTTACCCTTTTAACTGGCACAAAAAACTGACACCTTTATTCAAGAAAAGCCGTCTCGGGTGTGGACCCATCAAATTCAAGGACAGTGCATATTATTATTATCAGAGTTGTCTTTTTTGTTTGCATTTTGACTGCTTGTGTTGTGGTTATTGCAGACATGATGCCTTAAATAAAGGTGTCAGTTTTTGTGCCAGGTAAAAGGGTAAAACCTATTCCTAACTCACTCTCTTGGTATACTTATGTCATGCTGATGATGACAATAACTATATTATATCATTAAAAATAAAAAAAAATACATTTAAACATTATTTTGTATACATTATGTCCACGCTCAACTGACGTTGGCTTTAAATGACCACGGTCCCCTTACGTCGTGGCGAGCTTCGGAGTCACTTCCTGGAGTCGTGGAGGTCGCCATTACTCGTACGGTACATTTCATTAAGGCGTGTTTTTAATGAATAATTTCTAAATAATACTTTTTTTTTTACCATACAAGTTCCTCCACTACGACCTGTCACATCGCAAACGATAGCTGCTTAACGAAGTGGCGGCGTATCATCATCAGCATCATCAGCATCATCGTCGTCGTCGCGTGGAAATTCACATCAGCTGCCGAATACTCTTGAACGGGTGGCAAATGTTGATTTTAAATGTGGAGGGGACAACCCAGAGGGACCCGGAAGACCATTTACGACCTCCTGCGCACCAGGCGAAGGAGTTAACATATCCTAGCCACCGTGATGATGATGATGATGAGAATCACAGACTCCACATAGACCTCCTGTAGACCAGGCGAGGTAGTTAACATCTCCTAGCCACCGTGATGATAATGAGAGAGGCACAGACTCCACATAGACCTCCTGTAGACCAGGCGAGGGAGTTAACATCTCCTAGCCACCGTGATGATGATGATGTTTGGAGTCACAGCGCTGCGTTTAGGGTGCCGGGCAGTGAACCCGGCAGACACCTGAGTTCGATTCCCACTCGCGGCCACCGCCAAAACGAGCGCTTGCCCCCAACAGTAGTGGAGGCTACACGGTTGGTCTTTGTGTGAGCATTACCGTCAGAACTTCGATCCATTGTCGATTTTCTGGGTTAGACCATGTGACACTGACCTGGCCGCATTTGTGTTGCAAGACCTCCACCACACGACACAGCCATACAAATCGCAGCGCACGAAGCGTTTTAAACGGCTCGGTGATGGAGAGGAACTCGCAGATTTATTAGTGAACAATCCCTCACCCATTCAACCATTCACTCACCCAATCACACAGTCACCCACTCAACCACTCGCTGTTGTGTCTGTGTGTGCGTGTGTCTGCGTGTGTCTGTGTGTGCGTGTCTGTGTGTGCGTGTCTGTGTGTGCGTGCGTTGCAGACAATGACATGAAGGCCGATAGCGAAAAGAGGAATTCCAGGCGTGCAGAGCGAACTCCCCTGTACATCCACGATTACGAGAGGAAAATCATCCTGGAGCAAGAGGGGTGAGTCCTTTATTTAGCCAGGTGGAGCGGCTCCCACTGAGATTCACTGTCTCTAGTGACTGACGTCCTTTATTTAGCCAGGTGATAGCCCACTAAGATTCACCGTCTCTAGTGACTGACGTCCTTTATTTAGCCAGGTGATAGCCCACTAAGATTCACCGTCTCTAGTGACTGACGTCCTTTATTTAGCCAGGTGATAGCCCACTGAGATTCACCGTCTCTAGTGACTGACGTCCTTTATTTAGCCAGGTGATAGCCCACTAAGATTCACCGTCTCTAGTGACTGACGTCCTTTATTTAGCCAGGTGATAGCCCACTAAGATTCACCGTCTCTAGTGACTGACGTCCTTTATTTAGCCAGGTGAGAGCCCACTGAGATTCACCATCTCTAGTGACCGACGTCCTTTATTTAGCCAGGTGAGAGCCCACTAAGATTCACCGTCTCTAGTGACTGACGTCCTTTATTTAGCCAGGTGATAGCCCACTAAGATTCACCGTCTCTAGTGACTGACGTCCTTTATTTAGCCAGGTGAGAGCCCACTAAGATTCACCGTCTCTGGTGACTGACGTCCTTTATTTAGCCAGGTGAGAGCCCACTAAGATTCACCGTCTCTAGTGACTGATAATCCTTTATTTAGCCAGGTGATAGCCCACTAAGATTCACCGTCTCTGGTGACTGACGTCCTTTATTTAGCCAGGTGATAGCCCACTAAGATTCACCGTCTCTAGTGACTGATGTCCTTTATTTAGCCAGGTGATAGCCTACTAAGATTCACCGTCTCTAGTGACTGACGTCCTTTATTTAGCCAGGTGATAGTCCACTAAGATTCACCGTCTCTAGTGACTGATGTCCTTTATTTAGCCAGGTGAGAGCCTCCCACTAAGATTCACCGTCTCTAGTGACTGACGTCCTTTATTTAGCCAGGCGATAGCCCACTAAGATTCACCGTCTCTAGTGACTGACGTCCTTTATTTAGCCAGGTGATAGCCCACTGAGATTCACCGTCTCTAGTGACTGACGTCCTTTATTTAGCCAGGTGATAGCCCACTAAGATTCACCGTCTCTAGTGACTGACGTCCTTTATTTAGCCAGGTGAGAGCCTCCCACTAAGATTCACCGTCTCTAGTGACTGACGTCCTTTATTTAGCCAGGGGATAGCCCACTAAGATTCACCGTCTCTAGTGACTGACATCCTTTATTTAGCCAGGTGATAGCCCACTGAGATTCACCGTCTCTAGTGACTGACGTCCTTTATTTAGCCAGGTGATAGCCCACTAAGATTCATCGTCTCTAGTGACTGACGTCCTTTATTTAGCCAGGTGATAGCCCACTAAGATTCACCGTCTCTAGTGACTGACGTCCTTTATTTAGCCAGGTGAGAGCCCACTGAGATTCACCGTCTCTAGTGACCGACGTCCTTTATTTAGCCAGGTGAGAGCCCACTAAGATTCACCGTCTCTAGTGACTGACGTCCTTTATTTAGCCAGGTGATAGCCCACTAAGATTCACCGTCTCTAGTGACTGACGTCCTTTATTTTGCAAGGTGATAGCCCACTAAGATTCACCGTCTCTGGTGACTGACGTCCTTTATTTAGCCAGGTGATAGCCCACTAAGATTCACCGTCTCTGGTGACTGACATCCTTTATTTAGCCAGGTGATAGCTCACTAAGATTCACCGTCTCTAGTGACTGACATCCTTTATTTAGCCAGGTGATAGCCCACTAAGATTCACCGTCTCTAGTGACTGACGTCCTTTATTTTGCAAGGTGATGGCCCACTAAGATTCACCGTCTCTGGTGACTGACGTCCTTTATTTAGCCAGGTGATAGCCCACTAAGATTCACCGTCTCTAGTGACTGACATCCTTTATTTAGCCAGGTGATAGCCCACTAAGATTCACCGTCTCTAGTGACTGACGTCCTTTATTTAGCCAGGTGATAGCCCACTAAGATTCACCGTCTCTAGTGACTGACGTCCTTTATTTAGCCAGGTGATAGCCCACTAAGATTCACCGTCTCTAGTGACTGACGTCCTTGATTTAGCCAGGTGATAGTCCACTAAGATTCACCGTCTCTAGTGACTGACGTCCTTTATTTAGCCAGGTGAGAGCCTCCCACTAAGATTCACCGTCTCTAGTGACTGACGTCCTTTATTTAGCCAGGTGATAGTCCACTAAGATTCACTGTTTATCTTGTTAGTAATTGGCGATGTTTATTGAACTGGGTTTGTCATCTCAGGAAATACAAAGATGAAGAAGATGAGGATGACGATGTTGATGAAGTCATGAAGCAGGTAATTGGGTGAATGGATGACCGTGTCTCTGGGTTCATAATGACCGTGTCTCTGGGTTCACAATGGCCGTGTCTCTGGGTTCACGATGGCCGTGTCATTCGTCCTGGGTCTGCCCACCCACCCCCACATAGTTGCTATTCGCCGACAGCACTTCCCCAACAGCCTTGATACGTGGCTGCATAGGCGATGTTCTGTACATGTTCTGGACCTGTGCGTGTACGTGTTTGCGTGCGTGTTCGTGTGTGCTTGCAGAGGAGCGCCTCGCCCACCTACATCGAGGAACAGAAGCAGCTGAAAGCCAGGTGAGGCTCCCCCGCTACCCCCACAGACTCGTTAAATCCGCCAATTCGTTACTAGTTCAGCACACCGGTGGTGTTGGAGAATCCAGGATTCTCACGCGAAGAAAAAACACGGCGTGGACAAAGGGTACGCGCAAATTAAAAAAACCACGCGCGTTAAATAAATCGTCATCATCATGGGATATTGTTGCCGGCATCAAAGGGTGTCCAATAGGAATAGGTTTTACACTTCCTGGCGATTAAAACAGGTGTTACGGTGTTCAAACGGCAACCTTTTGCAACCTATTCGTGTTTTTCATTCCTTTATAATGGCAAAAAGATATCTGCTCGACCTGAGCTAAACGTGTTCTGATACTTGCATGGTCTTTGTAGGTTTCACCCTTCAGCGTTATCTGGTCTGACACTGGTAGTGAGACACTAGTCCAACAAAGAAGGTTGTCTGGTGTAGGACAATCAGTTTAAAAGACGATGCATATCTTATTGGACCATACATTTAGATTCAAAGCTTTCGTGACTGCAGGGATTCATATTCTTGGTTTTATCGATAAAGTCACCACCACGTAGAAGGGAAACAATAAAATAATGAAACAATACAATTATCACAACGTTTCGATTGCAACACAAGCGCAATCCTCATCAAGTGTGAAAACCACAGCAATACTTTTTTTTAAGAAAGTGCGTTTTTTTTTTCTTAACGTTAGCACCACGGACAGCAACCGGCAGGTTGTTCAGGACGGACGAGTCCTTCTATGCTCGGAACGGAGGAGGGTGGGGGCTATAAAGAGAATGGAATGTGGTCTGAAAGTCACCGTGAGCATGAAGACAATCAATTAAGAACCCCAGACCATGTTTGTTTGCATGTTCACTTCAAGTACGTGTGGTTAATGCTGACTTGATGAAGGTATCGATTTTGGTGTTAAAACAACTCCTGTTTATATTGCCAGAAAGGGTGAAATCTGTTATTATTATTATTATTATTTTCCCCTCTAAAGTATTTTATTCACAACGATTCAGGTACAAGCAGAGGACATGAAATGGGGGTTAAAATCTAATCTAATTTTTCATCATTTTTGGATACTGCGAGCATAATTCTCATATATCAAAGTACTCGTATATCAGTTGTGATCACGTGACGCTCGTCAGTACAAAGCGTGTACACGCACTACTACTCGTATTGCAAGACCTCGCTCGTATATCAGTTGTGATCACGTGACGCTCGTCAGTACAAAGCGTGTACACGTACACTACTAGTATTGCAAGACCTCGCTCGTACATCAGTTGTGATCACGTGACGCTCGGCAGTACAAAGCGTGTACACGTACTACTACTCGTATTGCAAGATCTCGCTCGTATATCAAATTAATATTTAATTAACATTTTTGCTCCTCTGGCAAAACACTCGCAGGCCAAGTTACTCGCAATCCAAGGTTTTTACTGTATGCCAATTCAGCCGTAAATAATAGTACAGGGACTCCTCAACTTACGAATGAGTTAGTTTCCAGAGGTCTCTGTTCATAAGTCGATTTGTTCATGAGACCAACTTTACTCCCGTCGATTCCAAACATGTTGTACGACATGTACACTAAACACGGGGAATGGCTTTAAAAGTTGTATAATAGCCTGCATATGTAGATGCCACTGGTTCTTCACGTTCTGTAGATGTAGATGCCACCGATTCTTCATGTTCTGTAGATGTAGATGCCACTGGTTCTTCACGTTCTGCAGATGTAGATGCCACTGGTTCTTCGTGTTCTGAAGATGTAGATGCCACTGGTTCTTCGTGTTCTGCAGATGTAGATGCCACTGGTTCTTCATGTTCTGTAGATGTAGATGCCACTAGGTCTTCATGTTCTGCAGATGTAGATGCCACTGGTTCTTCGTGTTCTGCAGATGTAGATGCCACTGGTTCTTCACGTTCTGCAGATGTAGATGCCACTGGTTCTTCACGTTCTGCAGATGTACATGCCACTGGTTCTTCACGTTCTGCAGATGTAGATGCCACTGGTTCTTCACGTTCTGCAGATGTAGATGCCACTGGTTCTTCACGTTCTGCAGATGTATATGCCACTGGTTCATCACGTTCTGCAAATGTAGATGCCACTGGTTCTTCACGTTCTGTAGATGTAGATGCCACTTGTTCTTCACGTTCTGCAGATGTAGATGCCACTGGTTCTTCACGTTCTGCAGATGTAGATGCCACTGGTTCTTTGTGTTCTGCAGATGTAGATGCCACTGGTTTTTCACGTTCTGCAGATGTAGATGCCACTGGCTCTTCACGTTCTGTAGATGTAGATGCCACTGGTTCTTCACGTTCTGCAGATGTAGATGCCACTGGTTCTTCACGTTCTGTAGATGTAGATGCCACTGGTTCTTCACGTTCTGCAGATGTAGATGCCACTGGTTCTTCACGTTCTGCAGATGTAGATGCCACTGGTTCTTCACGTTCTGTAGATGTAGATGCCACTGGTTCTTCACGTTCTGTAGATGTAGATGCCACTGGTTCTTCATGTTCTGTAGATGCCACTGGTTCTTCACGTTCTGCAGATGTAGATGCCACTGGTTCTTCACGTACTGTAAACGTAGATGCCACTGGTTCTTCACGTTCTGCAGATGTAGATGCCACTGGTTCTTCACGTTCTGCAGATGTAGATGCCACTGGTTCTTCACGTTCTGCATATGTAGATGCCACCACCGCCATCTACCGCACGATGGCTGAACTTACGATTCTCGGTTTAATCGGGCAACTGGACATACGGGCAAGTGTCTTCATGTTTCTTCAAGTTCGTGAGTCGAACGTTCCTAAGTCGAGGAGTCCCTGTAATTGAGAGTGGACCGCAGGCCGATGAAGCTGTGCGTCGACTTTGGCGACCGAGAGGAGGAGCCTTGTTGCATGCTCAGTGCTCTGCCTGTGGCCGTTTGCCAAAATCTACCGCTGCCTCTTCCGCTTGCGACAGCTTCAAGAAGTTCATAGATGGCAGCGATGACGACGACGATGCCAGTGGAGGTGGAGCTGATGAAGAAGCAGGAGGAGGAGATGGTGGATTCCTGAAGAAACGCGTCAAGAGCAACGAGGAGAAGGTGAGAAGGTCAGAGGCTCGGAGCCCCGTGTCGTTCCTCCCCACTCCCAGCACCGTCCCCGCCACTCCGTCTCCCTCTCGGTCGCTCTCTGCCGCTGGTTGCCATTCCCCTGTGGTTGCCGTTGAGCTTGACCCGATGTACGTTGGGCTTCTGTCGCACGGTACACAGCCATCCGTGCTAATTGGAGTGTGGGTGAGTGGCTATGTGAGTGGGTGAGTGGGTGAGTGACTATGTGAGTGGGTGAGTGGCTGTGTGAGTGTGTGTGTGTTGAACGTCTATCGCACCATATATGTCTATGGGTCACTATGTGTCTCTAAGGATCTCTATATGTCTGTGTGTCTCTATGTATCTCTATGGGTCTCTATGTATCTCTATGGGTCTCTATGTATCTCTATGGGTCTCTATGTATCTCTATGGGTCTCTATGTATCTCTATGGGTCTCTATGTATCTCTATGGGTCTCTATGTATGTCTATGGGTCTCTATGTATCTCTATGGGTCTCTATGTATCTCTATTGGTCACTGTTCTGCTATCATCCAATCAGTGGGCAGAGTTTGATTGATGTTGATTGGCTGTGGCTCTACGATCACCCAATCAGTGGGCTGAGTTTGATTGATGCTGTTTGGCTGTGGCTCTGCTATCACCCAATCAGTGGGCTGAGTTTGGTTGATGCTGATTGGCTGTGGCTCTGCTATCACCCAATCAGCGGACTGAGTTTGATTGATGTTGATTGGCTGTGGCTCTTCGATCACGGGGTTTGGGGTGGATCTTTGTGTGTTCACGTGTGCAGGAGGAAGAGGAGCTTGATTACCGATTATGGCTGAAAGGCCAAGCTGAGCAGGCGGAAGGAGTGGAGGACATGGTGACTTGCACACAACAACAACAACAACCGCCATTCGCCATTAATTGGCGGTGACGTCACCACCACCACCAGGCCACGTGAAGTGTCGAATGCCCGCTGGCAGGAGGTCACGGGGCAGACCTAGATGCCACGGGTCGACTGACTGAGATGACTGAGATGACCGGCTGATGCACCACCTTTGCCCCCTATTGTGCCAGCCTGCTGTGCTTTAGCCACCCGGCGCTCCGCTCGTTGTGAGCGTCGCTCCTCCGCCCTCCGTTGTTGTTGGAGGGCGACTGCCTCCAACTGCCCAATAGCAGCGTCCTTCACGAGCCTCCTCCACAGAGGCCGATCTTGACACCGCTGGTACCGGTCATCGGCAAGTCCACTCAGCTCCACGTCCTGTACCACGTCACTCCATCTCTTCTCTAGCCCGTGCCACGCCCGTTTAGCCCCCTTGATCTGGCCGAACAAAAGCTGTTTCGGCATGTGGTGGCTGGGCATGCGGGCTACATGACCCAGCCAATGCAGCCTTGCCTACCGGAGGAGCTAACCGATGGGACCTTGCCCAGATCTTTCAAGGATTTGTGAGCTCCTTACACAATCCAGCCTGGTTAAACCCAGGATGGATCATAGGCAGGCCAGCCTAAATGTTTCTAACCGGCGAAGATGTTCCATTATGGAGGTCCACGTTTCGCAAGCGTAGAGAAGGGAGGGAATGACTGTGGCCGAGAAGACCTGAAGCTTCGTGCGGAGCGACAGACCAGGTAGCTTCCATGCAGCGTTATGCAACCGATAAAAAGATAATGCCGCTCGACTGATTCGGAGTGAGACCTCTGCTGTTAAACTGGAGCCGGTCATGAGCACACTGCCCAGGTATGGGAAACTCTCCACTCTCTCCACAACTGCCCCATCACCGATTGGGAGTTGTGGGGGTGGAGTTCCCGATGGTACGAAATACCCAGGCAGGTGCTTCGTTTTAGTGGGGCTGATGGTAAGGCCCCACTACTTAGTGGCATACTCCAGTTTCAGCAGCAGCGCCTCCAACTCCTCCTCTGAGTGAGCCGCAATTACCAAATCATCGGCATATCTAACGTGGTTTAGCAATAGGGAGCCATCCCTTGACCGCACCCGGGCATCGATCAGCCTCCCATTATATCTGTACCATATGGAAATTCCTCCAGTACAGCTATTGAAGGCTTCACAAACTACGTGGTCGAAATAGATGTTAAATAATGTGGGAGCCAGAGGACATCCCTGTCGCACCCAAAGGTGAACAGGGAATGGCTCCGACTCCCGGCCATGTAGTTTTACCCGGGCTTGCTCACCATCATGAAGGTCCTTAATGATCGTGAGCAGAGAGTCAGGGACTCTGAAAGCACGAAGAACAACCCAGAGCCCAAGCTTACTGATGGTATCAGGCCTTGACCAGGTCAATAAAGCAGAGATGTAGGTCTTGTTGGAATTCCCTACACCTCTGCTGTAGCAGATGGACAGAAAATATGGCATCTGTGCAGGACCGCCCTTTCCTGAAACCGCATTGGGGCTCCGCAAGCCTCTCCTCAGCGTGCCTGGCAAGGCGATGTTGAATAATCCTTGCCAGGACCTTTCCCGGCACACTGAGGAGTGAGATGCCCCTGTAGTTGTTACAGTCTATGTGGTCCCCCTTCTTAAAGAGGGGGACCACCAGGGCATCCTTCTAATCCTGCGGAACCCGTCCAGTGGTCCAGACTGTTATGATGTCATATAGGGCAGTCTGTGCACAAACGCCACCCTCCCTCAGCATTTCGCTTGGGAGATCATCTCTGCCCGGTGCCTTTCCTGGTCTCAGACTCTGGATCGCCTTCAGTACTTCCTCAAAAGATGGCACCTCAGCCAGCCACTCACAGGGGGTGACTTCTTCCAAGATTTGAGGCACCGCAGCCTCAGCAGGGTCATCCTCACGTTGTGCCACGATGTTTTCCTGGCTGTGGGATTTCCCCTCCCCCAGGACCTCACAGAAATGCTCAGCAAATCTGCAAACCTGTTCCTGGGGGTCGGAGATTGGATCACCGTTCTTTCCCCTAATGATGGTAATAGGTGTGGCACTGCAGGTTACTTTTTTAATGGAATTAAAGAGCGATTTGTGATCGTGGGCCACTGAAGTAGACTCCATCCCCTCAGCAACCCCCGACCACCACCCATACTTGCAGCGCCTCACGGCTCTCCGAACCCCCGAGCGAAGGCTGCGGTAAGCCTCCTCATTCTCTGACGTGGTATGCTGTAGCCGCTGAGAGTGGGCCTGTCGCTTTTTCTCAACCAGCCTGAACACCTCCTCTGTCAGTCAGGGTCTCTGGGCAGGTCTGGACCGCGTACCCAAAGCAGCCATTGCAACTGCATGAGTCACAGTCCTAAACCTTGCCCCTTTCCCCTCGACATCAGGAGGAGTGGGGGACGATGCCAATCCCAGCCGCAAGCGATGATGAAATTCTCGCTTGCAACTTTCATCAGATAACTGAAACCAGGCCACTTTAGGTTGGAATGGGGTCCTGGGTGTACACCCACCACTGGAGTGGAAGAATGGCAGGCGCATCTTACAGATGACAAGTCGATGGTCAGTAGGCAGATCAGCTCCACGGTAGGTCCTGGTGTCAAGGACATGGGCCCGCATCCGCTGTTCCGTCACTATGTAGTCCAGCAGATGTTCTTGCTTGGACCCGGCATGCATCCATGATGTTGTGTGGATGCGCTGATGCCGGAACAGTGTGTTGGTGATTATAAGCCCATGGGCTGCACAAAAATCTAGCAGCCTCCTGCCGTTGTTATTGAGCTGATCTGGTCCATGTCTTCTAATCACTCCAGACCAGGTGCCAGCAGACCAACTCGGGCATTGAAGTCACCCAACATAATGACTCTATCCCGAGGGGCCACTTTAGCCAGCACCTGTGACAGGAGGTCATAGAAGGCATCTGACTCAGCGGCTTTGCCTGCATCCCTCCACGAATGTTCATCTTCGGTGGGGGCATAAGTAACCACGACCACCATTCCTCGCCTCCGGTTGATAGGAAGGCGAGCCCAAAGTAGCCTGGGGCTTACAGCTTCCCACACCTCACCGCCACGCTCCCACGCCCCCTTCATTATTTTGTTCAAAAGAAGAGCCACACCCTGTTGTTTGGCAGTCTGCTGCCCCGAGTAGAGGACTGTCCACCCCTCATGGAGGCAGGAGCCAGAACAGGTCCACCGGACCTCCTGAATGCCACAGAGATCCAGGCGGTACCGGTCCAGCTCTCGACAGAGGAGTGGCAGCCTCTCCTCCGCAGTGAGCGTTCGAACATTCCACGTGGCCATCCGTAATGGCTTTTCGTTGTTTCTGGAGGAGCCCCGAGGGTAGAGATTCAATCTCCTGGCTCCGCCAATTGGGGTTTGGCCAGGAGACGTCATAGACGCCTGTCCCCCCGGGGCCTCCGGCACAAGCTTATTAATGAAAAATTTCTGTCGTGGTTTAGCGGTAATTAATTGAAGGTGGAGGTGTTACCAGCCCCTCGCGTCCGTCCAGAGCCCCCATTTAGCCATTGTGGTGGTCACAAACGCCATGAGGGGAAAAGCCAAACACAGACAGACACACACACAGACAAAGATCCCCATTATAGCCTGTAACAGACTGTAGGGGCAAGTGCTGTTAGCGAGCACCTATGAAGGCCGGAACGGTACACGAGGGGGTGGGTGGCCAGCACCACGCCCGACCGCCTTTGTCTCCCCAGTGGCGATGTTTACACACCGCACCAGGTACTCATTTGAGGCTGAGTCGACACACAGACACACACAGATACACACACTCGCGTGCAACAGTGCGTGCACACAAGTGATCCGGCCATGTTGAACTCTGCCCAGGACTTCCTGCACACCTACTGGAATGACCCGAGTCTGGACGAGGGCGAGAGATTCCTCAAGGACTACGTTCTCAACCGCAAGTACATCGACCGCGGCAGCCGTGGCGACGAAGATGGTGATGACGGTGATGACGGTGATGGTGACAGTCAGCAAGGGTAAGGTGGCAGTGACGATGATGGTGGTGGTGGTGACGATGATGGTGGTGATGGTGATGGTGGTGATGGTGACGATGATGGTGGTGATGGTGACGATGATGGTGGTGATGGTGACGATGATGGTGGTGATGGTGACGATGATGGTGGTGGCGACGATGGTGGTGGTGGCGACGACGACGATGATGATGGTGGTGGTGGTGATGATGACGATGGTGGTGGTGACGATGATGGTTGTTGTAATGATGGTGGTTGTGACGATGGTGATGGTGGTGACGATGATGGTGGTGGCGACGATGACGATGATGGTGGTGGTGGTGGTGGTGATGATGGTGGTGGTGGTGACGACGTTGATGGTGATGATGATGACGATGGTGGTGGTGACGATGGTGAGGATGATGACGATGGTGGTGGTGACGATGGTGGTGGTGACGATGATGGTGGTGGTGGTGACGATGCATTCTCCAGAACACGCAAGAAGCAGCAGCAGGAGCAGCAGCAGCAGGAGGAGGAGGAGGATGGTGCCGACTCTGAGTGTGAGGAGGAGGGAGAGGAGGAGGGAGAGGAGGAGGCCTTCCTCAAGAAGCAGGAGGAGTTTGAGAGGAAGTTCAACTTCCGCTTCGAGGAGCCTGACGCTCACCTGGTGAGCAGCTAGCACCAAGCGGCCAGCAATGAGCAGCATTGCCACATGATGACTGCTAAACTTTAAACTATTTTAGATTTGCCAGGTAAGGCCCAATTGAGCTCTTTTTCACAAGCGACCTGGCTAATCACAACCGATAGCTCAACTTAGAGGCTCATCATAGAGACCCGTAGAGATACATAGACACATAGAGACACATAGAGACATACAGAGACACATAGAGACACATAGAGACACATATAGACACATAAAGACACATAGAGACACGCAGAGGGACTTAGATACATAGAGACACACAGAGATACACATAGACACACATAGAGACACAGAGACACATAGAGATGCATAGGGACCCATAGAAACCTGTAGAGATACATAGAGACACATACAGTGAGGGAAAAAAGTACTTGATCACCTGCTGATTTTGTACGTTTGCCCACTGACGAAGAAATGATCAGTCTATAATGTTAATGGTAGGTTTATTTGAACAGTGAGAGACAGAATAACAACAAAAAAATCCATAAAAACGCATGTCAAAAATGTTATAAAATTGATTTGCATTTTAATGAGGGAAATAAGTATTTGACCTCCTCTCAATCAGAAAGATTTCTGGCTCCCAGGTGTCTTTTATACAGGTAACGAGCTGAGATTAGGAGCACACTCTTAAAGGGAGTGCTCCTAATCTCAGCTTGTTACCTGTATAAAAGACACCTGTCCACAGAAGCAATCAATCAATCAGATTCCAAACTTTCCACCATGGCCAAGACCAAAGAGCTCTCCAAGGATGTCAGGGACAAGATTGTAGACCTACACAAGGCTGGAATGGGCTACAAGACCATTGCCAAGCAGCTTGGTGAGAAGGTGACAACAGTTGGTGCGATTATTCGCAAATGGAAGAAACACAAAAGAACTGTCAATCTCCCTCGGCCTGGGGCTCCATGCAAGATCTCACCTCGTGGAGTTGCAATGATCATGAGAACGGTGAGGAATCAGCCCAGAACTACACAGGAGGATCTTGTCAATGATCTCAAGGCAGCTGAGACCATAGTCACCAAGAAAACAATTGGTAACACACTACTACCTGCGTCTGCCCCGTGACCTCCTGCCAGTGGGCGTTCGACAATTCACGTGGCCTTAACGTGCACCTAGCCTGGCACAAGCGCCGTGATAACGTGACCGCCACTTAGTGGCGAATGGCAGTTGTTGGTGCGTGTATGTGTGTGTACGTGTGTGTGTATGTATGTGTGTGTGTGTGTACGTGTGTGTGTGTATGTGTGTGTACATGCTTTCTATGACCTCCTGTCACAGGTGCTAGCTAATGTGGCCCCTTGGGATAGAGTCATCTTGTTGGGTGACTTCAATGCCCGAGTTGGTCATGATGCTGGCACCTGGTCTGGAGTGATTGGAGGGCATTGGCCAGATCAGCGCAATAACAACGGTAGGAGGCTGCTAGATTTTTGTGCAGCCCATGGGCTTGTAATTACCAACACGCTGTTCCGGCATCGGCACATCCACGCAACATCATGGATGCATGCCGGGTCCAAGCAAGAACATCTGCTGGACTACATAGTGATGGACCAGCGGATGCGAGCCCATGTCCTTGACACCAGGACCTACCGTGGAGCTGATCTGCCCTCTGACCATCGACTAGTCATCTGTAAGATGCGCCTGCCATTCTTCCACTCCGGTGGTGGGTGTACACCCAGGACCCCATTCTGACCTAAAGTGGCCTGGTCTCAGTTATCTGATGAAAGTTGCAAGCGAGAATTTCATCATCGCTTGCGGCTGGTGTTGGCATCGTCCCCCACTCCTCCTGATGTCGAGGGTAAATGGGCGAGGTTTAGAACTGTGATTCATGCAGCTGCAATGGCTGCTTTGGGTACGCGGTCCAGACCTCCCCAGAGACCCTGGCTGACAGAGGAGGTGTTGAGGATGGTTGAGAGAAAGCGACAGGCCCACTGTCATCGGCTACAGAATCCCACGTCAGAGAATGAGGACGCTTACCGCAGCCTTCGCTCGGAGGTTCGGAGAGCCGTGAGGCGCTGCAAGGATGGGTGGTGGTCGCGGGTTGCTGAGGAGTCTGCCTCAGTGGCCCGTGATCACAAATCTCTATTTAACTCCATCAAAAAAGTAACCTGCAGCGCCACACCTATTACCATCATTAGGGAAAAAAACGGTGATCCAATCTCTGACCCCCAGGAACAGGTTTGCAGATTTGCTGAGCATTTCTGTGAGGTCCTGGGGGAGGGGAAATCCCTCTGCCAGGAAAACATCGTGGCACAAAGTGGGGATGACCCTGCTGAGGCTGCGGTGCCTCAAATATTGGAAGAAGTCACCCCCTGTGACTGGCTGGCTGAGGTGCCATCTGTTGAGGAAGTAATGAAGGCGATCCGGAGTCTGAGACGAGGAAAGGCACCGGGTAGAGACGATCTCCCAAGCGAAATGCTGAGGGAGGGTGGCGTTTGTGCACAGACTGCCCTATATGACATCATAACGATTGGAAGGATGCCCTGGTGGTTCCCCTCTTTAAGAAGGGGGACCGCACAGACTGTAACAACTACAGGGGCATCTCACTCCTCGGTGTGCCGGGAAAGGTCCTGGCAAGGATTATTCAACATCGCCTTGCCAGGCACGCTGAGGAGAGGCTTGCGGAGCCCCAATGCGGTTTCAGGAAAGGGCGGTCCTGCACAGATGCCATATTTTCTGTCCGTCTGCTACAGCAGAGGTGTAGGGAATTCCAACAAGACCCACATCTCTGCTTTATTGACCTGGTCAAGGCCTATGATACCATCAGTAGGCCTGGGCTCTGGGCTGTTCTTCGTGCTTTTGGAGTCCCTGACCCTCTGCTCACGATCATTAAGGACCTTCATGATGGTGAGCGGGCCCGGATAAAACTACGTGGCCGGGAGTCAGAGCCATTCCCTGTACACCTTGGGGTGCGACAGGGATGTCCTCTGGCTCCCACATTATTTAACATCTATTTTGACCACGTAGTTCGTGAAGCCTTCAATAGCTGTAACGGGGGAATCTCCATATGGTACAGATATAATGGGAGGCTGATCGATGCCCGGGTGCGGTCAAGGGATGGCTCCCTATTGCTCAACCACATTATGTATGCCAATGATTTGGTAATAGCTGCTCATTCAGAGGAAGAGTTGAAGACGCTGCTGCTGGGACTGGAGCGTGCCACGAAGAGATGGGGCCTTACCATCAGCCCCACCAAAACTAAGCACCAGCCTGGGTATTTTGTACCATCGGACACTCCACCCCCACAACTCCCAATCGGTGATTGGGCAATTGTGGAGAGAGTGGAGAGTTTCCCATACCTGGGCAGTGTGCTTATGACCGGCTCCAGTTTAACAGCAGAGGTCTCACTCCGAATCAGTCGAGCGGCAATAACTTTTCATCGGTTGCGTAACACTGTGTGGAAGCTACCTGGTCTGTCTCTCCGCACTAAGCTTCAGGTCTTCTCGGCCACGGTCATTCCCTCCCTTCTCTACACTTGCGAAACGTGGACCCCCCTAATGGAACATCTTCGCCGGTTAGAAACATTTAGGCTAGCCTGCCTACGATCCATCCTGGGTTTAACCAAGCTGGATTGTGTGGGAGCTCACAAATTCTTGAAAGATCTGGGCAAGGTCCCATCGGTGAGCTCCTCCGACAGGCAAGGCTGCGTTGGCTGGGTCATGTAGCCCGCATGCCCAGCCACCGCATGCCGAAACAGCTTTTGTTCGGCCGGATCGAGGGGGCTAAACGGGCACGGCACGGGCTAGAGAAGAGATGGAGTGACGTGGTACAGGAGGACGTGGAGCTGAGTGGACTTGCCGATGACCGGTACCAGCGGTGTCAAGATCGGCCTCTGTGGAGGAGGCTCGTGAAGGACGCTACTGGGCAGTTGGAGGCAGTCGCCCTCCAACAACAATGGAGTGCGGAGGAGCGACGCTCACAACAACGAGCGGAGCGCCGGGTGGCTAAAGCACAGCAGGTTGGCACAGTAGGGGGCACAGGTGGTGCACCAGCCAGTCATCTCAGTCATCTCAGTCAGTCGACCCGTGGCACCTGGGTCTGCCCCGTGACCTCCTGCTCGCGGGCGTTCGACACTTCACGTGGCCTGAAGGTGCACATGGCCTGGCACAAGCGTCGTGGTGACGTCACCGCCACTTAGTGGCGAATGGCGGTTGTTGTTGTGTACATGTGTATGTGTGTATTTGTGGGTGTGTGTGTACGTGTGTGTGTACGTGTGTACGTGTGTGTATGTGTGTGTACGTGTGTATGTGTAGGTGTGTAGGTGTGTGTGTGTGTGTGGCGAATACCGGTTGTTGTTGAAGCATCTGAAAGCGCGCAATGCGGTGACCGTCTTTGTTCGACGGTTTGCAAACGGCCGCCGCTGCTGCGTTGAGTTGGCGTGGTGATGACGGTGTCTCACGAGAATCACAGGCAGCTGGTCCTCTCCACAGGTGATTCACCTGTGGAGAGGACAGTTGTCGTTTGTTAGGTTTGTGCCGTGCGATGAGCGCCACTTGACAAACAAATCGAACAACACGCTCATGTCCAAGCAGGCCGTTTGATTAACCGTCGCCCTCCATCCCCCGTGACCAGATCAAGTCCCACCCACGTGCCGTCGCTGCTTCTGTGCGTCGCGCCGACGAGCGTCGCAAGGAGCGCCGGGCCACCGTGAAGGCACGCAAGGAGGAGGTCGGTGCCCCTTCGGCTATGAATTCAACCATACTTATAAACTATAACTAAGCTGTGAAACATAACCATGAACGATAACTTTCAACTATAAATGAAGGGACCTTTTTTGCCAGTATCAAGAATGGATCTCCCCGTGTCTCCCTGCATCTCCCTGAATCTCCCCGTGTCTCCCTGCATCTCTCCTTGTCTCCCCACGTCTCCCGGTGTCTTCTCGTGTCAACCTGCATCTCCCTGAATCTCCCCGTGTCTCCCTGAATCTCCCCGTGTCTCCCTGAATCTCCCCGTGTCTCCGTGCATATCCCCGTGTCTCTCCGCATTTCCCCCGTAACTCTCTGTGTCTTCCCGTGCTTCCCCGCATCTCTCCATGTCTCCCCACATCTCTCCGTGTCTACCCATGTCTCCCTGGGTCTCCCCGTGTCTCCCCACATCTCCGTTTCTCCCTATCCCCCTTGTCTCCCCGTGTCTCCGCCCATCTCCCCACGTCTCCCCACATCTCCCCGTGCATCCCTGTGTGTGCCCGTGTCTCCCCGCGTCTCTCTGTCTCCCCACATCTCCCCGTGTCTCCCCGCATCTCCACGCGTCTCCCCGCGTCTCCCCGCGTCTCCCCGCGTCTCCCCGTGTCTCCCTGCATCCCCCCGTGTCTCCCCGCATCCCCCCATGTCTCCCCGCATCCCCCCGTGTCTCCCCGCATCTCCCCGTGTCTCCCCGTGTCTCCCCGCGTCTCCCTGCGTCTCCCCGCGCGTGCCAGGAGAGACGCCGCAGGCTGGGGGAGGTGGTGCGTCTGCGCTCACTCAAGCGGCGAGCCGTGGAGGATCGCCTCCGCACGATCCACGCGGCGTCGGCGAACGCACGGCTCGGCTCGGAAGGGAATGCGTTGCTCCACGGGGACTTTGACCCGGAGGCCCACGACGCCATCATGGCGGTGGGTTTCACAATTGCCGTGTCGGTTTATTTACAAAGCAATGGCCGTGTCTCTGGGTTCACCGTGTCTCTGGGTTCATAATGACCGTGTCTCTGGGTTCATAATGGCCGTGTCTCTGGGTTCACAATGACCGTGTCTCTGGGTTCATAATGACCGTGTCTCTGGGTTCATAATGACCGTGTCTCTGGGTTCACAATGACCGTGTCACCTGGTTCATAATGACCGTGTCTCTGGGTTTATAATGGCCGTGTCTCTGGGTTCACCGTGTCTCTGGGTTCATAATGACCGTGTCTCTGGGTTCATAATGACCGTGTCTCTGGGTTCATAATGACCGTGTCTCTGGGTTCATAATGGCCGTGTCTCTGGGTTCATAATGACCGTGTCTCTGGGTTCATAATGACCGTGTCTCTGGGTTCATAATGGCCGTGTCTCTGGGTTCATAATGACCGTGTCTCTGGGTTCATAATGACCGTGTCTCTGGGTTTATAATGACCGTGTCTCTGGGTTCATAATGACCGTGTCTCTGGGTTCACCGTGTCTCTGGGTTCATAATGACCGTGTCTCTGGGTTCATAATGACCGTGTCTCTGGGTTCACCGTGTCTCTGGGTTCATAATGACCGTGTCTCTGGGTTCACCGTGTCTCTGGGTTCATGATGACCGTGTCTCTGGGTTCATGATGACCGTGTCTCTGGGTTCACAATGACCGTGTCTCTGGGTTCATGATGACCGTGTCTCTGGGTTCATGATGACCGTGTCTCTGGGTTCATAATGACCGTGTCTCTGGGTTCATGATGACCGTGTCTCTGGGTTCATGATGACCGTGTCTCTGGGTTCATAATGACCGTGTCTCTGGGTTCATAATGACCGTGTCTCTGGGTTCATAATGACCGTGTCTCTGGTTCATAATGACCGTGTCTCTGGGTTCATAATGACCGTGTCTCTGGGTTCATAATGACCGTGTCTCTGGGTTCATAATGACCGTGTCTCTGGGTTCATAATGACCGTGTCTCTGGGTTCACAATGACCGTGTTTCTGGGTTCACAATGACCGTGTCTCTGGGTTCGCAATGACCGTGTCTCTGGGTTCATAATGACCGTGTCTCTGGGTTCATAATGACCGTGTCTCTGGGTTCATAATGACCGTGTCTCTGGTTCATAATGACCGTGTCTCTGGGTTCATAATGGTCGTGTCTCTGGGTTCATGATGACCGTGTCTCTGGGTTCATGATGACCGTGTCTCTGGGTTCATGATGACCGTGTCTCTGGGTTCATGATGACCGTGTCTCTGGGTTCATGATGACCGTGTCTCTGGGTTCATGATGACCGTGTCTCTGGGTTCATAATGACCGTGTCTCTGGGTTCATAATGACCGTGTCTCTGGGTTCATAATGGCCGTGTCTCTGGGTTCATAATGACCGTGTCTCTGGGTTCATAATGACCGTGTCTCTGGGTTCATAATTACCGTGTCTCTGGGTTCATAATGACCGTGTCACCTGGTTCATAATGACCGTGTCTCTGGGTTTATAATGGCCGTGTCTCTGGGTTCACCGTGTCTCTGGGTTCACAATGACCGTGTCTCTGGGTTCACAATGACCGTGTCTCTGGGTTTATAATGACCGTGTCTCTGGGTTTATAATGACCGTGTCTCTGGGTTCATGATGACCGTGTCTCTGGGTTCATAATGACCGTGTCTCTGGGTTCATAATGACCGTGTCACCTGGTTCATAATGACCGTGTCTCTGGGTTCATAATGACCGTGTCTCTGGGTTCATAATGACTGTGTCACCTGGTTCATAATGACCGTGTCTCTGGGTTCATAATGACCGTGTCACCTGGTTCATAATGACCGTGTCTCTGGGTTCATAATGACCGTGTCACCTGGTTCATAATGACCGTGTCTCTGGTTCACAATGACCGTGTCTCTGGGTTCATGATGACCGTGTCTCTGGTTCATAATGACCGTGTCTCTGGGTTCATAATGACCGTGTCTCTGGGTTCATAATGACCGTGTCTCTGGGTTCATAATGACCGTGTCTCTGGGTTCATAATGACCGTGTCTCTGGGTTCACAATGACCGTGTCTCTGGGTTCATAATGACCGTGTCTCTGGGTTCACAATTACCGTGTCTCTGGGTTCATAATGACCGTGTCTCTGGGTTCATAATGACCGTGTCTCTGGGTTCATAATGACCGTGTCTCTGGGTTCATAATGACCGTGTCTCTGGGTTCATAATGACCGTATCTCTGGGTTCATAATGACCGTGTCTCTGGGTTCACAATGACCGTGTCTCTGGGTTCATAATGACCGTGTCTCTGGGTTCATAATGACCGTGTCTCTGGGTTCATAATGACTGTGTCTCTGGGTTCATAATGACCGTGTCACCTGGTTCATAATGACCGTGTCTCTGGGTTCACAATGACCGTGTCTCTGGGTTCATAATGACCGTGTCTCTGGGTTCACAATGACCGTGTCTCTGGGTTCACAATGACCGTGTCTCTGGGTTCATAATGACCGTGTCTCTGGGTTCATAATGACCGTGTCTCTGGGTTCATAATGACCGTGTCTCTGGGTTCATAATGACCATGTCTCTGGGTTCATAATGACCGTGTCTCTGGGTTCACAATGACCGTGTCTCTGGGTTTATAATGACCGTGTCTCTGGGTTCATAATGACCGTGTCTCTGGGTTCATAATGACCGTGTCTCTGGGTTCATAATGACTGTGTCTCTGGGTTCACAATGACCGTGTCTTTGGGTTCATAATGACCGTGTCTCTGGGTTCATAATGACTGTGTCTCTGGGTTCATAATGACCGTGTCTCTGGGTTCACAATGACCGTGTCTCTGGGTTTATAATGACCGTGTCTCTGGGTTCATAATGACCGTGTCTCTGGGTTCATAATGACCGTGTCTCTGGGTTCATAATGACCGTGTCTCTGGGTTCACAATGACCGTGTCTTTGGGTTCATAATGACCGTGTCTCTGGGTTCATAATGACTGTGTCTCTGGGTTCATAATGACCGTGTCTCTGGGTTCACAATGACCGTGTCTCTGGGTTTATAATGACCGTGTCTCTGGGTTCACAATGACCGTGTCTCTGGGTTTATAATGACTGTATAATCTGGTTCATGATGGCCGTGTTTTGTCCGCTTTCAGAAATTCTTCGATGATGAATATTACGGAGAAGCTGACGCAGTGAAGCCAGAAGGTCTCAGCAATACAGGGACACTGAGACACTGGGACACGGGGACACGGGGACACTGGGACACTGGGACACTGAGACACTGGGACACTGAGACACTGGGACACGGGGACACGGGGACACTGAGACACTGGGACACTGGGACACTGAGACACTGGGACACTGGGACACTGGGACACCTGGACACGGGGGCACGGGGACACGGGGACACTGAGACACGGGGACACGGGGACACTGGGACACTGGGACACGGCGACACTGGGACACTGAGACACGGGGACACGGGGACACTGAGACACGGGGACACTGGGACACTGAGACACTGGGACACTGGGACACGGCGACACTGGGACACTGAGACACGGGGACACGGGGACACTGAGACACGGGGACACTGGGACACTGAGACACTGAGACACTGAGACACTGGGACACGGGGACACGGGGACACTGAGACACGGGGACACTGGGACACTGGGACACTGAGACACTGGGACACTGTGACACTGAGACACTGGGACACTGGGACACTGGGACACTGAGACACTTGGACACTGGGACACTGGGACACTGAGACACTGGGACACTGGGACACTGGGACACTAAGACACTGAGACACTGGGACACTGGGACACTGGGACACTGAGACACTGGGACACTGAGACACGGGGACACGGGGACACTGAGACACTGGGACACTGGGACACTGGGACACTGAGACACTGGGACACTGGGACACTGAGACACTGGGACACTGGGACACTGGGATACTGGGACACTGAGACACTGGGACACTGGGACACTGAGACACTGGGACACTGGGACACTGGGATACTGGGACACTGAGACACTGGGACACTGGGACACTGAGATACTGGGACACTGAGACACTGGGACACTGAGACACTGGGACACTGGGACACTGGGACACTGAGACACTGGGACACTGAGACACTGAGACACTGAGACACTGGGACACTGAGACACTGGGACACTGGGACACTGAGACACTGGGACACTGAGACACTGAGACACTGGGACACTGAGACACTGGGACACTGAGACACTGAGACACTGGGACACTGGGACACTGAGACACTGAGACACTGGGACACTGAGACACTGAGACACTGAGACACTGGGACATTGAGACACTGAGACACTGAGACACTGAGACACTGGGACACTGAGACACTGAGACACTGGGACACTAAGACACTGGGACACTGGTACACTGAGACACTGGGACACTGGGACACTGAGACACTGGGACATTGAGACACTGAGACACTGGGACACTGAGACACTGAGACACTGGGACACTGGGACACTGGGACACTGAGACACGGAGACACTGGGACACTGAGACACTGGGACACTGGGACACTGAGATACTGGGACACTGAGACACTGGGACACTGAGACACTGGGACACTGGGACACTGAGACACTGAGACACTGAGACACCACTGAGACACTGGGACACTGGGACACTGAGACACTGAGACACTGAGCCACTGGGACACTGAGACACTGGGACACTGGGACACTGGGATACTGGGACACTGAGACACTGGGACACTGGGACACTGGGACACTAGGATACTGGGACACTGAGACACTGGGACACTGGGACACTGAGACACTGAGACACTGGGACACTAAGACACTGGGACACTGGGACACTGGGATACTGGGACACTGAGATACTGAGACACTGAGACACTGGGACACTAAGACACTGGGACACTGGGACACTGGGATACTGGGATACTGGGACACTGGGACACGGGGACACTGAGACACTGAGATACTGAGACACTGGGACACTGGGACACTGAGACACTGGGACACTGAGACACTGATACACTGAGCCACTGGGACACTGGGACACTGGGACACTGGGACACTGATACACTGAGACACTGAGACACTGGGACACTAAGACACTGAGACACTGGGACACTGAGACACTGGGACACTGGGACACTGAGACACTGAGACACTGGGATACTGAGACACTGGGACACTGAGACACTGAGACACTGGGACACTGGGACACTGAGACACTGGGACACTGGGACACTGAGACACTGGGACACTGAGACTCTGGGACACTGGGACACTGAGACACTGGGACACTGGGACACTGAGACACTGGGACACTGGGACACTGAGACACTTGGACACTGGGACACTGGGACACTGGGACACTGAGACACGGAGACACTGGGACACTGAGACACTGAGACACTGGGACACTGAGACACTGGGACACTGAGACACTGGGACACTGAGACACTGGGACACTGGGACACTTGAGACACTGAGACACTGGGACACTGAGACACTGGGACACTGAGACACTGGGACACTGAGACACTGGGACACTGGGACACTTGAGACACTGAGACACTGGGACACTGAGACACTGGGACACTGAGACACTAAGACACTGAGACACTGGGATACTGAGACACTGGGACACTGGGACACTGAGACACTGGGACACTGAGACACTGGGACACTGAGACACTGAGACACTGAGACACTGGGACACTGAGACACTGGGACACTGGGACACTGGGACACTGAGACACTGGGACACTGAGACACTGGGACACTGAGACACTGAGACACTGAGACACTGAGACACTGGGACACTGAGACACTGGGACACTGAGACACTGGGACAGAGACACTGGGACGCTGGGGCGCTGGGACACTGGGATACTGGGACAGAGACACTGAGACACTGGGACACTGAGACACTGAGACACTGAGACACTGGGACACTGGGACACTGGGACACTGAGACACTGGGACAGAGACACTGGGACACTTAGACACTGGGACATGGGGACACTGGGACACAGAGACACTGAGACACTGGGACACTGAGACACTGGGATACTGGGACACTGAGACACTGGGATACTGGGACACTGAGACACGGGGATACGGGGTTGTGGCGTTGATGGTAGTGGTGGCGAGGACGGTAGTGGTGATGATGGTGGTGGTGACAATGATGATTGTGGTGGTGACGATGATGGTGGTTGTGGTGACGATGACGACGGTTGTGGTGGTGTTAGTTGTGGTGGTGATGATGGTAGTGGTGATGGTGATAGTGGTTGTGGTGTTGGTTGTGGTGGTGATGATGGTGATGATGGTTGTGGTGGTGATGATGGTGATGGTGATGATGGTGGTGATGGTGATGATGGTTGTGGTGTTGGTTGTGATGGTGATGATGGTTGAGATGATGGTTGTGGTGGTGATGATGGTGATGATGGTTGTGGTGGTGATGATGGTGATGGTGACCTGGGCCTGCTTGTTCACGCAGGTGACTGGAGTTTGGATGAAGAGGAGATTTCCGACGGAGCAGACCTAGGGTTGGACGAGCCACATTGTGAAGATCCAGATTTTGTGGTGCGGACATCTCTGTCTCTGTGTGTCTCTGTGTGTCTCTGTGTCTCTCTGTGTGTCTCTGTGTCTGTCTCTGTGTGTCTGTGTGTCTGTGTGTCTCTGTGTGTGTGTGTCTCTGTGTCTGTCTCTGTCTCCTTGTGTCTCTGTGTCTGTGTCACTCTGTGTCTCCCTGTGTCTCTCTGTGTGTCTCTGTGTCTGTGTCTGTGTCACTCTGTGTCTGTGTCTCTCTGTGTCTGTGTATCTCTGTGTCTGTGTCTCTCTGTGTCTGTGTCACTGTGTCTGTGTCACTCTGTGTCTGTGTCTCTCTGTGTCACTCTGTGTCTGTGTCACTCTCTTTCTGTGTCACTCTGTGTCTGTGTCTCTATGTGTCTGTGTCTCTATGTGTCTGTGTCACTCTGTGTCTGTGCCACTCTGTGGCTGTGTCTCTTTGTGTCACTCTGTGTCTGTGTCTCTCTGTGTCTCTTTGTGTCACTCTGTGTCTGTGTCACTCTCTGTCTGTGTCACTCTGTGTCTGTGTCTCTCTGTGTCTGTGTCTCTCTGTGTCTGTGTCTCTCTGTGTCACTCTGTGTCTGTGTCTCTCTGTGTCACTCTGTGTCTTTGTGTCTGTGTCTCTCTCTGTCTCTCTGTGTCTGTGTCTCTCTGTGTCTCTCTGTGTCTGCGTCTCTCTGTGTCTGTGTCTCTCTCTGTCTCTCTGTGTCTGTGTCTCTCTGTGTCTCTCTGTGTCTGTGTCTCTCTGTGTCTGTGTCTCTCTGTGTCTGTGTCTCTCTGTGTCTGTCTGTGTCTCTCTGTGTTTGTGTCTCTCTTTGTCTCTCTGTGTCTGTGTTACTCTGTGTCTGTGTCTCTCTGTGTCTGTGTCTCTATGTGTCTCCCTGTGTCTGTGTCTCTATGTGTCTGTGTCTCCCTGTGTCTGTGTCACTCTGTGTCTGTGTCTCTCTGTGTCTGTGTCTCTCTGTGTCTGTGTCTCCCTGTGTCTGTGTCTATATGTGTCTGTGTCTCCCTGTGTCTCCCTGTGTCTTCCCGTATTTCAGATGGATGCAGATTATGTACCGGGCGGACATGGGGGACAGAATTTAGACACCGAGGACACGGGGACACGGAAACGCAAAGGCAAGCGGCGGAAATACGTGGAGCTCCCTGCGGATGATTCAGGTGAGACGCGAAGACACGGAGACACTGAGACACGGAGACACAGAGACACGGAGACACATGGAGACACGGTGGACATAGAAACACGGAGACACGGAGACACTGAGACACTGAGACACATGGAGACACGGTGGACATGGAAACACGGAGACACTGAGACACTGAGACACATGGAGACACGGTGGACATGGAAACACGGAGACACGGAGACACTGAGACACAGAGACACTGAGACACATGGAGACACGGTGGACATGGAAACACGGAGACATGGTGGACATGGAAACACGGAGACACGGAGACACTGAGACACATGGAGACACGGTGGACATGGAAACACGGAGACACGGAGACACGGAGACACTGAGACACAGAGACACTGAGACACATGGAGACACGGTGGACATAGAAACATGGAGACACGGAGACAGTGAGACTCTGAGACACAGAGACTCTGAGACACAGAGACACTGAGACACCGAGACACCGAGACACAGAGACACTGAGACACAGAGACACATGGAGACACGGTGGACATGGAAACATGGAGACACAGGAACGGGGAGAAACGGGGACACGCGGACACGCGGACACAGGGACACAGAGACACAGAGACACGGGACACGGGGACACGGGAACACAGGAACGAGGAGATGGAGACACAGAAACACGGAGACACTGGGACACGTAGATACGGAGACATGGAGACACCGGGACAGAGAGACACGGGGACACGGAGACACGGGGACACGGGGACATGGAGACACGTAGACACGTAGATACGGAGACACGAATGCTGCTGCTCTCTTCCGGGCACCTCCAGCAAAACAAAGAACCCGCATGGGGTCTTAAAGTCATAAAACTTCACACCTCCTCAATAACCCATGGACAGTGGGGCTGTTGTGGGTAGCGCATGTCCAGCCACCTCATGCCCAGCCTCATGTCCAGCCACCTCATGTCCTGCCACCTCATGCCCAGCCAACGCATGTCCAGCCACCGCATGCCCAGCCACCGCATGCCCAGCCACCGCATGCCCAGCCACCGCATGCCCAGCCACCTCATGTCCAGCCACCGCATGCCCAGCCACCGCATGCCCAGCCACCGCATGCCCAGCCACCTCATGCCCAGCCACCGCATGCCCAGCCACCTCATGCCCAGCCACCTCATGCCCAGCCTCCTCATGCCCAGCCACCGCATGCCCAGCCACGTCATGCCCAGCCACCTCATGTCCAGCCACCTCATGCCCAGCCACCGCATGCCCAGCCACGTCATGCCCAGCCACGTCATGCCCAGCCACCTCATGTCCAGCCACCTCATGCCCAGCCACCGCATGCCCAGCCTCGTCATGCCCAGCCTCCTCATGCCCAGCCACCTCATGCCCAGCCACCGCATGCCCAGCCACGTCATGCCCAGCCACCTCATGTCCAGCCACCGCATGCCCAGCCACCTCATGCCCAGCCACCTCATGCCCAGCCACCTCATGCCCAGCCTTCTCATGCCCAGCCACCTCATGCCCAGCCACCTCATGCCCAGCCTCCTCATGCCCAGCCACCTCATGCCCAGCCACCGCATGCCCAGCCACCTCATGCCCAGCCACCGCATGCCCAGCCACGTCATGCCCAGCCACGTCATGTCCAGCCACCGCATGCCCAGCCACCTCATGCCCAGCCACCTCATGCCCAGCCACCTCATGCCCAGCCTTCTCATGCCCAGCCACCTCATGCCCAGCCACCTCATGCCCAGCCTCCTCATGCCCAGCCACCTCATGCCCAGCCACCGCATGCCCAGCCACCTCATGCCCAGCCACCGCATGCCCAGCCACCTCATGCCCAGCCACCTCATGCCCAGCCACGTCATGTCCAGCCACCTCATGTCCAGCCACCTCATGCCCAGCCACCGCATGCCCAGCCACCTCATGCCCAGCCACCGCATGCCCAGCCACCTCATGCCCAGCCACCTCATGCCCAGCCACCTCATGCCCAGCCACCTCATGCCCAGCCTTCTCATGCCCAGCCACCTCATGCCCAGCCACCTCATGCCCAGCCTCCTCATGCCCAGCCACCTCATGCCCAGCCACCGCATGCCCAGCCACCTCATGCCCAGCCACCGCATGCCCAGCCACCTCATGCCCAGCCACCTCATGCCCAGCCACGTCATGTCCAGCCACCTCATGTCCAGCCACCTCATGCCCAGCCACCGCATGCCCAGCCACCGCATGCCTGAGCAGCTTCTGTTTGGCGAGTTAAACGAGCACAGCATGGGCTAGAGAATTGACGGACCGATGGGTGAGTGAGTGAGTGAGTGGATGAGATCGTGAATGAGTGACACGGGCTAGAGAAGAGATGGAGTGACGTGGTACAGGAGGACGTGGAGCTGAGTGGACTTGCCGATGACTGGTACCAGCGGTGTCAAGATCGGCCTCTGTGGAGGAGGCTCGTGAAGGACGCTACTGGACAGTTGGAGGCAGTCGCCCTCCAACAACAACGGAGGGCAGAGGAGCGACGCTCACAACAACGAGCGGAGCGCCGGGTGGCTAAAACACAGCAAGTTGGCACAGTAGGGGGCCAGTCAGCCAACCCATGTCACCCCCTATCAGCGAGCCTACGACACTTCACGTGGCCTCAAAGTGCACCTAGCCTGGCACAGGCGCCGTGGTGACGTCACTGTCGCTTAGTGGCGAATGGCGGGTAATGGTGTGTATCTGTGTGTGTGTGTATCTCTGTGGGTGTGTGAATCTTTGTGGGTGTGTGTGTATCTTTGTGGGTGTGTGTGTGTGTATCTCTCTGTGGGTGTGTGTGTATCTCTCTGTGAGTGTGTGTGTGTATCTCTCTGTGTGTGTGTATCTGTGTGTGTGTGTGTATATATATATCTCTGTGTGTGTGTATATATCTCTGTGTATATCTGTGTGTGTATCTCTGTGTGTGTGTATATATCTGTGTGTGTGTGTGTGTATCTCTCTGTGGGTACTGCCAACAGAGCTGCACTTTGAGTCTCTGGTGGGGGACCTGCCGTGCCGTTTCCGGTACCGAGAAGTCCTCCCCAACGACTTCGGACTCACCACAGACGAGGTCAGAATCCCCACTACACACAGACACCCAGCGTCACAATCCCCACTACACACAGACACCCAGCATCACAATCCCCACTACACACAGACACCCAGCGTCACAATCCCCACTACACACAGACACCCAGCATCACAATCCCCACTACACACAGACACCCAGCGTCACAATCCCCACTACACACAGACACCCAGCGTCACAATCCCCACTACACACAGACACCCAGCGTCACAGTCCCCACTACACACAGACACCCAGCGTCACAATCCCCACTACACACAGACACCCAGCATCACAATCCCCACTACACACAGACACCCAGCATCACAATCCCCACTACACACAGACACCCAGCGTCACAATCCCCACTACACACAGACACCCAGCATCACAATCCCCACTACACACAGACACCCAGCGTCACAATCCCCACTACACACAGACACCCAGCATCACAATCCCCACTACACACAGACACCCAGCATCACAATCCCCACTACACACAGACACCCAGCATCACAATCCCCACTACACACAGACACCCAGCGTCACAATCCCCACTACACACAGACACCCAGCGTCACAATCCCCACTACACACAGACACCCAGCGTCACAATCCCCACTACACACAGACACCCAGCGTCACAATCCCCACTACACACAGACACACAGCGTCACAGTCCCCACTACACACAGACACCCAGCGTCACAATCCCCACTACACACAGACACCCAGCGTCACAATCCCCACTACACACAGACACCCAGCGTCACAATCCCCACTACACACAGACACACAGCGTCACAATCCCCACTACACACAGACACCCAGCGTCACAATCCCCACTACACACAGACACCCAGCGTCACAATCCCCACTACACACAGACACCCAGCGTCACAATCCCCACTACACACAGACACCCAGCATCACAATCCCCACTACACACAGACACCCAGCGTCACAATCCCCACTACACACAGACACCCAGCGTCACAATCCCCACTACACACAGACACCCAGCATCACAATCCCCACTACACACAGACACCCAGCGTCACAATCCCCACTACACACAGACACCCAGCGTCACAATCCCCACTACACACAGACACCCAGCGTCACAATCCCACTACACACAGACACCCAGCGTCACAATCCCCACTACACACAGACACCCAGCGTCACAATCCCCACTACACACAGACACCCAGCGTCACAATCCCCACTACACACAGACACCCAGCGTCACAGTCCCCACTACACACAGACACCCAGCGTCACAGTCTCCACTACACACAGACACCCAGCGTCACAATCCCCACTACACACAGACACCCAGCGTCACAATCCCCACTACACACAGACACCCAGCGTCACAATCCCCACTACACACAGACACCCAGCGTCACAGTCCCCACTACACACAGACACACAGCGTCACAGTCTCCACTACACACAGACACCCAGCATCACAGTCCCCACTACACACAGACACACAGCGTCACAATCCCCACTACACACAGACACCCAGCGTCACAATCCCCACTACACACAGACACCCAGCGTGACAGTCCCCACTACACACAGACACCCAGCGTCACAATCCCCACTACACACAGACACCCAGCGTCACAATCCCCACTACACACAGACACCCAGCGTCACAGTCTCCACTACACACAGACACCCAGCGTCACAATCCCCACTACACACAGACACCCAGCGTCACAATCCCCACTACACACAGACACCCAGCGTCACAATCCCCACTACACACAGACACCCAGCGTCACAGTCCCCACTACACACAGACACACAGCGTCACAGTCTCCACTACACACAGACACCCAGCGTCACAATCCCCACTACACACAGACACCCAGCGTGACAATCCCCACTACACACAGACACCCAGCGTCACAGTCCCCACTACACACAGACACCCAGCGTCACAATCCCCACTACACACAGACACACAGCGTCACAATCCCCACTACACACAGACACCCAGCGTCACAATCCCCACTACACACAGACACCCAGCGTCACAGTCCCCACTACACACAGACACACAGCATGACGAGGGTAGTTGGTGGCTGTGGTGTTCCAGCCAGCAGTGGATCGACCCTGGCTGCTGCTGTTTGCGATGTGTACGAGCGTAGATCCTCATGGCGGAGGATCGGGAGCTGAACCAGTGGAGCTCACTCAAGAAGACCTGCATGTACCGGTGAGTCCTCACCCTCACGCTCACCTTCACCTGCATGTACCGGTGAGTCCTCACACTCACCCTCACGCTCACCCTCACGCTCACCCTCACACTCACCCTCACGCTCACACTCACACTCACTCACCCTCACGCTCACCCTCACACTCACCCTCACGCTCACACTCACACTCACTCACCCTCACGCTCACCCTCACACTCACCCTCACGCTCACACTCACCCTCACGCTCACACTCACTCACGCTCACCCTCACCTGCATGTACCGGTGAGTCCTCACCCTCACGCTCACCCTCACGCTCACGCTCACCCTCACCCTCACCCCCACCCCCACCCCCACCCTCACCTGCATGTACCGGTGAGCCCCACCCCCACCCCCACCTGTGTGTACCCGTGAGCCCCCACCCCTACCCTCACCCCCACCTGCGTGTACCGGTGAGTCCTCACACTCACCCCCACCTGTGTGTACCGGTGAGCCCCCACGCTGCCCGTTTGATGCTGAGCGCACCTAGCTGTGGCCCACGCCACACACGGCACACGCACGCAGCCTGCCACCTGACCGTTGTCAACCCGGCGGTGATCATCACGCTCACGCGATCATCACGCTCACGCGATCATCACGCTCACGCGATCATCACGCTCACGCGATCATCACGCTCACGCGATCATCACGCGATCATCACGCTCACGCGATCATCACGCTCATGTAGGCGACGCTGTTGATGTAGGCGACGCTGATGTAGGCAACGCTGCTGATGCTGCTGCTGCGATGACGATGGCGCTGATGGCGATGGTGTTGATGGCGTGCGATGCACGCTGCTGTGATGACGTTACTGGTAACGACGCTGCTGATGGTGCTGATGGTGCTGATGATGATGGTGCTGATGACGATGGTGTTGATGACGATGGTGTTGATGACGATGGTGTTGATGATGATGGTGTTGATGACGATGGTGTTGATGATGATGGTGTTGATGATGATGGTGTTGATGACGATGGTGTTGATGACGATGGTGTTGATGACGATGGTGTTGATGATGATGGTGTTGATGACGATGGCGCTGATGACGATGGTGTTGATGACGATGGTGTTGATGATGATGGTGTTGATGACGATGGTGTTGATGACGATGGTGTTGATGACGATGGTGTTGATGATGATGGTGTTGATGACGATGGCGCTGATGACGATGGTGTTGATTGCCGTGCGATGTCCGCTGCTGTGATGCCGTTTAGCTCGGAGGAGGAGGAGCTCCGTGATTTGAGGGTGGCTCGCAAGCGCGCTCACGACTGGCGGAGAAAGCAGAGAATCCTCAAGTCCCTCACGCAGAGGTGAGGTCACCTCTACCGTGGGGCCCAGTCCATCCTCCGCCCTGGGACCCAGTCTCTCCTCCGCCCTGGGACCCAGTCTCTCCTCCGCCCTGAGACCCAGTCTCTCCTCCACCCTGGGACCCAGTCTCTCCTCCACCCTGGGACCCAGTCTCTCCTCGCCCTGGGACCCAGTCTCTCCTCCGCCCTGGGACCCAGTCTCTCCTCCGCCCTGGGACCCAGTCTCTCCTCCGCCCTGGGACCCAGTCTCTCCTCCGCCCTGGGACCCAGTCTCTCCTCCGCCCTGGGACCCAGTCTCTCCTCCGCCCTGGGACCCAGTCTCTCCTCGCCCTGGGACCCAGTCTCTCCTCCGCCCTGGGACCCAGTCTCTCCTCCGCCCTGGGACCCAGTCTCTCCTCCGCCCTGGGACCCAGTCTCTCCTCCGCCCTGGGATCCAGTCTCTCCTCCGCCCTGGGACCCAGTCTCTCCTCCGCCCTGGGACCCAGTCTCTCCTCCGCCCTGGGACCCAGTCTCTCCTCCGCCCTGGGACCCAGTCTCTCCTCCGCCCTGGGACCCAGTCTCTCCTCTGCCCTGGGATCCAGTCTCTCCTCCGCCCTGGGACCCAGTCTCTCCTCCGCCCTGGGACCCAGTCTCTCCTCCGCCCTGGGACCCAGTCTCTCCTCCACCCTGGGACCCATTCTCTCCTCCACCCTGGGACCCAGTCTCTCCTCCACCCTGGGACCCAGTCTCTCCTCCACCCTGGGACCCAGTCTCTCCTCCGCCCTGGGACCCAGTCTCTCCTCCACCCTGGGACCCAGTCTCTCCTCCACCCTGGGACCCAGTCTCTCCTCCGCCCTGGGATCCAGTCTCTCCTTCGCCCTGGGACCCAGTCTCTCTTCCACCCTGGGACCCATTCTCTCCTCCACCCTGGGACCCAGTCTCTCCTCCACCCTGGGACCCAGTCTCTCCTCCACCCTGGGACCCAGTCTCTCCTCCGCCCTGGGACCCAGTCTCTCCTCCGCCCTGGGACCCAGTCTCTCTTCCACCCTGGGACCCAGTCTCTCCTCCGCCCTGGGACCCAGTCTCTCCTCCGCCCTGGGACCCAGTCTCTCCTCCACCCTGGGACCCAGTCTCTCCTCCACCCTGGGACCCAGTCTCTCCTCCGCCCTGGGACCCAGTCTCTCCTCCACCCTGGGACCCAGTCTCTCCTCCACCCTGGGACCCAGTCTCTCCTCCGCCCTGGGATCCAGTCTCTCCTCCGCCCTGGGACCCAGTCTCTCCTCCGCCCTGGGACCCAGTCTCTCCTCCACCCTGGGACCCATTCTCTCCTCCACCCTGGGACCCAGTCTCTCCTCCGCCCTGGGACCCAGTCTCTCCTCCACCCTGGGACCCAGTCTCTCCTCCGCCCTGGGACCCAGTCTCTCCTCCGCCCTGGGACCCAGTCTCTCCTCCGCCCTGGGACCCAGTCTCTCCTCCACCCTGGGACCCAGTCTCTCCTCCGCCCTGGGACCCAGTCTCTCCTCCACCCTGGGACCCAGTCTCTTTTCTTCCACAGTTTAAGTTTCATTGAATGTGTCCACTCGTATTGCAGGAACATGCATAGCCACAATCATGACGACGATCATCATCATCATCTTCACCACAATCACCCAAAATACGAAACTAAAACTATTTTTTTATTTTACAAGGTAAGGCCCCCCCGCTGAGTATGTGTAGCTTTTTACCAGAAGCGGACTGCCTGCCACAAACAATAGCTCAATGAAGCGGCTTATTGCGTGTGCACATGTTGAAATTCCTTCGCACTGTACATCGCCAACCGTTGCTAATCGCGTGGAAATCTATCGCAGCAGGCAAATACCCTGAACGCGTTGACGTCCTTGCTATAGATGTGGAGGAAGGGAGAAACTGGAGGACCCTGAGAAACATCCACGAGAGAGAGACGCAGACTCCAAATATACAGCAGCAGCAAGCAAGCACCAGGGTTGGGATCGAACCCACGACCTCCTGTAGACCAGGCGAGGTAGTCAACATCTCATAGCCACCGTGGTGATGATGAGAGAGAGACGCAGACTCCACATATACAGCAGCAGCAGGCATCGTCAGGGCCGGGAGCGAACCCACGACCTCCTGTAGCCTAGGCGAGGTATTTAACATCTCATAGCCACCGTGATGATGATGAGAGAGAGAGAGACGCAGACTCCAAATATACAGCAACAGCAGCAGCAAGCACCAGGGTCGGGATCGAACCCACGACCTCCTGTAGACCAGGCGAGGTAGTTAACATCTCCTAGCCACCGCAGCCCCACCTATCTTCACCACTCCCTACCCCCCACCACTCCCCACCTATCTTCACCACTCCCTACCCCCCACCACCCACCACCCACCACCAACCACCACCACCGTCGTCGTCATAATCATCCTCTTTGAATTAGAAATGAACACGACAATCTAAAGTCTTTCCCCTTAATTTGCGTTTGTGACTGCAGTGCCGAGCAGGGAGATGGCGGTAGCGGCGGCAAGGGCGGCGGCGAGGAGAGGGGCGAGCAGAGGGGCGACCGTCGCGCCCTCGTCGCTCCGTCGCCGTCCAAGCAGGCGGGAAGTAAAGTTTGCAAGAGGCCGGCACCGGGCAAGGAGAAAACGACTTCCCACGCGAAGCGTCCGGAGCGTCACGGCCGGAGGAGCAAACGCAGCGAGGAGGAGGAGGAGGAGGAGGCGGCGGCAGGCAGCGCGGACGACGAAGAATGCGAGGAAGGCGGCGAGGACGGCAACAAGGCCGAGGGCGGCGAGCATCGGCGCGGGAAGAACGTGAAGGCCGACGGTTCGGCCTTCACGCCTCATCCTGCTGCTGCTGCTGCCGCCCCCGTCAAGAGGAAGCATCTCGCTGTGGCAAGGAGCGGAGGCAACAACGCCGCCGCTCCGTCGCCCGTTAAGAAACGTCGCCCGAGGAATCGGTTGGAGATGCGCGGGGCGGCGAGGGGGGCGGTGAGGGGGGCGGTGAGGGGGGCGGTGAGGGGGGCGGTGAGGGGGGCGGTGAGGGGTGCGGTGAGGGGGGCCCACCGCCACCACCACCAAGGGCAGTCCCGGCGGGCGCTGCTGTCTCGTGTGGAGGTGGGCGGCACGGAATTCTGCGGCGCTCGCCTGCGAGCCTACGGCCTGGACGTGCGCCGGCTCAAGTTCAAGAGGCTCACGAAGGACGGGGCGGGGAGACGGCGCGGGGGAGGGCGGCGGCAGAAAGGAGGAGGCGGAGCAGGAGGGCAGCAGGAGGGGATGGGAGGAGACAGTGGGCAGCCGGAGAGCGAAGGGGGGGGAGCAGGAGGGCAGCAGGAGACACCGGGCAAAGCCGCACGGAGGAGGAGGAAGAAGAAGAAGAAGAGCCGAAGGGAGGAGAGTCACGGGGACGGTGCTGGCGGCAACGCATGAAGAGATCACCACCCCCCTCCCACCCCCCTCCCACCCCACCCCCACCCCACCCCCACCCCACCCCCCACCCCCCACCCCCACCACCCCATTATTGTTAGTCGTGGCCCAGGTCATTCTCGGCTGTGGCTCTCAAAAGAATCCAGCTTCAAGCCCCGTGCGCTGCTTCTGTGGAGCGTTGGTCCCAGCCTCAGCCGAGCCGCGGCTCATCCCCCCGCTCAGCTGTGACTGGGCTGGGTGAGCGAAGCGCTCCCCGGGGATCATCGCTCCGTCGCTTTGTCACCTTGGTGGGGAGCCGGCCGGCCACCCTTGGGTCTGATCGGACGTCGCTTATCGTGGGGAAGTGCCGGGCTGTGAAAAATAAATCCCTTGCTTCCTACTAGCGCCGCGGTTATTGACAGATTCCTGGAGTTTCCATTGGCTAAGGTGGTGGTGGGGTCGGGGACAGATGGAGTGTTTTGTGGGCGGCGTTGATCCGTTTCGGCCTCTTGCTCTTCAAGAGAGGAAGGTTCACAGCCTTGATGCGTTTTAATAAAATTGTGTGAACAAAATGTGCGTGCGTGATTGTGTGAACCAAACCCTGGTGGTGGGGGTGGGGGGGGATGTAGGGCATGCTTTGTGAGAAAAACCCCGGGGAGAGGGAATCCGTGCCGGGTGGAACCCAGTTGGGGTTGGAGAATTGGCCTGTCAAAAAAAACCTGGCCAGTCAACTCGTCACCGGTCACAGTGGATCTTCAAGGGCCTCTCCAAATTGGTCTCTACCCAAAGTGGTCTGTCTAAAGTAGTGTCCTCTCACAAAAGTAGTCGGTGAAAGTGTCCAGTCCAAAAAGTACCGTAAAGAAAATATATTTAAATATCAGTGGCCTGTCACGTGACCTATAAAACACGTGACCCGTCAAAATCGTGGCCTATCAAGTGACCTTGAAAACACGTGACCCGTCAAAATCGTGGCCTGTCAAGTGACCTATAAAACACGTGACCCGTCAGAATCGTGGCCTGTCAAGTGACCTATAAAACAAGTGACCTGTCAAGTGACCTGTAAAACACGTGACACGTCATAATCGTGCCCTGTCAAGTGACCTATAAAACACGTGACCCGTCAAAATCGTGGCCTGTCAAGTGACCTATAAAACACGTGACCCATCAAAATCGTGCCTTGTCAAGTGACCTATAAAACACGTGACCCGTCAAAATCGTGGCCTGTCAAGTGACGTATAAAACACGTGACCCGTCAAAATTGTGGCTTGTCAAGTGACCTATAAAACACGTGGCCTGTCAAGTGACCTATAAAACACGTGACACGTCAAACTCGTGGCCTGTCAAGTGACCTATAAAACACGTGACCCGTCAAAATCGTGGCCTGTCAGGTGACCTATAAAACACGTGACCCGTCAAAATCGTGGCCTGTCAGGTGACCTATAAAACACGTGACCCGTCAAAATCGTGGCCTGTCAGGTGACCTATAAAACACGTGACCCGTCAAAATCGTGGCCTGTCAGGTGACCTATAAAACACGTGACCCGTCAAAATCGTGGCCTGTCAGGTGACCTATAAAACACGTGACCCGTCAAAATCGTGGCCTGTCAGGTGACCTATAAAACACGTGACCCGTCAAAATCGTGGCCTGCCAGGTGACCTTTAAAACAAGTGACCCCTCAAAATCGTGGCCTGTCAAGTGACCTATAAAACACGTGACCCGTCAAAATCGTGGCCTGTCAAGTGACCTATAAAACACGTGACCCGTCAAAATCGTGCCTTGTCAAGTGACCTATAAAATACGTGACCCGTCAAAATCGTGGCCTGTCAAGTGACGTATAAAACACGTGACCCGTCAAAATTGTGGCTTGTCAAGTGACCTATAAAGCACGTGACACGTCAAACTCGTGGCCTGTCAAGTGACCTATAAAACACGTGACCCGTCCAAATCGTGGCCTGTCAGGTGATCTATAAAACACGTGACCCGTCAAAATCGTGGCCTGTCAGGTGACCTATAAAACACGTGACCCGTCAAAATCGTGGCCTGTCAGGTGACCTATAAAACACGTGACCCGTCAAAATCGTGGCCTGTCAGGTGACCTATAAAACACGTGACCCGTCAAAATCGTGGCCTGTCAGGTGACCTATAAAACACGTGACCCGTCAAAATCGTGGCCTGTCAGGTGACCTTTAAAACAAGTGACCCCTCAAAATCGTGGCCTGTCAGGTGACCTATAAAACACGTGACCCGTCAAAATCGTGGCCTGTCAGGTGACCTATAAAACACGTGACCTGTCAAAATCGTGGCCTGTCAGGTGACCTATAAAACACGTGACCCGTCAAAATCGTGGCCTGTCAGGTGACCTTTAAAACAAGTGACCCCTCAAAATCGTGGCCTGTCAGGTGACCTATAAAACACGTGACCCGTCAAAATCGTGGCCCCACAGGTGACCTATAAAAGCGTCCTGTGAACAAAAGTCCTGTCCAAGGGACCTGTCAAAAAAGTGGCCTGTCACACTCTACCACGGTTACCTCGCAGGCTGCTATGGTTACCGCTTCTCGTTGCCATGGTTACCACCACACGCTACCACGGTTACCTCCCAGGCTGCTATGGTTACCGCTTCTCGTTGCCATGGTTACCACCACACGCTACCACGGTTACCTCACAGGCTGCTGTGGTTACCGTTTCTCGTTGCCATGGTTACCGCCACACGCTACCACGGTTGCCTCACAGGCTGCTGTGGTTACCGCTTCTCGTTGCCAAGGTTACCGCCACACTCTACCACGATTGCCTCACAGGCTGCTGTGGTTACCGCTTCTCGTTGCCATGGTTACCCCCACACGTTACCTCACAGGCTACCATGGTTACCGCTTCTCGTTGCTATGGTTACCGCCACACGCTTCCACGGTTACCTGGCAGGCTGCCATGTTTGTTGAACTTCTTTCGCGCCGTACGTAGACACCCGTGCTAATCGTAGATGCCATGGTTACCCCCAAACTCCCATTGGTCTCCATGGTTACGGCTACTCGTTGCCAAGGAAACCGCCGCGTTGCCATTGTTACCGGAGCCGCGTTTCCAACGCCCGCGGGAATCGGCGCGAAAGGCTTTGATAAAGTTATACAAACGTTCAATTAACTTTATATTTTAGTTTTTTTTATATATAATACGCAACTTTTAACGAGCACGATGGCATCAACACCGCGCACGGAGTGTTTATTTTTTTATTTGTACACAAGCCGGCAGCTTCAACGGGGAAATTACATTTTTAAAATGTAGTAAAAAAATAAAATAATATTTTATTGCCGTGACAGTGTGGCCGGCGGCGTTGGGGTTACCATGGCGACGCGTTGCTCTAATAAAGTTGTTGTGGAAGCCGCAGGTAAGATGGCGGCACACGCGCGCGCTCTGTGTCTCTGTCTGTCTGTGTGTCTGTGTCTCTCTGTGTCTGTGTCTCTGTGTCTCTCTGTGTCTCTGTCTGTCTGTGTCTCTGTGTCTGTCTGTCTGTGTGTCTCTGTCTGTCTCTGTGTCTGTCTGTGTGTCTGTGTCTCTGTCTGTCTGTCTCTGTGTCTCTGTCTGTCTGTCTCTCTCTGTGTCTCTCTGTCTCTGTGTCTCTGTCTGTCTGTCTCTGTGTCTCTCTCGGTCTGTCTGTCTCTCTCTGGGTCTCTCTGTCTGTGTGTCTGTGTCTCTGTCTGTCTCTGTGTCTCTCTGTCTGTGTCTGTGTCTCTCTCTGTCTGTGTCTCTATCTGTCTGTGTCTTTCTCTGTCTGTGTCTATCTGTCTGTGTCTCTGTGTCTCTCTCTGTCTGTGTCTCTCTCTGTGTCTGTGTCTCTGTGTGTCTGTGTCTCTCTCTGTGTGTCTCTCTCTGTGTCTGTGTGTCTGTGTCTCTGTGTCTGTGTCTACCTTCACAGGTGCTGCTGCTGCTACTCGCTACTCACAGCACTTGCCCCTACAGTCTGTTAGAGGCTGCACGGGGGATCTTTGTCTGTGTCTACCTTCACAGGTGCTGCTGCTACTCGCTACTCACAGCACTTGCCCCTGCAGTCTGTTAGAGGCTGCACGGGGGATCTTTGTCTGTGTCTACCTTCACAGGTGCTGCTGCTACTCGCTACTCACAGCACTTGCCCCTACAAGTGCGGCAGCTGCCTAAAAGCTAAACTATATTTGACGTTACCAGGTAAAGAAGGCCCCCGCCAACCTGGCTCTCACAATTTATCACTCAACCAAGTTGCGGCTTCTCATCCTCATCACGGGGAAGTTCATAGCAGTAGCCAAAGCCTCTAATCGCCAGGGAGATGCATCGAGACTCGTAGACAAATGGAGATGCATCGAGACTTCTAGCGATCCATAGGGATGCATAGACCAACAGAGACCCATAGAGACACACAGTGACCCATAGACATGCATAGACCAACAGAGACCCATAGAGACACACACTGACCCATAGAGACACACAGTGACCCATAGACATGCATAGACCAACAGAGACCCATAGAGACACACAGTGACCCATAGACATGCATAGACCAACAGAGACCCATAGAGACACATAGTGACCCATAGACATGCATAGACCAACAGAGACCCATAGAGACACACAGTGACCCATAGACATGCATAGACCAAAAGAGACCCATAGAGACACACAGTGACCCATAGACATGCATAGACCAACAGAGACCCATAGAGACACACAGTGACCCATAGACATGCATAGACCAACAGAGACCCATAGAGACACACAGTGACCCATAGACATGCATAGACCAACAGAGACCCATAGAGACACACACTGACCCATAGAGACACACAGTGATCCATACACTAAATTATTTTATTGTTTATAGTCAAGGCAGTAGCCTTGACTAAATCTGCCAGAGGGTCTGGGGGTACCCCCCCCCCAGAAAAAAAAAATTTTAAAACGAATTTCCTGCCTGAAATATTTTTTTTTTAAATTCTCTAACACATAGGATGGACTTTTTACGTATTTTTAACAATAATGTCTAATAGTGTTATTGTAAAGTCACGTAGAATGAGAATAAAAATGTTAAATTAAATAAGACAATACAATTCTCACGACGCTTCGGCCACAACACAAGTAGCCTTCATCAGGTGAAAGAACAGATCTGTCGGGACGACATCACCTGATGAAGGCTACTTGTGTTGTGGCCGAAACGTCGTGAGAATTTTATTGTCTTATTTTATTGTATTGTCTTATTTTATTCTCATTCTACGTGGTGGTGACTTTACCGAAAGAACAAAAGAGGATGAATCCTTGCAGTCACGAAAGCTTTAAATCGAAATTTAAAGTGTTATTGTATTTACACTGCTGTGTTTTTACTTATTTTTTTTTACCATTTCTTCTTTCGTTGTATGTAATGGCAGAGATTAGGGATGAATAAATTAACAACCATAGCCACAATCATATAAACAGAAATCTATTTTATAGCGATGTATTGGGGATACAGTTTGAGCATATTTATTATAATTACTGCCTTGGTAGCAGGTAGGGACCACCACTGAGCTACTGTACGTAGCTCTTGTTCATCCGAGTGGCTCATCATCATCATCATCGCGTGAAATGTGACGACGATTCTAACGTGGAGGGCAAAAACCGGAGGAGCCGGAGAATAATCCACGTAGCGACCACAGAGAGAGAGAGACGCAGACTCCAAATATACAGCAGCAGTAGTAGCAGCAGCAGTAGTAGTAGCAGCAGTAGTAGCAGCAGAAGCAGCAGTAGTAGCAGTAGCAGCAGTAGTAGTAGTAGCAGCAGTAGTAGCAGCAGTAGTAGTAGCAGCAGTAGTAGCAGCAGCAGTAGTAGCAGCAGCAGTAGTAGCAGAAGCAGCAGTAGTAGTAGTAGCAGCAGTAGTAGCAGCAGTAACAGTAGTAGCAGCAGTAGTATTAGCAGCAGTAGTAACAGCAGCAGTAGCAGCAGTAGCAGCAGCAGTAGTAGCAGCAGTAGCAGCAGCAGGCATCGTCAGGGTCAGAACCCACGACCTCCTGTAGACCAGGTGAGGTCGTTAACATCTCATAGCCACCGTGAAGATGATAAGAGAGACACAGACTCCAAATATACAGCAGCAGGCATTATCAGGGTCGGGATCGACCCCACGATCTCCTGTATACCAGGCGAGGTCGTTAACATCTCCTAGTTACCGTGATGATGATGAGAGAGAGACGCAGACTCCAAATACACAGCAGCAGCAGGCACTTCCTGCGTACCAGGCGAGGTAGTTAACATCTCCTAGCCACCGTCGATTGTGAACTTTCCCGACTGGTTAGAAATCTTCCTCGGGCTCGCTTTGTGCTCGACTCCCCAGGGCGTGGAGAGTGGAGCCGGCGGCGAGGATGAGCGGAGACCGCTGGGCTCGGCTCTCGGAGGACAACTTGGAGCTGCGTGCCGAGCTGAGCAGCGTGCAGAGAGAGAAGGATGGCCTGGCCGGTAGGGACTCACTACCACCACCACCGCAACCACCACCGCAACCACACTCCATCCACCACCATGACCGCCACCACCACCGCAACCACCACCACTACTACACTCCATCCACCACCATGACCGCCACAACCGCCACCACCACCACAACCACCACCACAACCACCACCGCAACCACCACCGCTACCACACTCCATCCACCACCATGACCGCCACAACCGCCACCACCACCGCAACCACCACCACTACCACACTCCATCATCACCACCACCGCTACCACCACACTCCATCATCACCACCACCACTACGACCGCACTCCATCCACCAGCCGGGTGAGTGTAGGAGTGAGGTGGTGTCTGTTGTTGTTGTGTCTCAGCCCAGCTGGGTGAGTGTAGGAGTGAGGTGGTGTCTGTTATTGTTGTTGTGTCTCAGCCCAGCTGGGTGAGTGTAGGAGTGAGGTGGTGTCTGCTGTTGTTGTTGTGTCTCAGCCCAGCTGGGTGAGTGTAGGAGTGAGGTGGTGTCTGTTGTTGTTGTGTCTCAGCCCAGCTGGGTGAGTGTAGGAGTGAGGTGGTGTCTGTTGTTGTTGTTGTTGTGTCTCAGCCCAGCTGGGTGAGTGTAGGAGTGAGGTGGTGTCTGTTGTTGTTGTGTCTCAGCCCAGCTGGGTGAGTGTAGGAGCGAGGTGGAGGCGTTGAGGCTCCGTGTGCGGTCTCTGGAGCGGGACGCCACTAGCAAGGTCTCCTCACCCACACACTCACCCACACACTCACCCACACGCTCACTCACCCACACTCTCGCTCACCCACACTCTCGCTCACCCACACGCTCACTCACCCACACACTCACCCACACGCTCACTCACCCACACACTCACCCGCACGCTCGCTCACCCACACTCTCGCTCACCGACACACTCACCCACACGCTCACTCACCCACACACTCGCTCACCCACACGCTCGCTCACCCACACACTCGCTCACCCACACGCTCACTCACCCACACGCTCGCTCACCCACACACTCACCCACACGCTCGCTCACCCACATGCTCGCTCACCCACACACTCGCTCACCCACACACTCACTCACCCACACACTCACCCACACACTCGCTCACCCACATGCTCGCTCACCCACACACTCACTCACCTACACACTCACCCACACACTCGCTCACCCACACACTCGCTCACCCACACACTCGCTCACCCACACACTCACTCACCCACACACTCACCCACACACTCACTCACCCACACGCTCACCCACACACTCACCCACACACTCAACCACATGCTCACCCACAACTTCACCTGCCCACGCCCCCTGCGTGTGCCACAGTTCCGCCCTTCGTCGGTGCCACTCTCTTGGCAGTCCCGAGGAGTCTGTGACGGCTACACGGAGTAACTTTGTCTCACCCACGACCCCCACCTCGTGTGGGCGGTGCAGTCCCAGGCGGTGCGGGGCGAGGAGGAGAGGCGGCGACGACTGACGGAGCGCAGCCTGGCGCTGCGGACGCGCGCACTCACGGACGCGCTGCACCTGGTACGCACGCAACGGAGACACCAACAACTACAACTACAACAACCACCGGTAGCCACTGAGTGGTGGTGACGTCACCGCGGTGCTAGGCTAGGTGCAGGAGGAGGAGGTCACGGGACAGACCCAGCAGGTGCCATGGGTTGTACTGCTGTTGTGCCAGGCTAGGTGCATGAGGAGGTCACGGGACAGACCCAGCAGGTGTCGTAGGTTGACTGCTGTGCCAGGCTAGGTGCAGGAGGAGGTCACGGGACAGACCCAGCAGGTGCCATGGGTTGACTGCTGTGCCAGGCTAGGTGCAGGAGGAGGTCACGGGACAGACCCAGGTGCCATGGGTTGACTGCTGTGCCAGGCTAGGTGCAGGAGGAGGTCACGGGATAGACCCAGCAGGTGCCATGGGTTGACTGCTGTGCCAGGCTAGGTGCAGGTAAAGGTCTTGGGACAGACCCAGCAGGTGCCATGGGTTGACTGCTGTGCCAGGCTAGGTGCAGGAGGAGGTCACGTGACAGACCCAGGTGCCATGGGTTGACTGCTGTGCCAGGCTAGGTGCAGGAGGAGGTCACCGGACAGACCCAGCAGGTGCCATGGGTTGACTGCGGTGCCAGGCTAGGTGCAGGAGGAGCTCACGGAACAGACCCTAGCTGCCATGGGTTGGCTGACTGAGACGACTGGCAGATGCACCACCTGTGCCCCCTACTGTGCCGACTTTTAGCCACCCGGCGCTCCGCTCGTTATTATGAGCATTGCTCCTCTGCCCTCTGTTGTTGCTGGAGGGCTTCTGCCTCCGACTGCCCAGTAGCAGTGGCTGGGCATGCTGCCTACCTACTTGACCCAACCAATGAGGCCTTGCCTGCCGGAGGAGCTCGCTGATGGTTCTATGTCCTGGCCAAACCCAGGATGGATAAGTGGGCAGGGCAGCCTAACTGTGGCCAAGAAGACCCGAAGCTTCATGTGGAGCTACAGACCGGGTAGCTTCCGCACAGCACCGTTACGCAGCCGATGGAAAGATCATGCCGCCCGACTGATTCGGGAGTGAGACTTCTGGTGCCAAACACTTCCCAGGTATGGGAAGCTCTCCACTCTGTCCGCAACTGCTCCATCACCAATGGGGTGCTGAGGGGGTGGAGCGTTTGGGGGGGGGGGGTACAAGATACCCAGGCAGCTGCTTCGTTTCGGTGGGGCTGATGGAATGACCCCACCTCCTAGTGGCACGCTCCAGGTTCAACAGCAAGCATCTCCAACTCCTCCTCTTAGCGAGCAGCAATCACCAGATCATCAGCATGCACAGCATGATTGACCAACAGGGAACCAATCCCTTGACAGCACCCGCGCATCGATCAATCTCACCATTGTTATCTGTCACCAGATGCAAATGCATCCGGTGTGGCCATGCAGAGCTTCCCGAACGACGCGGTCGAAGGTGACGCTACGTAGTGTCGGTGCACAGTGACATTACCTCCGCCTCATCCAACCGGCTGCGGGCCCTCCCGAGGCCGACCCGGCCCCAACCGAGTGGCCCGTGGGGAACGACAGCACTGGTGGGGAGAGTCAAGGGCTGTCGTGGTTGCTGGCCGCATCGTCCCGCTCCTCCTTTTCCCCTCACCTCTTCACCCCTACCTCGTCCTCGCCTCCCCCTCCTCCTCCTCCCCCCGTCACGTGCCGTGACCGAACACTCCGTAGCCGCTGCTGCTCGTCACTAACAGCAACTTGGCCCCCCAGTGCGTAGGCTCTATACTCTTTGGTTTTATTCGGTAAAGTCACGTAGTAGGTAAAAAATAAAATGACAAAAATCACGACATTATGAGACCTCCTTTGCCAGTAACAAGATATAGTAATAGGTTTTTACCCTTTTAACTGGCACAAAAAACTGACACCTTTATTCAAGGCATCATGTCTGCAATAACCACAACACAAGCGTCTTCTGGTCCAACACCAGTGGAGACTAGGGTCTAAAGAAAGCCGTCTCAGGTGTGGACCAATCAAATTCAAGGACAGTGCATATTATTATCAGAGTTGTCTTTTTGTTTGCATTTTGACTGCTTGCGTTGTGGTTATTGCAGACATGATGCCTTGAATAAAGGTGTCAGTTTTTTGTGCCAGTTAAAAGGGTAAAACCTATTGCAAAAATCACGACGTTTCGGCCACAACACAAGCGCCCTTCATCAGGTGAAGGGACCGGACTGTCCAGAGGACAGCGTTGGAGTGAAGACAGCCAAGCCCAGGTCGCGTCCTTTTAAGCTGTGTGGGAGGAAACAAAAAACGCCTAGGATGGTTTCAAATTGAGCAATCATTGGAAAGATGTTCTCAATCAAACCAAACATTAAACTAATTCATATTCTTAGCTCTTTCGGTAAAGTCACGTTGAAGGGAAACAATAAAATAACAAAATATATATGAGACAATAAAAATTCTCACGACGTTTCGACCATAACACAAACGGTCGTCATCAGGTGTTTTATATTTTTGTATTATTTTATTGTTTCCCTTCAACGTGACTTTACCGAAAGAGCTAAGAATATGAATTACTGCAGTCACGAAAGCTTTAAATCAAAAGCTAATTCCTTTGCTTAAAGGACGCGACCTGGGGGCTTGACTGTCTTCACTCCAATGCTGTCCTCTGGACAGCGCGGTCCCCTTTACCTGATGAAGGCCGCTTGTGCTGTGGCCGAAACGTCGTGATATTTTTTTCGTTATTTTATTTTTTTACACCCACGTGACTTTACCGAATAGAACCAAAGGGTATGGAGCCTTGCAGTCAGGATTATCTTCAAATCTCGAAGTGCGTAGGCTACACGGGGCGCCTGTGTCTGTGTGCAGGCCGTGAGCCAGCTGTCCGAGTGCCGCTTTACCGTGCAGCGTCAGCAGCAGGATCTGGCTCGCCTCAAGCTGCGGCTCGCTCTGCACACCAAGGTGCGAGCCGAGGAGATGGACACACAACACCGCGGAAGGGAAAGTGTTCCCCCGTGTAGCCTGCAACAGACTGTTGGGTGCAAAGTGGTGTTAGTAGCGAGGAGCACTCACACACACTCACTCACACACTCACTCACACACACACACTCACTCGTGCACTCACTCGCACACTGACTCGTACACTCACTCGTACACTCACTCACTCACTCATACACTCACTCACTTGTACACTCACTCATACACTCACTCACTCATGCACTCACTCACTCACTCATACACTCACTCATACACTCACTCACTCACACACACACTCACTCGTACACTCACTCGTACACTCACTCGCACACTCACTCATACACTCACTCACTCACTCGTACACTCACTCACTTGTACGCTCACTCACTCATACACTCACTCATACACTCACTCATACATACACTCATACACTCACTCACACACTCACTCGTACACTCACTCACTTGTACGCTCACTCACTCACTCACACACTCACTCATACACTCACTCACTCGTACACTCACTCACTCATACACTCACTCGCTTGTACACTCACTCACTCATACACTCACTCACTCATACACTCACTCGCTTGTACACTCACTCACTCGTACACTCACTCACTTGTACACTCACTCACTTGTACACTCACTCACTCACTCATACACTCACTCACTTGTACACTCACTCACTCATACACTCACTCACTTGTACACTCACTCACTCATACACTCACTCACTCATACACTCACTCACTCATACACTCACTCACACACACTCACTCATACACTCACTCACTTGTACACTCACTCACTTGTACACTCACTCACTTGTACACACACTCACTCGTACACTCACTAATACACTCACTCACTCATACACTCACTCATACACTCACTCATACACTCACTCACTCATATACTCACTCACTCATACACTCACTCATACACTCACTCACTGATACACTCACTCATACACTCACTCACTCATATACTCACTCACTCATACACTCACTCACTCATATACTCACTCATACACTCACTCATACACTCACTCATACACTCACTCATACACTTATACACTCACTCACTCATACACTCACTCACTTGTACACTCACTCATACACTCACTCATACACTCACTCACTCATATACTCACTCATACACTCACTCACTCATGCACTCACTCATACACTCACTCACTCATACACTCACTCACTCATACACTCACTCACTCACTTGTACACTCACTCATACACTCACTCACTCATATACTCACTCACTCATACACTCACTCATACACTCACTCACACACTCACTCACTCATACACTCACTCACACATCCACCGACTCACACACACTCACTCACACTCTCACACAGACACTCACCCACCCACTCACCCACCCACTCACTCACCCACTCACTCAGTGACATATCCACTCGCTCACCCACACACTCACCCACTCACACATCTACTCGCTCACCCACACACTCATCCACGAACACATACACTCGCTCACCCACACACCCACTCGCTCACCCACACACCCACTCGCTCACCCACACACTCGCTCACCCACACTCACCCACTCACACATTCACTTACTCACTCAAACATTCACTCACTCACATATCCACTAACATATCCACTCGCTCGCCCGCACACCCACACACTCACCCACACACTCACACGTTCACTCACCCACTCAAACTCTCACTCACTGACAAAAAGACAAAGATCCCCCGTGTAGCCTTAAACAGATTTCTGGGGGCAAGTGCAGTGAGCGAGCTGCACCTATGAAGGCCCGCACGGTACAACGGTAGCGATGCTTCGTGTGAATGCCAGTTGCGTGATGTAAGCATGTATGTTGAACTTCTTTCGCCCCGTACGTAGCCAACCGTGCTGATTGGAGGGTGGGTGAGTGTGTAGTTGAGTGAGTGACTATGTGAGTTACTGTGTGTATGTGTGTTGAACTTCTTTTGCACCGTACGTAGCCAACCGTGCTGATCGGAGAACCCGGGGGAGGTGGGGTAATAGAACAAACTAACACATTATATAAACACATTCTATAAACACATTCTATAAACACATTCTATAAACACATTCTATAAACACATTCTATAAACACATTCTATAGCCACATTCTATAGCCACATTCTATAAACACATTCTATAACCACATTCTATAAACACATTCTATAAACACATTCTATAAACACATTCTATAAACACATTCTATTAACACATTCTATAAACACATTCTATAAACACATTCTATAAACACATTCTATAAACACATTCTATAAACACATTCTATTAACACATTCTATAAACACATTCTATAAACACATTCTATAAACACATTCTATAAACACATTTTATAAACACATTCTATAAACACATTCTATAAACACATTCTATAAACACATTCTAATAACACATTCTATAAACACGTTCTATAAACACATTCTATAAACACATTCTATAAACATATTCTATAATCACATTCTATAAACACATTCTATAAACACATTCTATAAACACATTCTATAAACACATTCTATAAACACATTCTATAAACACATTCTATAAACACATTCTATAATCGCATTCTATAAACACATTCTATAATCACATTCTATAATCACATTCTATAAACACATTCTATAATCACATTCTATAAACACATTCTATAAACACATTCTATAATCACATTCTATAATCACATTCTATAAACACATTCTATAAACACATTCTATAAACACATTCTATAAACACATTCTATAATCACATTCTATAATCACATTCTATAAACACATTCTATAAACACATTCTATAAACACATTCTATAAACACATTCTATAATCACATTCTATAAACACATTCTATAAACACATTCTATAAACACATTCTATAAACACATTCTATAAACACATTATATAAACACATTATATAAACGCATTCTATAAACACATTCTATAAACACATTCTATAAACACATTCTATAAACACATTCTATAAACACATTCTATTAACACATTCTATAAACACATTCTATAAACACATTCTATAAACACATTCTATTAACACATTCTATAAACACGTTCTATAAACACATTCTATAAACACATTCTATAAACACATTCTATTAACACATTCTCTAAACACATTCTATAAACACATTCTATAAACACATTCTATAAACACATTCTATAAACACATTCTATAAACACATTCTATAAACACATTCTATTAACACATTCTATTAACACATTCTATTAACACATTCTATAAACACATTCTATAAACACATTCTATTAACACATTCTATTAACACATTCTATAAACACATTCTATAAACACATTCTATAAACACATTCTATAACCACATTCTATAAACACATTCTATACACACATTCTATTAACACATTCTATAAACACATTCTATAAACACATTCTATTAACACATTCTATTAACACATTCTATAAACACATTCTATAAACACATTCTATAAACACATTCTATAAACACATTCTATTAACACATTCTATAAACACATTCTATAATCACATTCTATAAACACATTCTATAAACACATTCTATAAACACATTCTATAAACACATTCTATTAACACATTCTATAAACACATTCTATAAAACATTCTATAAACACATTCTATAAACACATTCTATAAACACATTCTATAATCACATTCTATAAACACATTCTCCTGCGGAGGGATGAGCTGGTAGGAATGTTGGGTTGCGGGTCGGTCAATGGCCAGGGTCAACAACAACGGCGGCACCACGTGGTGGTGCGTTCCGCACAATATGCCACACTGTGAGGGCGGGCACAAGCCGGCGTGAGTTGGTGAAACGTTGAGTTTTATAAGGGGGGCACCACGGGGTGACCAGCCCCTCCCCGCCCAGCCCCACCCCACCCAGCCCCACGCCCCATCCTCCCCTCCCCACCCAGCCCCTCCCCACTCAGCCCCACCCAGCCCCTCCCCACCCAGCCCCTCCCTCCCATTTGTGGATGCACGACGGACGGACGGACACAATTATCCCCTGTGGGCTGGTGGTGGTGTAGTAACCCAGGAGGTTCCTACACAGTAACACAACAACAAACAGCAGCAGTTCTAAGGGAACGACTTTGTCGATCTAGATGATGATGATGATGTAAAAGTGCAGCATAGCTCCAGTGCCTTCCTAATATCGAAAGGGAAGAGCGTTCCAGACGGCCGCCTGAAAGCGCCGCGCGTTGATGCGGTGTGACCACTGTGTGTGTTCGATGGCGAGCCAAAAGTGTCATGTAAAGTGTAAGGTATAGCAGTTTATCGTGTAGTGTATAGTGTAGTGTATTGTATAATGTAATGTGTATTGTAGTGTGTAGTCGTGTATACTGTAATGTATAGTGTAGTGTATAGTAGTGTATAGTGTAGTGGAGAGTAGTGTATAGTATAATTTATAGTAGTGGGTAGTGTAGTGTATATAGTAGTGTATAGTAGTGTGTAGTGTAGTGGGTAGTGTAGTGTAGTGGGTAGTGTGTACAGTAGTGTATAGTAGTGTAGTGGGTAGTGTAGTGGGTAGTGTATTGTATAGTAGTGTGTAGTGTAGTGGGTAGTGTAGTGTATATAGTAGTGTATAGTAGTGGCTAGTGTAGTGTAGTGTATATAGTAGTGTGTAGTGTAGTGGGTAGTGTATATAGTAGTGTGTAGTGTAGTGTATAGTAGTGTAGTGGGTAGTGTAGTGTAGTGGGTAGTGTATATAGTAGTGTGTAGTGTATATAGTTGTGTGTAGTGTAGTTTATATAGTAGTGTAGTGGGTAGTGTAGTGTATATAGTAGTGTAGTGGGTAGTGTAGTGTATATAGTAGTGTGTAGTGTAGTGTATATAGTAGTCTGTAGTCTAGTGGGTAATGTAGTGTATATAGTAGTGTGTATTGTAGTGTGTAGTGTAGTGTATATAGTAGTGTGTAGTGTAGTGTGTAGTGTAGTGGGTAGTGTAGTGTATATAGTAGTGTAGTGTATATAGTAGTGTAGTGGGTAGTGTAGTGTATATAGTAGTGTGTATAGTAGTGTATATAGTAGTGTAGTGTAGTGGGTAGTATAGTGTGTATAGTAGTGTGTAGTGTAGTGGGTAGTGTAGTGTATATAGTAGTGTGTAGTGTAGTGTGTAGAGTAGTGGGTAAGGTAGTGGGTAGTGTAGTGTATATAGTAGTGTGTATAGTAGTGTGTAGTGTAGTGGGTAGTGTAGTGTATATAGTAGTGTGTAGTGTAGTGTGTAGAGTAGTGGGTAAGGTAGTGGGTAGTGTAGTGTATATAGTAGTGTGTAGTGTAGTATGTAGTGTAGTGGGTAGTGTAGTGTATATAGTAGTGTGTAGTGTAGTGTGTAGAGTAGTGGGTAAGGTAGTGGGTAGTGTAGTGTATATAGTAGTGTGTAGTGTAGTATGTAGTGTAGTGGGTAGTGTAGTGTATATAGTAGTGTGTAGTGTAGTGTGTAGAGTAGTGGGTAAGGTAGTGGGTAGTGTAGTGTATATAGTAGTGTGTAGTGTAGTATGTAGTGTAGTGGGTAGTGTAGTGTATATAACATCTGAAAGCGCGCGATGCGGTGACCACTGTCTTTGTACGACGGTTCACCACAAGCCGCCTCCACCGCTGCTACTACTGCTGCTGCTACTGCTGCTGCTACTGCTGCTGCTGCTCCTGCTGCCGCCGCTGCTGCTGCCGATGCTGCTGCCGCTGCTGCCGCCGCTGCTGCTAATGCTACTGCTGCTGCTGATGCCGCTGCTGCCGCCGCTCCGGTTTGACAGTGCGTGCGTGTGCACGCCGGCCCCCCCCCTCCCTGCCAGGCGCCGTTCCAGGATGCCCCGGCGCCAGACTTGGACGGGGGCCGTGGCAAGCAGCAACGTCTGGGGTGGCAGGGCCGCCTCGGAGAGAAGCCGGCGCTGTGGTCGCCTCCCCGTGCCGGCGCCAGCTCCCCGCGCAGGTGGACGGGCGTGCCGATGGCGAGCGTGGAGCGAGCCATCGGCACCGTCGTCACCATCGTCACGATCATCACAGCCATCGTCACCATCGTCACCATCATCATCGTCGCCATCGTCGACATTGGCGCCATCATATTGGCGTTGTCATCATGACTGTCACCATCATTATTATATTTGCTGTCGTCGCCATAATCACCGTCGCCATGATCCCCATTATCATCGTCATTATTATCATCGTCGCCATCATCGTCGCCATTGTCATCATCGTCACCGTCGTCACCATCGTCACGATCATCAACATCGTCACCATCATCACGATCATCACAGCCATCATCACCATCATCACCATCGTCACGATCATCACAGCCATCGTCACCATCATCACCATCATCATCGTCGCCATCGGCGCCATCATATTGGCGTTGTCATCATCACCGTCACCATCATTATTATATTCGCTGTCGTCACCATAATCACCGTCGTCACCATCGTCATTATCATCGTCATCATTATCATCGTCGCCATCATCGTCGCCATCGTCGTCATCATCGTCACCATCATCGTTATCATCGTCACTTTCGTCACCGTCGTCACCATTGTCACCATCGTCACGATCATCACAGCCATCGTCACCATCGTTACCATCGTAACCATCGTCACCATCGTCACGATGATCACAGCCATCGTCACCATCGTCACGATGATCACAGCCATCGTCACCATCGTCACCATCATCATCATCATCACGATCATCACAGCCATCGTCACCTTCGTCACCATCGTCACCATCATCACCATCGTCACCATCATCACCATCATCACCATCATCACCATCGTCACCATCATCACCATCATCACCATCGTCACCATCATCACCATCGTCACCATCATCACCATCGCCACCATCATCACCATCGTCACCATCGTCACCATCGTCACCATCGTCACCATCATCACCATCATCACCATCGTCACCATCATCACTATCGTCACCATCGTCACCATCGTCATTATCGCCACCATCCTCACCATCGTCACCATCCTCACCATCGTCACCATCATCACCATCGTCACCATCGTCACCATCATCATTATCGCCACCATCCTCACCATCGTCACCATCCTCACCATCGTCACCATCATCACCATCATCTTCGCCATCGTCGCCATCAGCACCATCATTGGCGTTGTCATCACTGTCACCATCATTATTATATTCGCTGTCATCACCATAATCACCGTCGCCATGATCACCATTATCATCATCATTATCATCGTCGCCATCATCACCATCATCGTTATCATCGTCACCTTCGTCACCGTCGTCACCATCGTCACCATCGTCACCATCATCACAGCCATCGTCACAGCCATCGTCGTCACCATCATCACCATCGTCACAGCCATCATCACAGCCACCGTCGTCACCATCGTCACCATCATCACCATCGTCACCATCATCATTATCGTCACCATCATCACCATCGTCACCATCATCACCATCGTCACCATCGTCACCATCATCACCATCGTCACCATCATCACCATCGTCACCATCATCATTATCGTCACCATCGTCACCATCGTCACCATCACCATCGTCACCATCGTCATCATCGTCACCATCATCACCATCATCACCATCATCGTCACAGCCATCATCACAGCCACCGTCGTCACCGTCGTCAGCTATCGCTGGGTGTTTGTGCCGCGTGGTGTTTCACGCTGTGTCACCGCACCCCGCTGACGCAGCTTCCTTCTTGCTGTTCGGCTTTCCGCAGCTTCGCGTCGCCGGCGCACGCGGACGCACGGACCGCACCGCCCCACGCAGGTCAGGGCCGCCGCCGCTGCTGCACATTCGGAGTTTGCGTCTCTCTGTCTCTCATCATCATCATCATCCTCGTCGTCAAGGTGGCCTAGGGGATGTTGGCTACCTCGCCCGGTACGCAGGAGGTCGTGGCTTCGTTCCCGAGTACTTGGCTGCCTGTACGTTCCCACGTGACGATGAGCCACTTCGCTGGGCTGAGACATGTGGCCTGGTTGCTTCTGAAAGAGTTATTTATATATATATATTTACATAATAAAGGTTTTTGGGTTAGATCGCGTTATTTATAAATGTGTCGTAACCCTCCACCACCCGACACGGCCAATCAGCAAAAAAAGTGTCACGTTGACAAAAGACAAAATTAGTTCACTACTTTAGCCCACCGGTGTGTTGAAGAGTAAATCTACAACATTTACAGTTTGAGTACGACGTTTCGCTGGTTAATTCTTGCGAATTGCCCGATGATGCTGGATGTATTTGCCAGCGAAACGTCGTACTACTCAAACTGTAAATGTTGTGGATTCACTTTTCAACACACCGGTGTGAGGCTAAAGTAGTGAACTAATTTTGTCTTTTGTCAACGTGACACTTTGTTTTGCTGATTGGCCGTGTCGGGTGGTGGAGGGTTACGACACATTTATAAATAACGCGATCTAACCCAAAAACCTTTATTATGAACATATTTATATAGCTCGGTGAAGGGGGCCTCCTTACGTCGTGAAAATCAAAATCAATGCGCAGTGACGGCGCACCGTGGTGAATTGTCAGGAGCCTCTTACTCGGACACGGCGCCAGCGATGGCCAGGCTTGGTTCTAGAGTCTCGGGCTCTGTCTTCTCTCTCCTCGTGCCGTCTCCCTTCATAGCTCCCGGGCCACCCTCGCTGGAGGGCCTCGCATCATCCCCCACTCCGTTCGGGCCAATCCTGAGCCCCACCAACGTCTCTCAGCCCCCTCTCTCGGCAGTCCACCCCTCGCTTGTCGCACTTTTACCCTGCGAGTATTTCCTCCAATCCCCTTTCAGTGTTGCCACCGGGCCCCGGTCTCCATGGAGGCCTCTCGGTGCCAACGGGAGGCCTTGGCCTGCCACCCTCATTGTTTGTCTGTCTGACCGCACGCCCGCCCGCCCGCCCGCCCGCGTCGGCTAAGCGGTCTGCTGCCCTCGGTCGTTTTAATATTTTGATTTAAAGCTTTCGTGGCCGCAGGGATTCGTATTCTTGGTTCTTTCGGTAAATACTCTTTGGTTCTATTCGGTAAAGTCACCACGTAGGTAAAAAATAAAACAACAAAAATCACGACGTTTCGGCCACAACACAAGCGGCCTTCATCAGGTTGAAGGGACCAGGCTGTCTCGAGGACAGCGCTGGAGTGAACACAGCCACGCTCAGACCGCGGATCTTTAAGCTGTGTGAGAGGAATTAAGGTGCCTTGACAAAGGAATTAGCATAAAAATGTAGCATTTGATTGGCTGACTTAGCATAGAGGTGGTGTACATGCGGGTGCACATGCCGGTTGGTGCGGGGGGGGGAGGGGGAGTTTACCTATTGATGGTGTGAAAAGGGAATTTAAGAGCTGCGAAAGTTTGGGGTACCACTACTTGAAACTCCCCCTCCCCCCCCCCGCTCCAACCGGCAAGTGCACCCGCATGTACACCACCTCTATGCTAAGTCGGCCAATCAAATGCTAATTTTTATGCTAATTCCTTTGTCAAGGCACCTTGTTTCCTCGCACACAGCTTAAAGGTCGCGGTCTGAGCGTGGCTGTGTTCACTCCAGCGCTGTCTTCGAGACAGTCCGATCCCTTCACCTGATGAAGGCCGCTTGTGTTGTGGCCGAAACGTCGTGATTTTTGTTGTTTTATTTTTTACCTACGTTGGTGACTTTACCGAATAGAACCAAAGAGTATGGATCCTTGCAGTCACGAAAGCTTTAAATCTTTCGGTAAAGTCACCGCCGCGTAGAAGGGAGACACTGAAATAATAAAAAATATGAAACAATAAAAAATTCTCACGGCGTTTCGACTGCAGCACAAGAATCAGCAATCATCATCAGGTGTGAAAACCACGGCAATAATTTTTTTTTTCAAATTTTCTTGTTTTTCAAATGTTCTTGCTGTGGTTTTTCACACCTGATGATGGCTGCTTGCGCTGCAGTCGAAACGTCGTGAGAATTTTATTGGTTTTATATTTTTATTATTTTGTTTTCCTTTCTACGTGGTGGTGACTTTTGCGAAAGAAGCAAGAATGTGATGTTTTAATAGTTTAGACCCATCGGGTGCTGTCGGCTGCGCTTTGTGCTCCGCTCGGCGTTTCCCGAACGCTTTGGAATGGCATTTACATTATGAGACCTCCTGTGCCAGTAACAAGATATAGTAATAGGTTTTTACCCTTTTAACTGGCACAAAAAACTGACACCCTTATTCAAGGCATCATGTCTGCAATAACCACAACACAAGCGTCTTCTGGTTCAACACCAGCGGAGACTAGGCTCTAAAGAAAGCCGTCTCGGGTGTGGACCAATCAAATTCAAGGACAGTGCCAATATTATTTTCAGAGTTGTCTTTTTTGTTTGCATTTTGACTGCTTGCGTTGTGGTTATTGCAGACATGATGCCTTGAATAAAGGTGTCAGTTTATTGTGCCAGTTAAAAGGGTAAAACCTATTCCTATATCTTGTTACTGGTAAAGGAGGTCTCATAATGTAAATGCTCACCCCGAGCCCTCAATACTCTGATAGTGCGCTGTTTTTGAGTTGTACGCCTTTTGGCGTCTTCTGGTCCAACACCAGTGGAGACTAGGCTCTAAGAAAAGCCGTCTCTGGTGTGGACCAATCAAATTCAAGGACAGTGCCAATATTATTATTATCAGAGTTGTCTCTTTTGTTTGCATTTTGACTGCTTGTGTTGTGGTTATTGCAGACATGATGCCTTGAATAAAGGTGTCAGTTTTTTGTGCCAGTTAAAAGGGTAAAACCTATTACTACGCTTTGGAATGGCTCCGTTGTTTCAGGTGGGCCCTCGCCGCCGCCGCCGCTGCTGCCGGCGGCCACGGAACCCCGGTTCATGTCACCGACCAGGGACACCGGCGATGATGCTGGCGGCGTTGATGATGACCACGATGGCAGCGATGGTGAATATCGTGACGACGACGATGATGACGACGCTGGCAATGCCGGCGACGACGATAATGATGATGATGATGCTGGTCGCGACGGCGATGAAGATCGTGGTGACGACGACGATGATGACGGCGATGGTGACGATGATGAAGATTGTGAGAACGATGGCGACAACGGTGGCGATGCTGGCGATGACGATGATCGTGATGACGGTGGGCATGATGGTGGCGATGAAGATGGCGATGGCGGCGGCGGCGACGCAGACAGCGAGCGAGAGGAGGAGCAGTGTGGAGGTAAATGTGCAGCTCCCCGCAAGGTGCCACTCACGCCACCGCTGGCAGGAGGGGCCCTTGCCCTCTGGAGGGTGTTTGGCCTACTCTTCCACACACCTCTCCCCCCCCCACCCCCACCCCCACCCCCACCCAATGATGACTGGTAATATTGTTATTATAACGGTTGCTGAGCGTAGGCAAAACCAACTGCAAGCGGCTAGCAACAAGCAGCACTTAGAGCAGGAGTGATGGATGAGAGTGTAATGCGTGTGGCGATGATGGTGGTGGGGGTTGTGATGATGATGGTGGTGGTGGGGATGGTGGTGATGGGGATGATGGTGGTGGCGATGATGGTGGTGGTGGCGATGGTGGTGATGGTGGATTGCAGAGTGGAGCGGTGCAGAGGGAAGGAGCAGAGAGGGAAATGAGGAGGCCGGCAGTCTGGTGACTGGGTGGGTGAGTGAGTGACTGGGTGGGTGAGTAAGTGGGTGAGTGGGTGAGTGAGTGGGTGAGTGGGTGGTGGTTGAGTGACTGAGTGGGTGAGTGACTGGGTGGGTGGGTGAGTGAGTGGGTGGGTGGGTGACTGGGTGACTGAGTGGGTGAGTGAGTGGGTGGGTGAGTGACTGGGTGGGTGAGTGACTGAGTGGGTGAGCGAGCGACTGGATGAATGGCTGGGTGAGTGAGTGGGTGATTGACTGGTTGAGTGAGTGGGTGATTGACTGGATGAGTGAGTGGGTGAGTGACTGGTTGAGCGAGTGGGTGAGTGACTGGTTGAGTGAGTGGGTGATTGACTGGTTGAGTGAGTGGGTGAGTGACTGGTTGAGCGAGTGGGTGAGTGACTGCGTGAGTGACTGATTGAGTTATTAGGCGAGTTGGGGGTTGCTGATGTTGCTGATAACGATGCTGTTACTGAGGACGATGTTGCTGATAATGATGCTGCTGATGACGATGCTGTTACTGATGATAATGCTGCTTCTGCTGCTGATGACGCTGCTGCTGCTGCTGCTGTGTGTCGAGCAGGAGCGACGCTGCACCTGGCCGTGACGGGGGAGGCGCTGAGCACCCTGCAGAGGAAGATCGACTCCCTGCAGGCCCTGGTGGAGGAGCTTCAGAGCTCAAACCAAGGTGGCAGCTTGTCTGTCCGTACGTGTGTCCGTCTGTACTTGTCCGTCCATCTGTCCGTCTGTCCGTACGTAGAGTTCGTCTCTCCGTACGTGTGTCCGTCCATACGTGTGTCCGCCTGTACGTCTGTCCGTACGTAGAGTCCGTCTGTCCGTGTGTCCGTCTGTCCGTATATGTGTCCGTCTGTAGGTGTGTCCGTCCATTCGTACATATGTCCGTATGTATATCTGGCCGTACGTGCGTCTGTCCGTGTGTCCGTCCGTACCTGCATCTGTCCGTGCGTGTGTCCGTCCGTACGTGTCCATACGTGCATCCATCTGTACGTGTGGCCGTCCGTGTGTGTGTGTCCGTCCGTGTGTCTGTCTGTGCGCGTGTCTGTAGCGTGCGTGTATGCGTGCGTCTATCCGTGCGTACATCCGTGTGTCCGTAGCGTGTGTGCGTGTCCATCGGTGTGTTCGTGTGTCCGTAGCGTGTGTGCGTGTCCATCGGTGTGTTCGTGTGTCCGCAGCGTGTGTGCGTGTCCATCGGTGTGTTCGTGTGTCCGTAGCGTGTGTGCGTGAATGCGTGTGTCTCGTGCATGTGTCCCGTCCGTGTGTGCGTGTGTCGCGTTCGCGTGTCCATAGCGTGTGTCCGTAGCGTGTGTCCGTAGCGTGTGTCCGTAGCGTGTGTCCGTAGCGTGTGTGCGTGCGTCCCGTCCGTGTGTGCGTGTGTCCGTAGCGTGTGTCCGTAGCGTGTGTCCGTAGCGTGTGTCCATAACGTGTGTCCGTAGCGTGTGTGCGTGTGTCTGTGTGTGTGTGCGTGTGTCTGTGTGTGCATGTGTCTGTGTTTCTGTGTGTGTCTGTCCGTCTGTGTGTGCATGTGTCTGTGTGTGCGTGTGTCTGTGTGTCCATCTATGTGTCTGCGTGTGTCTGTGTGTGCGTGTGTCTGTGTGTCTTTGTGTGTGTGTCTGTGTGTCTGTCCGTCTGTGTGTGCGTGTGTCTGTGTGTGCGTGTGTCTGTGTGTCTGTGTGTCTGTGTGTGCGTGTGTCTGTGTGTCTGTGTGTCTGTCCGTCTGTGTGTGCGTGTGTCTGTGTGTCCGTGTGTTTGCTTTATTGACCTGGTCAAGGCCTATGATACCATCAGTAGGCCAGGGCTCTGGGTTGTTCTTCGTGCTTTTGGAGTCCCTGACCCTCTTCTCACGATCATTAAGGACCTTCATGATGGTGAGCGAGCCCGGGTAAAACTACGTGGCCGGGAGTCAGAGCCATTCCCTGTACACCTTGGGGTGCGACAGGGATGTCCTCTGGCTCCCACATTATTTAACATCTATTTTGACCACGTAGTTCGTGAAGCCTTCAACAGCTGTACCGGGGGAATCTCCATATGGTACAGATATAATGGTAGGCTGATCGATGCCCGGGTGCGGTCAAGGGATGGCTCCCTATTGCTCAACCACGTTATGTATGCTGATTTGGTAATAGCTGCTCATTCAGAGGAGGAGTTGGAGACGCTGCTGCTGAGACTGGAGCATGCCACTAAGAGGTGGGGCCTTACCATCAGCCCCACCAAAACTAAGCACCTGCCTGGGTATTTTGTACCTTCGGACACTCCACCCCCACAACTCCAATCGGTGATGGGGCAGTTGTGGAGAGAGTGGAGAGTTTCCCATACCTGAGCAGTGTGCTTATGACCGGCTCCAGTTTAACAGCAGAGGTCTCACTCCGAATCAATCGAGCGGCAATATCTTTTCATCGGTTGCGTAACGCTGTGTGGAAGCTACCTGGTCTGTCGCTCCACACTAAGCTTCAGGTCTTCTCGGCCACGGTCATTCCCTCCCTTCTCTACGCTTGCGAAACGTGGACCCCCCTAATGGAACATCTTCGCCGGTTAGAAACATTTAGGCTGGCCTGCCTACGATCCATCCTGGGTTTAACCAGACTGGATTGTGTGAGGAGCTCACAAATCCTTGAAAGATCTGGGTGGGGTCCCATCGGTGGGCTCCTCCGGCGGGCAAGGCTGCGTTGGCTGGGTCATGTAGCCCGCATGCCCAGCCACCGCATGCCTAAACAGCTTTTGTTCGGCCGGATCGAGGGGGCTAAACGGGTGCGGCACGGGCTAGAGAAGAGATGGAGTGATGTGGTACAAGAGGACGTGGAGCTGAGTGGACTTGCCGATGACTGGTACCAGCGGTGTCAAGATCGGCCTCTGTGGAGGAGGCTCATGAAGGACGCTACTGGACAGTTGGAGGTAGTCGCCCTCCAACAACAACGGAGGGCGGAGGAGCGATGCTCAGAACAACGAGCGGAGCGCCGGGTGGCTAAAGTACAGCAGGTTGGCACAGTAGGGGGCTCAGGTGGTGCATCAGCCAGTGATCTCAGTCAGTCGACCCGTGGCACCTGGGTCTGCCCCGTGACCTCCTGCCGGCGGGCGTTCGACACTTCACGTGGCCTCAGGGTGCACATAGCCTGGCACAAGCGTCGTGGTGACGTCACCGCCACTTAGTGGCGAATGGCGGTTGTTGTTGTGTCTGTGTCTGTGTGTGTGTCTGTCCGTCTGTGTGATTCTCTCTCCCTGCTTCTGCTCATCTCCCTCCGCCCAGCCCTGGCCCACACGGTGCGGTGGGCCCAGCCGCGTCCGGCCCCGGCTGTTGCCTGGAGGAGCTGAAGGCCCCAGACGGAGCGTGGAGGAGCTGAAGGCCCCAGTCGGAGCGTGGAGGAGCTGAAGGCCCCAGGCGGAGCGTGGAGGAGCTGAAGGCCCCAGACGGAGCGTGGAGGAGCTGAAGGCCCCAGGCGGAGCGTGGAGGAGATGAAGGCCCCAGGCGGAGCGTGGAGGAGCTGAAGGCCCCAGGCGGAGCGTGGAGGAGCTGAAGGCCCCAGGCGGAGCGTGGAGGAGCTGAAGGCCCCAGGCGGAGCGTGGAGGAGCTGAAGGCCCCAGGCGGAGCGTGGAGGAGCTGAAGGCCCCAGACGGAGCGTGGAGAAGCTGAAGGCCCCAGACGGAGCGTGGAGGAGCTGAAGGCCCCAGGCGGAGCACCAGGGCCGCACGGTGTCTGGGGCTCGGATCGGGGCCACTATGTGGCAGGCGACATCACCGCGGCGCTCGTGCCAGGCTAGGTGCACTTTTGAGACCGTCACGTGAAGTTTGGAAGGCTCTCCCACCCGCTGGCGGGAGGTCACGGGACAGAGCCCGGTGTTGTTGGTTCACTGCTGTGCCAGGCTAGGTGCAGGAGGAGGTCACGGGGACAGACCCAGCAGGTGCCATGGGATGCACCGTCTAAACTATTTTATTTTACCAGGTAAGGCCTCACTGAGCTACGTATCTCGTTTTCAAAAGGGACCTGGCCATCACAGATGATGGCTCAACAAAGTGGCTGATGTCGTCGTCGTCATCATCATCGTCATCGTGTGGAGATGCACAGCGGTCAAATGCTCTAAACGCGTGGCGATGTTGATTCTAAATGTGCAGGGAATAACCGGGGAGAGAAAGAGAGGGAGAGACGCAGACTCCAAATATACAGCAGCAGCAGCAGGCATCGTCAGGGTCAGGGATCGAACCCACGACCTCCTGCGTACCTGGCGAGGTAGTTAACATCTCCTAGTCACCTATGCTGCCCACTGCACCAACTCGCCGTTTTTATAAACCCCAGCGCTCCGCTCATTATTGTGAGCGTCACTCCTCCACCCTCTTCATATGTACGTTGAACTCCATCGTACGTAGCCAACGGTGTTGATCGGAGGGTGGGTGAGTGGCTATGTGAGTGGGGAGAGTGACTATGTGAGTGTATGTATGTATGTTTAACTTCTTTCGTACTGGGTGAGTGTGTGTGTGTGGGTTGAGTGACTGTGTGCGTGACTGCGAGTCGGTGTGTGTGTGTACGTGATGTTTAACTCCTTTCTGCGCTAACAGGAGGTGCGCGGGAAGGACAACAAACTAAACACAGCAACAAGAAACGATATTCTTAGCTCTTTCGGTAAAGTCACGTTGAAGGGAAACAATAAATAATAATAAAATATATATAAAACAATAAAACAAATTCTCACGACGTTTCGACCATAACACAAACGGTCGAAACGTCGTGAGAATTTTTTTTATTGTTTTATATATATTTTATTGTTTCCCTTCAACGTGATTTTACCGAAAGAGCTAAGAATATGAATCACTGCAGTCACGAAAGCTTTAAATCAACAAGAAACGAGTTTGTCAATCGAGATGATTGCGGTGTGAAAGTGCGGCAGAGCTCCCAGTGGCTTCCTAACATCGGAAGAACGTTCCAGACGGCCGCAGATGCGGCGGCTGAAAGCGCCGCGTGATGATGCGAAAGCTGCGCGGAGTTGTGCACGCACAGACACACATGACACTCACGTGTGTCTCACCGTTACAGACACTAGTGACACGCGTGTGTCTCACCGTTACAGACACACGTGACACTCGCGTGTGTCTCACCGTTAACACTGCGGTGCAGACACTAGTGACACTCGCGCGTGTCTCACCGTTAACACTGTGGTGAGACACACACAGACACACGTGACACGTGTGTCTCACCGTTAACACCGCGGTGAGACACAGACACTAATGACACTCACGTGTGTCTCACCGTTACAGACACTAGTGACACTCACGCGTGTCTCACCGTTAACACCGTGGTGAGACACAGACACACGTGACACTCACGTGTGACACTCACGTGTGTCTCACCGTTAACACCGCGGTGTTCTGTACGCTTCATCGCGGCCGGCCTGTAAAGCTCTATGCCCCCTTTTTTTTTGGGGGGGGGGGGCGCCATGTAATCCGGTCTGGGGGGCTCAGCCAATCTCCTGGTCCCGCGGGAAACCGTGGGACGTCCCTGCTAGCGGGGTCCTCGGGTGAAAACCCATCGTACCGGGCGATCCCTCCTCGAGACCCTACGGGGGTGCATGCGAGTGTCTCGTGGGGCTGTGCGTTGCGTTCGTGGGGGGGTGCGAGGGGGTGGAGAGGGAAGCGCCGGCCGAGCTGCTGCGGTGGCACCACAGGGGCCTGCGCTAGGCCTCGGCATCAACTCCATGCTGCTCTGCGCCACCCCCCCCCCCCCCCCACCGGGCCGAGCGAGCAAGCGGGGAAGATGGAGACTCGGACTTGGCTGGGGAAAGGATTGAATTGAGGGGCGTCGTGCCAGCGACGGTTCGTCGCGGTTTTTTTTCCAAGCAGAAACTTTTGTCATGAACACGCTGACACGAAGTGCATTGCGTGAGGTGTGGGGGAGTGACTGTGTGAGTGGGTGAGTAACTGTGTGAGTGGGTGAGTGACTGTGTGAGTGGGTGAGTGACTGTGTGAGTGGGTGAGTGACTGTGTGAGTGGGTGAGTGACTGTATGAGTGGGTGAGTGACTGTGTGAGCGGGTGAGTGACTGTGTGAGTGGGTGAGTGACTGTATGAGTGGGTGAGTGGCTGAGAGAGTGGGTGAGTGACTGTGTGAGTGGGTGAGTGGCTGTGTGAGTGGGTGGGTGATTGTGTGAGTGGGTGAGTCACTGTGAGTGGGTGAGTGACTGTGTGAGTGGGTGAGTGACTATGTGAGTGGGTGAGTGACTGTGTGAGTGGGTGAGTGACTGTATGAGTGGGTGAGTGGCTGTGAGAGTGGGTGAGTGACTGTGTGAGTGGCTGTGAGAGTGGGTGAGTGACTGTGTGAGTGGGTGAGTCACTGTGAGTGGGTGAGTGGGTGAGTGACTGTGTGAGTGGGTGAATTACTGTGTGAGTGGGTAAGTCACTGTGTGAGTGGGTGAGTGACTGTGTGAGTGGGTGAATGACTGTGTGAGTGACTGTGAGTGGGTGAGTGACTATGTGAGTGGGTGAGTGACTGTGTGAGTGGGTGAGTGACTATGTGAGTGACTGTGTGAGTGGGTGAGTGACTGTGTGAGTGGGTGAGTGACTGTGTGAGTGGGTGAGTGACTGTGTGACTGGATGAGTGACTGTGTGAGTGGGTGAGTAACTATTTGAGTGGGTGAGTGACTGTGTGGGTGAGTGAGTGGGTGAGTGGCTATGTGAGTGGGTGAGTGACTGTGTGAGTGGGTGAGTGACTGTGTGAGTGGGTGAGTGGGTGGGTGACTGTGTGAGTGGGTGAGTGACTGTGTGACTGGATGAGTGACTGTGTGAGTGGGTGAGTAACTATGTGAGTGGGTGAGTGACTGTGTGAGTGAGTGGGTGAGTGGCTATGTGAGTGGGTGAGTGACTGTGTGAGCGGGTGAGTGACTGTGTGAGTGGGTGAGTGGCTGTGTGAGTGGGTGAGTGACTGTGTGAGTGGGTGAGTGACTGTGTTAGAGGGTGAGTGACTGTGTGAGTGGGTGAGTGACTGTGTGAGCGGGTGAGTGACAGTGTGAGTGGGTGAGTGACTGTGTGAGTGGGTGAGTGACTGTGTTAGAGGGTGAGTGACTGTGTGAGTTGGTGAGTGGCTGTGTGAGTGGGTGAGTGGCTGTGTGAGTGGGTGAGTGACTGTGTGAGTGGGTGAGTGACTGTGTGAGTGGGTGAGTGACTGTGTGAGTGGGTGGGTGAGTGGCTGTGTGAGTGGGTGAGTGGCTGTGTGAGTGGGTGAGTGGGTGAGTGGCTGTGTGAGTGGGTGAGTGACTGTGTGAGTGGGTGAGTGGCTGTGTGAATGGGTGAGTGACTGTGTGAGTAGTGTAGCCCGTGGGTGTGCTAGCGATCTCACAGTACCCCTAGTCCAACCCCATCACTCACAATGGTTTAGTCCAACCCCGTCACCCACAATGGTCTAGTCCAACCCCGTCACTCACAATGGTCTAGTCCAACCCCGTCACTCACAATGGTCTCGTCCAACCCCGTCACTCACAATGGCCTAGTCCAAACCCATCACTCGCAATGGTTTAGTCCAACCCCATCACTCGCAATGGCCTAGCCCAACCCCGTCACCCACAATGGTCTAGTCCAACCCCGTCACTCACAATGGTCTAGTCCAACCCCGTCACTCACAATGGTCTAGTCCAACCCCGTCACTCACAATGGTCTAGTCCAACCCCATCACTCCCGTCACTCACAATGGCCTAGTCCAACTCCATCACTCACAATGGTTTAGTCCAACCACATCACTCACAATGATCTCGTCCAACCCCGTCACTCACAATGGTCTAGTCCAACCCCGTCACTCACAATGGCCTAGTCCAACCCCATCACTCATAATGGTTTAGTCCAACCTCATCACTCGCAATGGTCTAGTCCAAACCCCTTCACTCCCAATGGTCTAGCCCAACCCCATCACTCACAATGGTCTAGCCCAACCCCGTCACTCACAATGGCCTAGTCCAACCAATATCACTCACAATGGTCTAGCCCAACCCCGTCACTCACAATGGTCTATTCCAACCCCGTCACTCACAATGGTCTAGCCCAACCCCGTCACTCACAATGGTCTAGCCCAACCCCGTCACAATGGTCTAGTCCAACCCTGTCACTCACAATGGTCTAGCCCAACCCCATCACTCACAATGGTTTAGTCCAACCCCATAGCTCACAATGGTCTAGTCCAACCCCATCACTCACAATGGTCTAGTCCAACCCCATCACTCACAATGGTCTAGCCCAACCCCGTCACTCACAATGGCCTAGTCCAACCCCATCACTCACAATGGTCTAGCCCAACCCCATCACTCACAATGGTCTAGTCCAACCCCATCACTCATAATGGCATCGTCCAACCCCATCACTCACAATGGTCTAGCCCAACCCCGTCACTCACAATGGCCTAGTCCAACCAATATCACTCACAATGGTCTAGTCCAAACCCCTTCACTCCCAATGGTCTAGCCCCAACCCCGTCACTCACAATGGTCTAGTCCAAACCCCGTCACTCACAATGGTCTAGTCCAAACCCCGTCCCTCACAATGGTCTAGTCCAACCCCATCACTGACAATGGTCTAGTCCAACCCCGTCACTCACAATGGTCTAGTCCAACCCCGTCACTCACAAAGGTCTAGTCCAAACCCCGTCACTCACAATGTTCTAGCCCCAACCCCGTCACTCACAATGGTCTAGTCCAATCCCGTCACTCACAATGGTCTAGTTCAACCCCCGTCACCCACAATGGTCTAGTCTAACCCCGTCACTCACAATGGTCTAGCCCCAACCCCGTCACTCACAATGGTCTAGCCCCAACCCCGTCACTCACAATGGTCAAGTCCAAACCCCGTCACTCACAATGGTCTAGTCCAAACCCCGTCACTCACAATGGTCTAGTTCAACCCCATCACTGACAATGGTCTAGTCCAACCCCGTCACTCACAATGGTCTAGTCCAACCTCGTCACTCACAAAGGTCTAGTCCAAACCCCGTCACTCACAATGTTCTAGCCCCAACCCCGTCACCCACAATGGTCTAGTCCAACCCCGTCACTCACAATGGTCTAGTCCAACCCCCGTCACCCACAATGGTCTAGTCCAACCCCGTCACTCACAATGGTCTAGCCCCAACCCCGTCACTCACAATGGTCTAGCCCCAACCCCGTCACTCACAATGGTCTAGTCCAAACCCCGTCACTCACAATGGTCTCGACCGGCGTTTTTTTTTTTGCTGTTGTCGTCGTCGTCGCTCTCGTTGCAACCAATGAGCGCGCGCCCGGCTGTCACGTGACGCGCACATCCGGGAACCGCCGCTGAGTCTTCGTCGAGGCGGCAGTTTGCCCGCGGCCGCCTCCCTCGTCCGCGTTGCCATGGGTGCGATTTTTGAGGTAAATTTTTTTTTAATTTTTTAATTAAATCTTAATTTTTTTAAATTAACTCAATCCCACTTTGAGATCTCTCTCGAGTTGACATTGTCGACATTAGCCTACAACCCCCTCCCCCACCCTTGCCCGCGCGCCGAGTGAGTTGCTACCGGGATGAGGTGTTTTTTTTTACGCCTCACTTGAAGCTTCTGGAAAGTGGATTTTGTCAGCCGTGGGTGGGTGTGGGGAGAGGGACGATTATCGCGATACGATATCAAACACTTCGCGATACGTTATCAAACACTTCGCGATTATCGCGATACGATGCTGAACGAGTCAAGATATCGCAAGGCGATGTCAAACAAGTCGCGATACGATGCCAAACAAGTCGAGATATCGCGATGGGATGTCAAACACTTCGCGATACGATATCAAACACTTCGCGATTATCGCGATACGATGCCAAACAAGTCGAGATATGGGATGTCAAACACTTCGCGATACGATATCAAACACTTAGCGATTATCGCGATACGATAGCGAACGAGTCGAGGTATCGCGATACGATATCAAAGAAATCGCGATTCGATAGCAAACACTTCGCGATTATCGCGACACGATATCAATCGAGTCGCGATTCATCGCGATACTGTGCCGAAGATCCCGCGATTATCGCGATACGGCATCAACCGAGTCGCGATTGTCGCGATACGAAGCCAATGAAGCCGCGATTATCGCGATACGATATAGTTCGAGTCGAGATATCGCGATACGATATCTGTGACGTCACATCAAAATGCGCAACTTTATAAATAAATATCGACACAACACGTTCTGCTTAATTAAACAGACTTTGTAATAAATGTGTTCTCTCCTACAACATCAGAGTGCATCGTCACATTAAATACGCAACTACAATGACAACAATAGTTTAAAGCGATACTCTTTTGTTCTATTGGTTAAAGTTACGTAGGTGAAAAAAGCGATTTGAAGCGTGTTTTATTGGTTTTTGGGGGGGGGGGCAGAGCTTCGTGACGTCATATTTGAGGGGGGTCTGCCGTTTTGTGACGTCATGTGACGATTGGGGGAGGTGGGTCAAAAAGTGTCCAGAATCACGTGACGTCATTTATGGACGGCCCCAAAACCAATTGGCACGTTCTGTTTACGCGACAAACCTCTTACTATATATATCCTTAGCTCTTTCGGTGAAGTCACGTTGAAGGGAAACAATAAAATTATAAAATATATATTTTATTGTTTCCCTATATATAATAAAATATATTTTTCATTATTTTATTGTTTCCCTTCAACGTGACTTTACCGAAAGAACCAAGAATATGAATCACTGCAGTCACGAAAGCTTTAAATAAAATTTAAAAAAAACCCTTACCGATTGGCCGTCGGGTGGTGGCGGGTTTGACGACACAATATTTATATTAACGCGACGACCTGAATCCTAAACAAACCCTCTTGGGGGTCATATTGGTCGCTCCACCACGCGTCGAGCTAACACGGCCATGCGATGTGTTATGGTCCAACGCACACAACTACAGTATAAACGGGAGCATCGCACTGTGTAACCAAAAAATATTTTTTTTGTTCCTGGGTAGTAAGTGTTATTGGGGCCGTCCATAAATGACGTCACGCACCTAAGGGGGGGGGGGTTGTGTGACGATGTGTGACGTGGGGAGGGGGGTCAAAAATCGTCCAAAATGCGTGACGTCATTTATGGACGGCGACTATTTTCCAATTGCCTCAAAAGTACGTAAATTGGTTTTTATTATTCCCCACGAAGTTTGCTTTTGTGACCAGGGCGGTGATATTCTGAAATGCGCCTATTGTGAATGAGAACACGTGGTGTGTGTTTGTGTCGTTACTTTGTAATGTGCCTGTTGTGAATGAGAACACGTGGTGTATCGTTACTGTGTCGTTACTTTGTAATGTGCCTGTTGTGAATGAGAACACGTGGTGTGTCGTTACTGTGTCGTTACTTTGTAATGTGCCTATTGTGAATGAGAACACGTGGTGTGTCGTTACTGTGTCGTTACTTTGTAATGTGCCTGTTGTGAATGAGAACACGTGGTGTGTTTGTGTTGTTACTTTGTAATGTGCCTATTGTGAATGAGAACACGTGGTGTGTGTTTGTGTTGTTACTTTGTAATGCGCCTATTGTGAATGAGAGCACGTGGTGTGTCGTTACTTTGTAATGTGCCTATTGTGAATGAGAACACGTGGTGTGTCGTTACTGTGTCGTTACTTTGTAATGTGTCTATTGTGAATGAGAACACGTGGTGTGTGTTTGTGTCGTTACTTTGTAATGTGCCTATTGTGAATGAGAACACGTGGTGTGTGTTTGTGTCGTTACTTTGTAATGTACCTATTGTGAATGAGAACACGTGGTGTGTCGTTACTATGTCGTTACTTTGTAATGTGCCTGTTGTGAATGAGAACACGTGGTGTGTCGTTTGTGTCGTTACTTTGTAATGTGCCTATTGTGAATGAGAACACGTGGTGTGTGTTTGTGTTACTTTGTAATGTGCCTATTGTGAATGAGAACACGTGGTGTGTCGTTACTTTGTAATGTGCCTCTTGTGAATGAGAACACGTGGTGTGTGTTTGTGTTGTTACTTTGTAATGTGCCTATTGTGAATGAGAACACGTGGTGTGTGTTTGTGTTGTTACTTTGTAATGTGCCTGTTGTGAATGAGAACACGTGGTGTGTCGTTACTTTGTAATGTGCCTGTTGTGAATGAGAACACGTGGTGTGTGTTTGTGTTGTTACTTTATAATGTGCCTATTGTGAATGAGAACACGTGGTGTGTGTTTGTGTCGTTACTTTGTAATGTGCCTGTTGTGAATGAGAACACGTGGTGTGTCGTTACTTTGTAATGTGCCTATTGTGAATGAGAACACGTGGTGTGTGTTTGTGTTGTTACTTTGTAATGTACCTATTGTGAATGAGAACACGTGGTGTGTGTTTGTGTTGTTACTTTGTAATGTGCCTGTTGTGAATGAGAACACGTGGTGTGTCATTTGTGTCGTTAGTTTGTAATGTGCCTATTGTGAATGAGAACACGTGGTGTGTCGTTACTTTGTAATGTGCCTGTTGTGAATGAGAACACGTGGTGTGTCGTTACTGTGTCGTTACTATGTAATGTGCCTATTGTGAATGAGAACACGTGGTGTGTGTTTGTGTTGTTACTTTGTAATGTGCCTGTTGTGAATGAGAACACGTGGTGTGTCGTTACTTTGTAATGTGCCTGTTGTGAATGAGAACACGTGGTGTGTGTTTGTGTTGTTACTTTGTAATGTGCCTATTGTGAATGAGAACACGTGGTGTGTCGTTACTGTGTCGTTACTATGTAATGTGCCTATTGTGAATGAGAACACGTGGTGTGTGTTTGTGTTGTTACTTTGTAATGTGCCTATTGTGAATGAGAACACGTGGTGTATCGTTACTGTGTCGTTACTTTGTAATGTGCCTATTGTGAATGAGAACACGTGGTGTGTCGTTTGTGTCGTTACTTTGTAATGTGCCTGTTGTGAATGAGAACACGTGGTGTGTGTTTGTGTTGTTACTTTGTAATGTGCCTATTGTGAATTAGAACACGTGGTGTGTCGTTTGTGTTGTTACTTTTACGTAAAATCCTGGTCACAAAAGCAAAGTTTGTGGGGAGTCATAATAATAGCCACTTTCTATACTTTAGAGGCATAAGCAATTAGAAAATAACACTTTACTACCCAGGAACAAAAGTCGTGTTGCATATCTACGGGACGCCCCCTTCTTTTTTCCGCCGGTGTTAAAGATAAAAAGCGTTGGCATGTCTTGCCACGCGTGATGTTCGTGGGTGAACGCGGACGCGATGATGATCTTGAATTGGCTGCCGTAACGACGTCTCTTTGGCGTTTTGAACATCTTGGCGCACGCGCCAATTTTATTTAATCCGAGTGAAGCATTGTTATTAAACTGGTGCGTAAGAAGACGCGTTGGTTTAATACGCAGGAGAAATAATAATTCCATCATCAAGGATCTCAGAGCGCTGTGCAGGACGCAGCAGCGGCAGACTCTCAGCATAAAAAAATACATTTGAGAAATCATTTAGTAAATGAACTAAAAGTTTAATAAGCGGAAGCATATGGATAGGTTTTAAGACGCATTTTTTAAAATGTCCACGGACTCGGAGGGATCCCTCCTGATGTCTTCGGGGCTACAAGGTTCAGATAATCGTCATTTGGTGTTGGTCATTAGCGCAGCGTAGCGCTAACCGCTACACTACCGCTCCCCACACGCAAAGACACACAACAACAACAACAACCGCCATTCGCCACTAAGTGGCAGAGTCATCACCATGGCGCTTGTGCCAGGCTATGTGCATTTTAAGGCCACGTGAAGTGTTGAATGCCCACTGGCAGGCTACAGGACAGACCCATATGCCATGGGTTGACTGACTGTTGGGGTAAGTGCTGTTAGCGAGCGGGGTGGGGGGATCTGACTGGCCGATGCACCACCTGTGCTCCTACTGTGTCAACTTGCTGTGTTTTAGCCACCCGGCACTCCGCCCGTTGTTGTGAGCGTCGCTCCTCTGCCCTCCGTTGTTGCTGGAGGGTAACTGCCTCCAACTACACAGTAGCGTCCTTCACGAGCCCCAACCACAGAGTCCAATCTTGACACCGCTGGTACCGATCATTGGCAAGTCCACTCAGCTCCACGTCCTCCTGTACCACATCACTCCATCTCTTCTCTAGTCTGTGCCGTGCCCATTTAGCCCCTTATATCCGGCCGAACAAAAGCTGTTTAGGCATGCGGTGACTGGGCATGCGGGCTACGTGACCCAGCCAATGCAGCCTTGCCTGCCGGAGGAGCTCACCGATGGGACTTTGTCCACATCTTTCAAGGATTTGTGAGCTCCTCACACAATCCAGCCTGGTTAAACCCAGGATTTGATCGTAGGCAGGCCAGCCTAAATGTTCCATTAGGGGGGTCCACGTTTCGCAAGCATAGAGAAAGGGAGGGAATGACCGTAGCCAAGAAGACCCGAAGCTTCGTGCGGAGCAACAGACCAGGTATCTTGCACACAGCATTGCACAGCCGATGAAAAGTAAATGCCGCATGCCTGATTCGGAGTGAGACATCTGCTGTCAAACTGGAGCTGGTCATAAGCACACTGCCTAGGTATGGAAAACTCTCCACTCTCTCCACAACTGCTCCATCACCAATGGGGAGCTGAGGGGGTGGAGTATTTGATTACGCAAAATACCCAGTCAGGTGCTTAGTTTTGGTGGGGCTGATGGTAAGGCCCCACCTCTTAGTGGCACGCTCCAGTTTCAGCAGCAGCGCCTCCAACTCCTCAGAATGAGCAGCAACTACCAGATCATCAGCATACATAACATGGTTGACCAATAGGGAGCCATCCCTCTACTTCCTCTGGTACAGCCATGGAAAGCTTCAAGAACTTGGTGGTCAAGGAAGATGTTAAATAATGTTAGGGCCAGAGGACATCCCTGTCGCACCCCAAGGTGTACAGGGAATGGCTCTGACTCCCGGCCACGTAGTTTTACCCGGGCTCGCTCACCATCATGAATGATTGTGAGCAGAGGGTCAGGTACTCTAAAAGCACGAAGAACAACCCAGAGCCCAGGCCTACTGATGGTATCATAGGCCTTGACCAGGTCAATAAAGCAGAGATATAGGTCTTGCTGGAATTCCCTACACCTCTGCTGTAGCAGACAGACAGAAAATATGGCATCTGTGCAGGACCGCCCTTTCTTGAAACCGCATTGGGGGTCTGCAAGCCTCTCCTCAGCGTGCCTGGCAAGGCGATGTTGAATAATCCTTGCCAGGACCTTTCCTGGCACACTGAGGAGTGAGATGCCCCTGTAGTTACAGTCTGTGCGGTCCCCCTTCTTAAAGAGGGGGACCACCAGGGCATCCTTCTAATCCTGCGGAACCCGTCCAGTGGTCCAGACTGTTGTTATGATCCATAATAAAGGTTTTTGGGTTAGATCGCGTTTATTTATAAATGTGTCGTAACCCTCCACCACCCGACATGGCCAATCAGCAAAAAAAGTGTCACGTTGACAAAAAGACAAATAATTCACTACTTTAGCCCACTGGTGTGTTGAAGAGTGAATCCACATTTACAGTTTGAATACGACATTTCGCTAGTAAATACATCCAGCATCATCGGGCAATTCGCCAGAATGGTAAAGCCCTCGCTTGCTCCCGGTTTTATATAGAGCAGCAGGGTGACGTCATCACTTAACTCATATCAGGTGCAGTGATTAGAGGCAGGGGGGGGGGGTATTGTAATTATATAATCGATGAGTAATCAGTCATTGGTTATGATTAGTAATGAGTTGTAGATTAGTAATTTTTTTAATCAAAATGTAATGTGCTGCATGAGTGACAGTCCTAAACCTCGCCCATTTACCCTTGACATCAGGAGGAGTAGGGGACGATGCCAACCCCAGCCGCAGGCGATGATGAAATTCTCACTTGCAACTTTCATCAGATAACTGAGACCAGGCCACTTTAGGTTGGAATGGGGTCCTGGGTGTACACCCACCACAGGAGCGGAATAATGGCAGGCGCATCTTACAGATGACTAGTCAATGGTCAGAGGACAGATCAACTCCACAGTAGGTCCTGGTGTCAAGGACATGGGCTCGCATCCTCTGGTCCGTCACTATGTAGTCCAGCAGATGTTCTTGCTTGGACCCGGCATGCATCCATGATGTTGTGTGGATGCGCTGATGCCGGAACAGCGTGTTGGTAATTACAAGCCCATGGGCTGCACAAAAATGTAGCAGCCTCCTACCGTTGTTATTGAGCTGATCTGGCCCATGCCCTCCAATCACTCCAGACCAGGTGCCAGCATCATGACCAACTTGGGCATTGAAGTCACCCAACAAGATGACTCTATCCCAAAGGGCCACTTTAGCCAGCACCTGTGACAGGAGGTCATAGAAGGCATCTGACTCATCGGCTTTGCCTGCATCCCTCCACGGATGTTCGTCTTCGGTTGGGGCATAAGTAACCACGACCACCACTCCTCGCCTCCGATTGATGGGAAGGCGAGCCAAAAGTAGCCTGGGACTTACAGCTTCCCACACCTCACCGCCACGCTCTCACGCCCCCTTCATTCTTTTGTTCAAAAGAAGAGCCACACCCTGTTGTTTGGCAGTCTGCTGCCCCGAGTAGAGGACTGTCCACCCCTCATGGTGGCAGGAGCCAGAACCGGTCCACCAGACCTCCTGAATGCCACAGAGATCCAGGCGGTACCGGTCCAGCTCCCGACAGAGGAGTGGCAGCCTCTCCTCCGCAGTGAGCGTTCGAACATTCCACGTGGTCACACGAAGTGGCTTTTCGTTGTTTCTGGAGGAGCCCCGAGGGTAGAGATACAATCTCCTGGCTCCGCCAATTGGGGTTTGGCCAGGAGACGTCATAGACGCCTGTCCCCCCGGGGCCTCTGGCACAAGCTTATTGTTACATATTTTAGACGTGGTTTAGTGGTGAGTTTTTGAAGGTGGAGGGGTTACCAGCCCCTCGCACCCGTCCAGAAGCCCCCATTTAGCCCCTGTGGTGGTCACAGACGCCATCAGGGGAGGAGCCAATCAGAATTGGCCCTCCCCCCACAGCACTGTCCACGACAGAGTTGCCCGTCCGGCACCGCGAGGAGGTAGGGGGTTGTTTTGCCGGACTCTCACACACAGACACTCGCACACACACTCTCACACACAGACACTCGCACACTCTCACACTCTCTCACACAGACACACTCTCACACACAGACACTCTCACACACACACACTCGCACACACACTCTCACACTCTCTCACACAGACACTCGCACACACACCCTCACACTCTCTCACACAGACACTCACATACACACTCTCACACACAGACACACTCTCACACACAGACACTGGCACACACACTTTCACACACAGACACTGGCACACACACTTTCACACACAGACACTCGCACACACACTCTCACACTCTCACACACAGACACTCTCACACTCTCACACACAGACACACACACTCTCACACACAGACACTCGCACTCTCACACACAGACACTCGCACACACACTCTCACACACAGACACACTCTCACACACAGACACTCTCACACACACTCTCACACTCTCTCACACTCTCTCACACAGACACTCACATACACACTCTCACACACAGACACACTCTCACACACAGACACTGGCACACACACTTTCACACACAGACACTGGCACACACACTTTCACACACAGACACTGGCACACACACTTTCACACACAGACACTCGCACACACACTCTCACACTCTGACACACAGACACACTCTCACACACAGACACTCTCACACTCTCACACACACACACTCTCACACTCTCTCACACTCTCTCACACAGACACACACACTCACACATTCTCTCACACTCTTGCACTCTCCACGCTCTCTGTGTGCGTGTGGCTCAGGAGAAGAGCAGCACCTCGTGTGAGCGCTCCATGGCTGGAGGCTGCCGGGGTCCCGAGCAGTCGCTCCCAGCGCAAGCACCGCACAACGGCACCACCGGCTGCTACAACAGGTGCCAGCACACACACACACACACGGGTGCAGCGGGCACACACACACGTGTGCAGCGAGCACACACACACACACACACGTGTGCAGCGGGCACACACACGGGTGCAGCGGGCACACACACACACACGTGTGCAGTGGGCACACACACACGTGTGCAGCGGGCACACACACGTGTGCAGCGGGCACACACACACACGTGTGCAGCGGGTACACACACACATGGGTGCAGCGGTCACACACGTGTGCAGTGGGAACACACACGTGTGCAGCGGGAACACACACGTGTGCAGCGGGCACATACACATACACACATGCAGCGGGCACACACACACGTGCATCGGTCACACACACACACGTGTGCAGCGGGCACACACATGTGCAGCAGGCACACACACGTGCAGCAGGTGGGGTGGGTACACTCACAGGTGACGTGGGTACACTCACGGGTTGTGGGTGTTACGGAAGTAAGTTGTGGTGGTGGTTGTTACCATGCATGTTGTAGTGCGTGTTGTTACCATGCGTGCGTGTTACCCTGCGTGTGTTGTTGTCGTACGTGTCTTACCGTGTGTGTGTGTTACCGTGTGTGTGTTGTTGCCGTGCGTGTGTGTTACCGTGTGTGTGTGTTACCGTGTGTGTTACCGTGTGTGTGTGTTACCGTGTGTGTGTGTTATCGTGTGTGTGTGTTACCGTGCGTGTGTTACCGTGTGTGTTGTTGCCGTGTGTGTGTGTGTTACCGTGTGTGTGTGTTACCGTGTGTGTGTTACCGTGTGTGTGTTACCGTGTGTGTGTTACCGTGTGTGTGTTGTTGCCGTGTGTGTGTGTTACCGTGTGTGTTACCGTGTGTGTGTGTTACTGTGTGTGTTGCCGTGTGTGTGTGTGTGTTACCGTGTGTGTTGTTGCCGTTCATGTGTGTTACCGTGTGTGTTACCGTGTGTTTGTATTGCCGTGTGTGTTACCGTGTGTGTGTGTGTGTTACCGTGCGTGTGTGTTACCGTGTGTGTGTTGTTGCCGTGCGTGTGTGTTAACGTGTGTGTGTGTTACCGTGTGTGTGTGTTGCCGTGTGTGTGTTGTTGCCGTGTGTGTGTTACCGTGTGTGTGTGTCTTACCGTGTGTGTTGTTGCCGTGCGTGTGTGTTACCGTGTGTGTTGTTACCGTGTGTGTGTCTTACCGTGTGTGTTGTTGCCGTGCGTGTGTGTTACCATGTGTGTGTGTTACCATGTGTGTGTTACCGTGTGTGTGTGTTACCGTGTGTGTGTGTTACCGTGTGTGTTACCGTGTGTGTTACCGTGTGTGTGTGTGTTACCGTGTGTGTGTGTGTTACCGTGTGTGCTGGCTAAAGTGGCCCCTCGGGATAGAGTCATCATGTTGGGTGACTTCAATGGTCATGATACTGGCACCTGGTCATGATACTGGCACCTGGTCTGGAGTGATTGGAGGGCATGGGCCGGATCAGCTCAATAACAACGGTAGGAGGCTGCTAGATTTTTGTGCAGCCCATGGGCTTGTAATTACCAACACGCTGTTCCGGCATCGGCGCATCCACACAACATCATGCATGCATGCCGGGTCCAAGCAAGAACATCTGCTTGACTACATAGTGACGGACCAGCGGATGCGGGCCCATGTCCTTGACACCAGGACCTACCGTGGAGCTGATCTGCCCTCTGACCATCAACTAGTCATCTGTAAGATGCGCCTGCCATTCTTCCACTCCGGTGGTGGGTGTACACCCAGGACCCCATTCCAACCTAAAGTGGCCTGGTCTCAGTTATCTGATGAAAGTTGCAAGCCAGAATTTCATCATCGTTTGCGGCTAGGATTGGCATCGTCCCCGACTCCTCCTGATTTCGAGGGTAAATGGGCGAGGTTTAGGTCTGTGACTCATGCAGCTGCAATGGCTGCTTTGGGTACGCGGTCCAGACCTCCCCAGAGACCCTGGCTGACAGAGGAGGTGTTCAGGATGGTTGAGAAAAAGCGACAGGCCCACTGTCATCGGCTACAGAATCCCACGTCAGAGAATGAGGATGCTTACCGCAGCCTTCGCTCGGAGGTTCGGAGAGCCGTGAGGCGCTGCAAGGATGGGTGGTGGTCGCGGGTTGCTGAGGAGACGGAGTCTGTCTCAGTGGCCCGTGATCACAAATCTCTATTTAACTCCATCAAAAAAGTAATCTGCAGCGCCACACCTATTACCATCATTAGGGGAAAAAATGGTGATCCAATCTCCGACCCCCAGGAACAGGTTTGCAGATTTGCTGAGCATTTCTGAGGTCCTGGGGGAGGGAAAATCCCTCAGCCAGGAAAACAACGTGGCACAAAGTGAGGATGACCCTGCTGAGGCTGCGGTGCCTCAAATATTGGAAGAAGTCACCCCCTGTGAGTGCCTGGCTGAGGTGCCATCTGTTGAGGAAGTACTGAAGGCGATCCGGAGTCTGAGACCAGGAAAGGCAGCGGGCAGAGATGATCTCCCAAGCGAAATGCTGAGGGAGGGCGGCATTTGTGCACAGAGTGCCCTATATGACATCATAACAACAGTTTGGACCACTGGACGGGTTCCGCAGGATTGGAAGGATGCCCTGGTGGTCCCCCTTTTTAAGAAGGGGGACCGCACAGACTGTAACAACTACAGGGGCATCTCACTCCTCAGTGTGCCGAGAAAGGTCCTGGCAAGGATTATTCAACATCGCCTTGCCAGGCACGCTGAGGAGAGGCTTGCGGAGCCCCAATGCGGTTTCAGGAAAGGGCGGTCCTGCACAGATGCCATATTTTCTGTCCGTCTGCTACAGCAGAGGTGTAGGGAATTCCAACAAGACCTACATCTCTGCTTTATTGACCTGGTCAAGGCCTATGATACCATCAGTAGGCCTAGGCTGTGGGTTGTTCTTCGTCCTTTTGGAGTACCTGACCCTCTGCTCACGATCATTAAGGACCTTCATGATGGTGAGCGGGCCCGGGTAAAGCTACGTGGCCGGGAGTCAGAGCCATTCCCTGTTAACCTTGGGGTGCGACAGGGATGTCCTCTGGCTCCCACATTATTTAACATCTATTTTGACCACGTAGTTCGTGAAGCCTTAAATAGCTGTACCGGGGGAATCTCCATATGGTACAGATATAATGGGAGGCTGATCGACGCCCGGGTGCGGTCAAGGGATGGCTCCCTATTGCTCAACCACGTTATGTATGCTGATGATTTGGTAATAGCTGCTCATTCAGAGGAGGAGTTGGAGACGCTGCTGCTGAGACTGGAGCGTGCCACTAAGAGGTGGGGCCTTACCATCAGCCCCACCAAAACTAAGCACCTGCCTGGGTATTTTGTACCATCGGACACTCCACCCCCACAACTCCCAATCGGTGATGGGGCAGTTGTGGAGAGAGTGGAGAGTTTCCCATACCTGGGCAGTGTGCTTATGACCGGCTCCAGTTTAACAGCAGAGGTCTCACTCCGAATCAGTCGAGCGGCAATATCTTTTCATCGGTTGCGTAACGCTGTGTGGAAGCTACCTGGTCTGTCGCACCGCACTAAGCTTCAGGTCTTCTCGGCCACGGTCATTCCCTCCCTTCTCTACGCTTGCGAAACGTGGACCCCCCTAATGGAACATCTTCGCCGGTTAGAAACATTTAGGCTGGCCTGCCTACGATCCATCCTGAGTTTAACCAGACTGGATTGTGTGAGGAGCTCACAAATCCTTGAAAGATCTGGGCAAGGTCCCATCGGTGAGCTCCTCCGGCGGGGAAGGCTGCGATGGCTTGGTCATGTAGCCCGCATGCCCAGCCACCGCATGCCGAAACAGCTTTTGTTCGGCCGGATCGAGGGGGCTAAGCGGGCGCGGCACGGGCTAGAGAAGAGATGGAGTGATGTGGTACAGGAGGACGTGGAGCTGAGTGGACTTGCCGATGACTGGTACCAGCGGTGTCAAGATCGGCCTCTGTGGAGGAGGCTCGTGAAGGACGCTACTGGGCAGTTGAGCGACGCTCACAACAACGAGCGGAGCGCCGGGTGGCTAAAGCACAGCAGGTTGGCACATTGGTGGGCACAGGTGGTGCATCAGCCAGTCATCTCAGTCATCTTAGTCAGTCGACCCGTGGCACCTGGGTCTGCCCCGTGACCTCCTGCCAGCAGGCGTTCGACACTTCACGTAGCCTCAGGGTGCACATAGCCTGGCACAAGCGTCGTGGTGACGTCACCGCCACTTAGTGGCGAATGGCGATTGTTGTTGTTGTGTGTTACCGTGTGTGTGTGTGTTACCGTGCGTTTGTGTTACCGTGTGTGTGTGTTACCGTGTGTGTGTGTGTCACCGTGCGTGTCACCGTGCGTGCTGTAGGAATGACGGCGCCAGTCTCCGGCGCTCTTCCTCTCACCGGGTTACTGCCAAGAGCCGCTCCACCTCCTCTTCCTCCTCCACCTCTTCCTCCTCCACCTCTTCCTCCTCCTCCTCCTCCACTTCCTCCACTTCCTCATCAGCCTCATCGCGCTCGGTGCAGCGTGGCCACCACCGCCACCACCACCGCCGACGCTCGTGTGGCAGCCGCAGTCGGCGCCGTGCCCGCCGGTGCAGCTGCTCACCGTCGCCACGCCGCTCGCGAGCCGCTCACCCCGCTCACCGCTACCGGCGCTCGCCCGGTCGCTCGCGCAGCCCGCGCCGGAGCCACCGCCGCCACCGGAGCCACCGCCGCCGCCGCTCGCCGTCACGCTCACCGTCACGCTCACCGTCACGCTCACCGTCACGCTCAACGTCGCACCGGTGAGCGCCAGCGTCGGCACCGGGGCGTGGTAATGTCGCGGGAGTGGTGAGGGTGGAGAGGGTGGCGAGGGTGATGAGGGTGGTGAGGGTGATGAGGGTGGTGAGGGTGGAGAGGGTGGTGAGGGTGGCGAGGGTGGTGAGCGTGGCGAGGGTGGCGAGGGTGGTGAGGGTGGTGATGGTGGCGAGGGTGGTGATGGTGGTGATGGTGGCGAGGGTGGCGAGGGTGGCGAGCGTGGCGAGCGTGGCGAGGGTGGTGAGCGTGGCGAGCGTGGCGAGGGTGGCGAGGGTGGTGAGGGTGGTGGCGAGGGGGATGAGGATGGCGAGGGTGGCGAGCGTGGCGAGGGTGGTGAGGGTGGTGGCGAGGGTGGCGAGGGTGGCAAGCGTGATGTGTGATAAACATCATCACTGGGGAGACAAAGGCGGCCGGGCAGGCGTGGTGCTGGTAGCCACCCACCCCCTCGTGTGCCACAGCGCTGCCCTTCATAAGGGCCGTCCATAAATGACCTCACGCGATTTTGGACGATTTTTTACCCCCCCCGTCACAAAAAGTCAGACCCCCCTCCTCAAATATGATGTCACAAAGCTCTGCCCCCCCCCCCCCCCCAAAAATAAAACATGCTACAAATCGCTTTAAACTATTGTTGTCATTGTAGTTGCGTATTTAATGTGGCGCTGCACTTGCCCCTACAGTCTGTTAGAGGCTACACGGGGGACCTTTGTCTGTGTCTACCTTCATAGGTGCTGCTGCTACTCGTTACTCACAGCACTTGCCCCTAAAGTCTGTTATAGGCTACACGGGGGACCTTTGTCTTTGTGTTCCAGCCACGGTCGTAGCCGAAAGCGCTACCGCCACCACCACCACTACGACCACCACCACGACCACCACCACCAGGACCAGGACCACTACCACCACCACCACAACCACCACCACGACCACCACCACCAGGACCACGACCACCACCACGACCGGCATCGCAGCTCCAGCCGGGGCTACCGCAACTCAGCCATGGAAGCTCAGGAGGCGCTGGCTCGCCGGTATTCTTCACCACTCACCACTCACCACGCACCACTCACCAGTACTCACCACTCACTACGCATGCGTGTGTCTGTGTGTATGCGCCTGTGTGCCTGTGCATGTGTGTGTGCATGCATGTGTGTGTGCATGTGTGCGTGCATGTGTGCGTGCATGTGTGTGTGCACGTGTTTGTACACGTGTGTGTGCCTGTGCATGTGCACGTGTGTGTGCACGTGTGTGTACACGTCTGTGTGCCTGTGTGTGTGCCTGTGTGGGTGCGTGCTTGTGTGTGTACACGTGCGTGTACACGTGTGTGTCCCTGTGTGTGTGCCTGTGTGAGGGGCTGGTAACCCCTCCACCTTCAATAAATTACCATGAAACCACGAATTAAATATCTAACTAATAAGCTTGTGCCGGAGGCCCTGGGGGGACAGGCGTCTATGACGTCTCCTGGCCAAACCCCAATTGGCAGAGCCAGGAGATTGAATCTCTACCCTCGGGGCTCCTCCAGAAACAACGAAAAGCCACTTCGTGTGGCCACGTGGAATGTTCGAACGCTCACTGCGGAGGAGAGGCTGCCACTCCTCTGTCGGGAGCTGGACCGGTACCGCCTGGATCTCTGTGGCATCAGGAGGTCTGGTGGACCGGTTCTGGCTCCTGCCACCATGAGGGGTGGACAGTCCTCTACTCGGGGCAGCAGACTGCCAAACAACAGGGTGTGGCTCTTCTTTTGAACAAAAGAATGAAGGGGGCGTGGGAGCGTGGCGGTGAGGTGTGGGAAGCTGTAAGCCCCAGGCTACTTTGGGCTCGCCTTCCCATCAACCAGAGGCAAGGAGTGGTGGTCGTGATTACTTATGCCCCTACCGAAGACGAACATCCGTGGAGGGATGCAGGCAAAGCCGATGAGTCAGATGCCTTCTATGACCTTCTGTCATATGTGCTGGCTAAAGTGGCCCCTTGGGATAGAGTCGTCTTTGTTAGGTGACTTCAATGCCCGAGTTGGTCATGATGCTGGCACCTGGTCTGGAGTGATTGGAGGGCATGGGCCAGATCAGCTTAATAACAACGTAGGAGGCTGCTAGATTTTTGTGCAGCCCATGGGCTTGTAATTACAGTGAGGGAAAAAAGTATTTGATCCCCTGCTGATTTTGTACGTTTGCCCACTGACAAAGAAATGATCAGTCTATATTTTTATGGTAGGTTTATTTGAACAGTGAAAGACAGAATAACAACAAAATAATCCAGAAAAACGGATGTCAAAAATGTTATAAATTGATTTGCATTTTAATGAGGGAAGTAAGTATTTGACCCCTCTGCAAAACATGACTTAGTACTTGGTGGCAAAACCCTTGTTGGCAATCACAGAGGTCAGACATTTCTTGTAGTTGGCCACCAGGTTTGCACAAATCTCAGAAGAGATTTTGTCCCACTCCTCTTTGCAGATCTTCAAGTCATTAAGGTTTCGAGGCTGACGTTTGGCAACTCGAACCTTCAGCTCCCTCCACAGATTTTCTATGGGATTAAGGTCTGGAGACTGGCTAGGCCACTCCAGGACCTTAATGTGCTTCTTCTTAAGCCACTCCTTTGTTGCCTTGGCCGTGTGTTTTGGGTCATTGTCATGCTGGAATACCCATCCATGACCCATTTTCAATGCCCTGGCTGAGGGAAGGAGGTTCTCACCCAAGATTTGACGGTACATGGCCCCGTCCATCGTCCCTTTGATGCGGTGAAGTTGTCCTGTCCCCTTAGCAGAAAAACACCCCCAAAGCATAATGTTTTCACCTCCATGTTTGACGGTGGGGATGGTGTTCTTGGGGTCATAGGCAGCATTCCTCCTCCAAACACGGCGAGTTGAGTTGATGCCAAAGAGCTCCATTTTGGTCTCATCTGACCACAATACTTTCACCCAGTTGTCCTCTGAATTATTCAGATGTTCATTGGCAAACTTCAGACGGGCATGTATATGTGCTTTCTTAGGCAGGGGGAACTTGCGGGCGCTGCAGGATTTCAGTCCTTCACGGCGTAGTGTGTTACCAATTGTTTTCTTGGTGACTATGGTCTCAGCTGCCTTGAGATCATTGACAAGATCCTCCCGTGTAGTTCTGGGCTGATTCCTCATCGTTCTCATGATCATTGCAACTCCACGAGGTGAGATCTTGCATGGAGCCCCTGGCTGAGGGAGATTGACAGTTATTTTGTGTTTCTTCCATTTGCGAATAATCGCACCAACTGTTGTCACCTTCTCACCAAGCTGCTTGGCAATTGTCTTGTAGCCCATTCCAGCCTTGTGTAGGTCTACAATCTTGTCCCTGACATCCTTGGAGAGCTCTTTGGTCTTGGCCATGGTGGAGAGTTTGGAATCTGATTGATTGATTGCTTCTGTAGACAGGTGTCTTTTATACAGGTAACACGCTGAGATTAGGAGCACTCCCTTTAAGAGTGTGCTCCTAATCTCAGCTCGTTACCTTTATAAAAGACACCTGGGAGCCAGAACTCTTTCTGATTGAGAGGGGGTCAAATACTTATTTCCCTCATTAAAATGCAAATCAATTTATAACATTTTTGACATGCGTTTTTCTGGATTTTGTTGTTATTCTGTCTCTCACTGTTCAAATAAACCTACCATTAAAATTATAGACTGATCATTTCTTTGTCAGTGAGCAAACGTACAAAATCAGCAGGGGATCAAATACTCTTTTTTCCTCACTGTATCAACACGCTGTTCCGGCATCGGTGTATCCACACGTCATGGATGCATGCCAGGTCCAAGCAAGAACATCTGCTGGACTACATAGTGACGGACCAGCGGATGCGAGCCCATGTCCTTGACACCAGGACCTACCGTGGAGCTGATCTGTCCTCTGACCATTGACTAGTCATCTGTAAGATACGCCTGCCATTCTTCCACCCCGGTGGTGGGTGTACACCCAAGACCCCATTCCAACCTAAAGTGGCCTGGTCTCAGCTGATGAAAGTTGCAAGCGAGAATTTAATCATCGCTTGCGGCTGGGGTTGGCATCATCTCCCAATCCTCTTGATGTCGACGGTAAATGGGCGAGGTTTAGGACTGTAACTCATGCAGCTGCAATGGCTGCTTTGGATACGCTATCCAGACCTCCCCATAGACCCTGGCTGACAGAGGAGGTGTTCAGGATAGTTGCGATAAAGTGACAGGCCCACTCTAATTGGCTACAGCATCCCACGTCAGAGAATGAGGAGGCTTACCGCAGCTTTCGCTCGGAGGTTCGGAGAGCCGTGAGGCGCTGCAAGGATGGATGGTGGTCGCGGGTTGCTGAGGAGATGGAGTCTGCCTCAGTGGCCTGCGATCACAAATCTCTATTTAACTCCATCAAAAAAGTAACCTGCAGTGACACACCTATGGTGGTGGTGATCCAATCTCCGACCCCCAGGAACAGGTTTGCAGATTTGATGAGCATTTCTGTGAGGTCCTGGGGGAGGGGAAATCTTTCAGCCAGGAAAACATCGTGGCACAAAGTGGGGATGACCCTGCTGAGGCTGCGGTGCCTCAAATATTGGAAGAAGTCACCCCCTATGAGTGGCTGGCGGAGGTACCATCTGTTGAGGTACTGAGGGCGATCCGGAGTCTGAAACCAGGAAAGGCACCGGGCAGAGATGATCTTACAAGCGAAATGCTGAGGGAGGGTGGTGTTTGTTCACAGACTGCCCTATATGACATCATAACAACAGTCTGGACCACTGGACGGGTTCCGCAGGATTAGAAGGTTGCCCTGGTGGTCCCCTTCTTTAAGAAGGGGGACCGCACAGACTGTAACAACTACAGGGACATCTCACTCCTCTTTGTGCCGGGAAAGGTCCTGGCAAGGATTATTCAACATCGCGTTGCCAGGCACTTTGAGGAGAGGCTTGCAGAGCCCCAATGCGGTTTCAGGAAAGGGCGGTCCTGCACAGATGCCATATTTTCTGTCCGTCTGCTACAGCAGAGGTGTAGGGAATTCCAACAAGACCTACATCTCTGCTTTATTGACCTGGTCAAGGCCTATGATACCATCAGTAGGCCTGGACTCTGGGTTGTTCTTCGTCCTTTTGGAGTACCTGACCCTCTGCTCACGATCATTAAGGACCTTCATGATGGTGAGCAGGCCCCGGGTAAAACTACGTGGCCAGTCGTCAGAACCATTCCCTGTACACCTTGGGGTGTGACAGGGATGTCCTCTGGCTCCCACATTATTTAACATCTATTTTTACCACGTAGTTCGTTAAGCCTTCAGTAGCTGTACCGGGGGAATCTCCATTTGGTACAGATATAAGGGGAGGCTGATCGATGCCCGGGTGTGGTCAAGGGATGGCTCCCTATTGCTCAACCACATTATGTATGCCGATGATTTGGTAATAGCTGCTCATTCAGAGGAGGAGTTGGAGATGCTGCTGCTGGGACTGGAGCATGCCACTAAGAGATGGGGCCTTACCATCAGCCCCACCAAAACTAAGCACCTGCCTGGGTATTTTGTACCATTGGACACTCCACCCCCACAACTCCCAATCTGTGATAGGGCAGTTGTGGAGAGAGTGGAGTTTCCCATACCTGGGCAGTGTGCATATGACCGGCTTCAGTTTAACAGCAGAGGTCTCACTCCGAATCAGTCGAGCGGCAATATCTCTTCATCGGTTGTGTAACGCTGTGTGGAAGCTACCTGGTCTGTCGCTCCGCACTAAGCTTCAGGTCTTCTCGGCCACGGTCATTCCCTCCCTTCTCTACGCTTGCGAAACGTTAACCCCCTAATGGAACATCTTTGCCAGTTAGAAACATTTAGGCTAGCCTGCCTACGATCCATCCTGGGTTTAACCAGGCTGGATTGTGTGAGGAGCTCACAAATCCTTGAAAGATCTGGACAAGGTCCCATCGGTGAGCTCCTCCGGCAGGCATGGCTGCTTTGGCTGAGTCATGTAGCCCGCATGCCCAGCCTCCGCATGCTTAAACAGCTTTTGTTCGGCCGGATCGAGGGGGCTAAACAGGCACGGCACGGGCTAGAGAAGAGATGGAGTGATGTGGTACAGGAGGACTTGGAGCTGAGTGGACTTGCCGATGACTGGTACCAGCGGTGTCAAGATCGGCCTCTGTGGAGGAGGCTCGTGACGGATGCTACTGGGCAGTTGGCGGTAGTCGCCCTCCAACAACAACGGAGGGCGGAGGAGCGACGCTCACAACAACGAGCGGAGCGCCGGGTGGCTAAAGCACAGCAGGTTGGCACAGTAGGGGGCACAGGTGGTGCATCAGCCAGTCATCAGTCATCTCAGTCGACCCGTGGCACCTGGGTCTGCCCCGTGACCTCCTGCCCGCGGGCGTTCGACACTTCACGTGGCCTCAAGGTGCACATAGCCTGGCACAAGCGTCGTGGTGACGTCACCGCCACTTAGTGGTGAATGGCGGTTGTTGTTGTGCCTGTGTGTGTGTCTCTGTGTGAGGCTGGAGCGAGCCAAGAAGATCCAGGAGCAGCGGGAGAAGGAGGCGAGGAAGCAGCAGCTGAAGGAGGCAGCCGGTGAGTGCAGCGCTGCTCACCACCACCGCTCACCACCGCTCACCATCGCTCACCACGCTCACCATCGCTGACCATCACTCACCACCACCACTTCACCATCGCTCACCACCACCGCTCACCACCGCTCACCATCGCTCACCATCGTTCACCACCGCTCACCACCACCGCTCACCACCGCTCACCATCGCTCACCATCACCACCACCGCTCACCACCACCGCTCACCACCGCTCACCATCGCTCACCATCGCTCACCATCACTCACCACCACCACCGCTCACCTAGGCCCCGGCAAGGTAAGGTAATTTACCTTTTTACCGGGTAAAAGGGTAAAGGTGTCGACATGCCAAGGGGTAAAGTAAAGGGTAAGGTAAAGGGTAAGGTAAAGGGTAAGGTAAAGGTAGCTCAGAAGAATTACCCGGTAGGGTAAAGGTAGCGCAAAGCATTAACCCGGTAAATACGGTGCCCTTGTTTACCGCTAAAATAGCGTGAAGTGTTAACCCGGTAAATACGGTGCCCTTGTTTACCGCTAAAATAGCACAAAGTATTAACCCGGTAAATACGGTGCCTTGTTTACCGCTATAATAACGCGAAGTATTAACCCGGTAAATACGGTGCCTTGTTTACCGCTAAAATAGCGCGAAGTATTAACCCGGTAAATACGGTGCCTTGTTTACCGCTATAATAACGCGAAGTATTAACCCGGTAAATACGGTGCCTTGTTTACCGCTATAATAACGCGAAGTATTAACCCGGTAAATACGGTGCCTTGTTTACCGCTAAAATAGCGCGAAGTATTAACCCGGTAAATACGGTGCCTTGTTTACCGCTAAAATAGCGCGAAGTGTTAACCCGGTAAATACGGTGCCTTGTTTACCACTAAAATAGCGCGAAGTGTTAACCCGGTAAACACGGTGACCTTGTTTACCGCTATAATAGCGCGAAGTGTTAACCTGGTAAATACGGTGCCTTGTTTACCGCTAAAATAGCGCGAAGTGTTAACCCGGTAAATACGGTGCCTTGTTTACCGCTAAAATAGCGCGAAGTGTTAACCCGGTAAATACGGTGCCTTGTTTACCGCTAAAATAGCGCGAAGTATTAACCCGGTAAATACGGTGCCTTGTTTACCGCTATAATAGCGCGAAGTGTTAACCCGGTAAATACGGTGCCCTTGTTTACCGCTAAAATAGCACAAAGTATTAACCCGTTAAATACGGTGCCCTTGTTTACCGCTATAATAGCGCGAAGTGTTAACCCGGTAAATACAGTGCCCTTGTTTACCGCTAAAATAGCGCAAAGCATTAACCCGGTAAATACGGTGCCCTGTTTACCGCTAAAATAGCGCGAAGTGTTAACCCGGTAAATACGGTGCCCTTGTTTACCGCTAAAATAGCACAAAGCATTAACCCGGTACATACGGTGCCCTGTTTACCGCTAGAATAGCGCGAAGTGTTAACCCGGTAAATACGGTGCCCTGTTTACCGCTAGAATAGCGCGAAGTGTTAACCCGGTAAATACGGTGCCCTTGTTTACCGCTAAAAGCGCCGTGGCGCAGTCCGTGGCCTCCATTTAACAAGTAATATTTTTTAAAACAACTTTTTTTTAAAACACGCTTTAATGAAATGTACGAGTAATGGCAGAACTCCTCGACTCCAGGAAGTGGCCACTACGTAAGGGGACCGTGGGCAATTACAGCCAACGTGAGTTGACAGTGGACAATTAGACCCGAGCGGCAACATAACATAAAAAATAACGTTTAAAAAATATTTGTATTTTATTTTTAATGATATAATATTGTTATTGTCATCAGTATGACGTAAGTATATCAAGTTCGCAGTCGATATCGCATTGGGAAGTGGGTTAAAATTGAGTCACAAGATATGAAGATGCAACGACAACAACAACAGAGTGAGTTTAAAGAAAGCGTGTAAAATTGGAATGATCGAGAGTATTCTATAGATGAATAAAGCACTCTACCTAGCATTTACCTGTTACAAACCTTGTTCATGTGTAGAAGTATCCCAGTAATTACCCTGTAATCAGGTAATTTGTATGGGGTAAGGGTAAAAGGTAGGCTCGTTGCTTTTAACCTTTTACCTTACCTTGCCGACGCCTACTTTCACCACCGCTCACCACCGCTCACCACCGCTCACCACCACCATTGCTCACCATCACTCACCACCGCTCTCCACCGCTCACAACCGCTCACCACCACCACCGCTCACCACCTCCAAAGCTCACCACCACCACCGCTCACCACCACAGACAAAGGTCCCCCGTGTAGCCTCTAACAGTCTGTAGGGGCAAGTGCTGTTAGCGAGCAGCAGCTATGAAGGCTACCGGCACTCTGACCCACGCTTGGCCGCCTTTGTCTCCCCAGTGCTAGCGATGTTCACTACACACCGCACCAGGTACTCATTTGAGGCTGAGTCGACCTAAGGGAGGTCCAGGGCTGATTCAGTTAATCGCCACCGGTGTTGTTACCGTCCCACCACCGTTACCACCCCCACCGTTACCACCCCCACCGTTACCACCGTTACCACCCCCATTGTTACCACCCCCACCGTTACCACCCCCACCGTTACCACCCCCACCGTTACCACCCCCATTGTTACCACCCCCACCGTTACCACCCCCACCGTTACCACCCCCATTGTTACCACCCCCACCGTTACCACCCCCACCGTTACCACCGTTACCACCCCCACCATTACCACCCCCACCGTTACCACCCCCACCGTTACCACCCCCACCGTTACCACCCCCACTGTTATCACCGTTACCACCCCCACCGTTACCACTGTTACCACCCCCACCGTTACCACCCCCACCGTTACCACCGTTACCACCCCCACCGTTACCACCGTTACCACCCCCACCGTTACCACCCCCACCGTTACCACCTCCACTGTTGCCACCGTTACCACCCCCACCGTTACCACCCCCACCGTTACCACCCCCACCGTTACCACCCCACTGTTATCACCGTTACCACCCCCACCGTTACCACCCCCACCGTTACCACCGTTACCACCCCGCTGTGCCCCCCCACCCAGTGCTAGCGGCAGCATCGGCGGCGTTGCTGGGCGCCGACTCGGCATCGCCTATCGACCCCCGGATCGCCGTGGCCACCCTGCAGGCGCTCGCCGGATCCCTGGCCGGTGCCGGATCCCTGGCCGGTGCCGGACCCCTGGCCGGTGCCGGATCCCTGGCCGGTGCCGGATCCCTGGCCGGTGCCGGACCCCTGGCCGGTGCCGGACCCCTGGCCGGTGCCGGATCCCTGGCCGGTGCCGGACCCCTGGCCGGCGCCGGATCAGCGGGCAGCGCCGGATCAGCGGGCAGCGCCACCACCTCTTCGTCGTCAGCGTCGTTGTGAAGGGGGGAGGGAGGAGACAGGAGGGAGAGGGGCAGGGGGGGGGAGTGGAGGCAGGGGGAGAGCCAACACGGGGGATGGGAGCAGGTAGGAGGGAGGGGGAGGAGAGGGGGGAGCAGGTTGCGGGGTCGAGGCGAGGCGACGTGGAGCTGCTTGCCGTGCGAGAAGACCGCCGCCTGCAGATCGATTCCAACGTAACCGAGCGTCTGTCCCTGCGCCTACCGTCGTTCATGCGGGGGGGGGGGGGCGCGTGGGTTTGCAGCGCCCCCTGCATGAAAACGACAAAGCGCAGCGTTCATTCATCTCCACATATATAAAAGGCAAAGTTGTGATTGTGTCTGTTCAAAATGTTTAGCCTACTTTCCCTACATGCAACAAACTGGAAATTTGCCGTGTGGGTACTTTCCAGACTGTACACCATGCAAAAATTATAAAAAATACACTTTTGGTGGGTTTTTTTTGGGGGGGAGCTCAATAATGCATGTATTTTTTGCACGGCAAGTGAGCTGTGACGTCAAATCTGTCACGTGACCCTCGCATGTGGAAGTGTAACGCATTGTAGTGTAGTGGTTAGCACGCTGTCTGTGTGTGTGTCTGTGTGTGTGTGTATATCTGTGTGTGTGTGTATCTGTGTGTGTGTGTGTATCTGTGTGTGTGTATCTGTGTGTATCTGTGTGTGTATCTGTGTGTGTGTGTATCTGTGTGTGTGTGTATCTTGTGTGTGTCTATCTGTGTGTGTGTGTATCTGTGTGTGTATCTGTGTGTGTGTGTGTGTATCTGTGTGTGTGTGTATCTGTGTGTGTGTGTGTGTGTATCTGTGTGTGTGTATCTGTGTGTGTATCTGTGTGTGTATCTGTGTGTGTGTGTATCTGTGTGTGTGTGTATCTGTGTGTGTATCTGTGTGTGTGTGTGTATCTGTGTGTGTGTGTGGGGAGCGGTAGTGTAGTGGTTAGCGCTACGCTGCGCTACGAACCCGGCGACCCGAGTTCGATTCCCACTCACGGCCACCACCGGTGACGATTATCTGAACCGGTCCCGGGCCTAGGTCGACTCAGCCTCAAACGCGTAACTGGTGCGGTGTGTGAACATCGCCATTGGGGAGTCAAAGGCGGCCGGGCGTGGTGAATCCAAGTCCCGGGCGAAGCCGGGTAGTTAAGCTCGTCACGGATAAAGTTGGGCGTTTATATTATTAATGGCAGGTCAGTTAGTGGGCCGCCTTTTCCCCGTCAACAATAGATACTGTAGTTTAGAGGTTACCAAGCCACACTTAATTCGGTCGGGTTTTTGACCATTTTCGTGAGGGTGCATTGGTTGTTTTCCCCGGTTCCTGCCACCTTTCATCACGAACCCGCGTGCCCGGCACCGACTGTGGACACGCGGCGGCGAGGGGGAGTTGGTGGATCACCACACAGATGGGGTTGTGGAACTCTTGTCGTCTCTCTGGAGCGGCCTCGAGCGGAGAGGTTGCCACCCATTGACAGCCAGCAGTAGAGAAAGACTGGGGTACTCTTAGCACGGGGCTGCCTGGCACCTTCTGCTGACATAATAAACCCGTTGCGGTGAGTCACTCTGTGTCTTGTATATTTGTGTCTGTGTGTTGGCGTGGTGCTGGCCACCGATTTCATCGCGTGCCACAGTACCAGCGGTCACAGGTGCTGCTTGCTACTCTGCACTCACAGCACTTGCCCCGACAGTCTGTTAGAGGCTACACGGGGGATCTTTGTCTTCCTTCATAGGTGCTGCTACTCTGCACTCACAGCACTTGCCCCGACAGTCTGTTAGAGGCTACACGGGGGATCTTTGTCTGTGTCTACCTTCATAGGTGCTGCTGCTACTCGCTACTAACAGCACTTGCCCCTACAGTCTGTTAGAGGCTACACGGGGGACCTTTGTGTCTACCTTCACAGGTGCTGCTGCTACTCGCTACTCACAGCACTTGCCCCTACAGTCTGTTAGAGACTACACGGGGGATCTTTATGTCTACCTTCATAGGTGCTGCTGCTACTCGCTATCAACAGGACTTGCCCCTACAGTCTGTTAGAGGCTACACGGGGGGCATTTGTCTGTGTCTACCTTCACAGGTGCTGCTGCTACTCGCTACTCACAGCACTTGCCCCTACAGTCTGTTAGAGGCTACACGGGGGACCTTTGTGTCTACCTTCATAGGTGCTGCTGCTACTCGCCACTCACAGCACTTGCCCCTACAGTCTGTTAGAGACTACACGGGGGATCTTTGTCTGTGTCTACCTTCACAGGTGCTGCTGCTACTCTCGGTAAGCCAGACAGGATGTTGCTAGGTAGACTTTGTTTAGGGCACCTTTTATAGCCCCTTTCCCCCGTTTGGGGTGAGCAGAGTGGATCCTTGTGGGCTGTTCAGTCACAGCTGTCGGGATGCACTCCTGCCTAATCCGAGTGCGTGACGACGTTCTAATAGCCCCCGCCTTGGTGCTGGGTTGTGACTCGGAGCGTCTCGCTGCATAGGCCTCGCCACCTGCCAGTCGCCCAAGGACTTTGTAGCGCGGTGGTGAGACGGCACAGTTCCTGAAGAGTGCCGGTGCGTGATGGAATTTGCATGCAGTGTCCGTTGCACACCAGGCTACCTCACGGGGCTTAGCCGTGAGCCAACCCTGGGTCCAGTGGCAAGGCAGGAAACCAAGACGATGGGAAGGTGCTGGACATCCAGTTGCTCCTCCGCCATGTGCTGTTGGCCATCAGGACCACAGCTCGCACGCCCCATCGGGGTGAGCCGTTGGCCACTTCGTATCCACCCGGGATGATGTCCGGGTTTACACCCCTAGCCCAAGTGGCTTACCAGAGCCACCGTTGGCCACTTGGTATCCACCCGGGATGTTGACCGGGTTACTCCCCTAGCCTAAGTGGCTTACCGGAGCCCCCGTTGGCCACTTGGTGTCCATCCGGGATGATGTCCGGGTTTACTCCCCTAGCCTAAGTGGCTTACCGGAGCCCCCGTTGGCCACTTGGTATCCACCCGGGATGTTGTCCGGGTTTACTCCCCTAGCCTAAGTGGCTTACCAGTGCCCCCGTTGGCCACTTGGTATCCACCCGGGATGATGTCCGGGTTAATCCCCTAGCCTAAGTGGCTTACCGGAGCCCCCGTTGGCCAGCGCGTTTGCAGGTGAGTCCAGGCAGGCCTTCATGGCTATTGGTCGGACCGCCCACCATACTTCGCCCTGTCCGGCACTTCTGTATTGTACCTGTTAGCACCTCCCACGACACGGACGAGGGGTTGGTTTGGGGCCACCCATAAATGACGTCACGCGATTTTGGGCGATTTTTTATCCCCCCCCCCCTCGTCACACGGCGTCACCAAAAGTCAGACCCCCCCCCCTCAAATATGACGTCACAAAGCTCTGCCCCCCCCCCCCAAACCATATTTCCATTTTGAAAATAAAACATGCTTCAAATCGCACTGCAGTGACTATTGTCATTGTAGTGTATTTAATGTGGCGCTGCACTGTGATGTAGGAGAAAACATTTATTAAAAAGGAAGCGTTGGAAAGCTTACATTTAGCACAAAATTCACTTGAAAATATTCAACGTCCAACTAAAACTGCAGATGTTCAGAATATTATATTGATAAAATATTAAAAGTAATTATAACTATAAAAAATACATGAAACTTCGTAGTAGAACGAAGCAAAATGGAGAGTACAATTATAACAAACACATTCATTCCACAGAATGAAAAGCCCTGGTAGAATCATTAAAATAAAAATGTTTAATAACAATCATTAAAAAAAACGTTCAAAATGTATACGTCTCCATTCTCCCACGGAGAAGCAAAATGCTCCTTCATGGAATAAATAAAAGATGACCTTAGTAAATTTAAATAATCAAATAGTTAATAATGAAAATTAATCAAAATTAGTGTTATAACAATTCTATATTTAAAGTTGCGCAATTTGATGTGACGTCACATATCTCAACCCTCCCCCACTCGTCACATATCGTCACAAATGTCTGCCCCCCCCCGCCCTAGTTGCGTGACGTCATTTATGGACGGCCCCTCTCACGCATCACACGCGCGCGCGGTGACGTCACCGATCAGGCTCCGCCCCTTGTACTAGCCCCTCCCTCAAATATCAACCCTCCCGCTAATGGTAGCCCCTCTGCCCTTAAATAGCGGCCCCGCCCCCTCATCGCAGCTCCTCCGCCCTTAAATAGCGGCCCCGCCCCTCACCTCCGTCTCTTTCTCACTCCGGCGGCGTCGTCTGCTGCTGTCCCGCTCACCTCGTCGCCATCCGCCGCCATCCTCGCTGCCCGCGCGGCCGAGCGAGGCGAGTTGCGGCGCGGCGCGAAGGGGAGAGGCCGCGCGACGCGATGGAGCCTCTCGCTCGGTCTCAAGACCCTCCCGCTCGATTGGAAAGGCCCGATGGAGGAGGAAGAGGCGGACCGGGAGCGCGGTTGAACGACAAGGACGGCGGCCATTGATCGTCGCAGGGTAAGGTTTAGGAGGAAATCGGCGATTTTTTTTGATGGCTTGGATCGCTGTTTGCGGGGACGCTGTTTGCCTTTGAAAGGGCGCAGTGGGGGAGGGGGTTTGCGCGGGTAACGTTGTGATAACCCTCGCCGATGTTTACCTCGGCCAAGTCGAAGCGATTTGTTACAGCAGGAGAGAGTCCCGCGTTTGAGCGCTTCGCGCCACGTGCTCGTGAGGGAGGCCCATGCACCGAAACGTCGCGTGCTGGTTTTTCTGTCGTCTTACCCCGTAAGGTTCGCGCGGCGTTCTTTGACGCGGTTTTGCGATTTAATCGGATTTAAAAAAAAAAGTTCTCATAAATCTGTTCAAAATCTTCATAATTACCGCGTCTTTTAATAGTTTTATATATTTTTTTATTAGCTTCATACAATTGTCCATCGAAGGTTCGGCGATTTGCAAGCGGCACGAGTTTGCTGTGACTGTTTTAAGAGACCCATCGCCGTGATTAACCGGCTCGATTAACGTCGCGTATGAGGTAATGTTACTATGGGCGCCGATGTGCTATGAACCAGGTCTATTGCCCGAAACGTCGTCTCGTAATATAATGTACACCCGTGTATTTAATACTGGGTTCGATCCCGACCCTGACGATGCCTGCTGCTGCTGTATATTTGGCGTCTGCGTCTCTCTCATCATTATCACGGTGGCTATGAGATGTTGACTACCTCGCCTGGTATACAGGAGGTCGTGGGTTCGGTCCCTCACCCTGACGATGCCTGCTGCTGTATATGTGGAGTCTGCGTCTCTCCGGAGTTTACCCCTCCACATGTAGTCAACATCACGCGTTTTTAAGAGTTATTTGGCAATGACGATGAGAATCCGCCACTTTGTTGAGCTTTCATTTGTGATGGCCAGGTCCGCTTGTGGAAATCGGCTGCATAGCAGCTCGGTGGGGCCGTACATCTTGTTAAATACACACATTTTTTAAGTTAAAACTAAAACCATTATTGTTTAAATGGAATTATGCGGCCGCACGCACGGTCTCGTCAATTAACACGGATCGCGTCGAGAGGTTCGTTGCCCGAAACGTCGTCGTCGCAATGACCACGTGGTGGTGGTACGTCCGTGGACTTATTTTAATATTTCGAGAGTCTTAATATTCTTCACAGCTGGAGTGAAACCTCGTGTGACCTTCGCGACCACGCGCGCCCCGTACTGGGCACCTGTGTTGAAAGAGCTTCGTGGCTTATCGGATTTCTCCCAGGATACGACCCCCCCCCCCCTCTCGATTGGTAACGGAACGCAGCGACCGTTGTTGGGGTCCCGTGTCGAGTAACCGCAGCGTAATGATGGACGATGGAGACGACGTTTCGAGCAGTGACCCTCGTGCAGAAGCGCACATGAATTATGGGGGGGGGGGGAGCCTTTTGTTCCCCTTTCTAAGGCCTTAATCCAGCGGTGGGTTGACGGTTCTCGGGAGTTCGACGTGTTTTGTTCCGCCCGGTTAAAATAAAAATCGTTTGGCTGTCCGCTATTTTTAGTGACGCGTGTTTAATTTTCCAGGTAGGGGTGTGGGCACTGGGCTACCGTGTGGCCCTTTGCAGGAAGCGAACCCAGCCGTTTAGTCTTCGTGGTTATTTCGGTTAAGTCACGTAGGTGAATAAAACAAATTGAAACAAATTAAATCACGACGTTTCGGAAGCAACGGGAGCTTCCGTCATAAGGGGGGGACAAACGCAGCTAAATAAATTACTGTAGTGGGCAAAGAGCTGTTTGTGACGAGCGATTATATAGGGTAAGAGGGGGGAGGTGGGAGCCAGGGTTGAGAGATTTCTATTTTATTTTTTCACCTACGTAACTTTACCAAAAGAATCGGAGAATATGGATCCTTGCCGTCACGGAAACTTCAACGACCCAGCAGCCTTCACAAATGTAACGGGCAGCTCGACAAAGTGGCCGTCCGTCATCGCGCGGAAAGTTATCGTGGCCAAATAACTACGAACGTGAAATGTGGAGGCTGAAAATCCGCGCGCGAGACACCGCAAACTTCAAATATCCAGCAGCAGCAGGCAATCGTCAGGGCCGGGGATCGAACCCACGATCTCCTGTATACCTGGCGAGGTAGTTAACATCTCCTAGCCACCGTGATCGGAGAGACGCGGACTCCAAATATACAGCAACAGGCATCGTCGGGATCGAATCTACGACCTCCTGTAGAAGAGTCCACGGCCGTGCTCGCTCAGCTGCTGGATGAATGTCCCCCCCCCAGCGTCACGTAGGGTCTGGTGCTTGTTTAGCTCCCTCACGGCCACCGCCAGGTGCTGCTGCTCCTCCTCCGCTAGCGTCGAGTGATGAGAACAAGATGACCAGTTCTGCTACCGAGTGACAGTGACGATGATCGGCTCTGACGACGTCGAGGAGGAGGGTGATGGGCAGGAGGATGTGAGGGAGAAGTGCCGTGAGGCCCAGGGGAAGCGTGGTGGGGGAGGGTGAGTGAGTGTTAGGCGCGGTGCGAGTAGTGAGTGTACGTAAACGGCATTGCCAGCCTGTAGACAATCTGCCTGTGCTGCGTGGACTCGCCTGTAACGGCACGCGTGGCGTGTAGGGTGACCTGGCGCTGGCCAGCGTGAAGGGACTGGCGGTGCCGATGGGGAGGCGGCGGCGGTGGACGTCTGGGACTTGACCGGCTCTGTCACCGGCTCTTTGACACCGAGGTGAGTGGCGTGAAAGGTGGAAGCCGCCGGGGTAAGGCGAGGGTGAGGAAGGGTGGAGTTGGGTGATAGTGGTGGAGTGTGGTGATGGTGGAGTGAGTGAGGCACCGTGTGTGTGACGGCACTCGTGATGATTGTGACGCTGCTTTTCCGATTTAATTGCTGAGGAAATGTCGTTACCTTGGAGATCTGAGCCGTCACTCTGTGCCCGTTACAGGGGGTAGGGGTGTAGTGTGTAGTACTGTAGTGTGTAGGGCTGTAGCAGGTAGGGGTGTAGTGGGGTAGTGTGTAGTACTGTAGTGTGTAGTGGGGTAGTGTGTAGTACTGTAGTGGGGTAGTGTGTAGTACTGTAGTGTGTAGTGGGGTAGTGTGTAGTACTGTAGTGTGTAGGGCTGTAGCAGGTAGTGGGGTAGGGTATAGTACTGTAGCAGGTAGGGGTGTAGTGGGGTAGGGTATAGTACTGTAGCAGGTAGGGGTGTAGTGGGGTAGGGGTGTAGTGGGGTAGGGTATAGTACTGTAGTGTGTAGGGTATAGTACTGTAGTGTGTAGGGTATAGTACTGTAGTGTGTAGGGGGTGTGGTAGGGTATAGTACTGTAGTGTGTAGGGGTGGGGTAGGGTATAGTACTGTAGTGTGTAGTGGGGTAGGGTATAGTACTGTAGTGTGTAGGGCTGTGGCATTGAGGTGTTTGGTGGTCTGGTTTTCGTGTTGGCACGAGGGATGTTGGTGTCTGTCCATGCTCCGCTGCTCCGCTCCGTGTTGCTCAGATCCACCGCTCTGCGTTGTCCCCACAGGTGGCTCCGTCTCCACACGGCGGTGGTGGCGGTGACGAGGAGGAGGGAGCCGCAGATTCCCCCGGAGGTGAGCCCACGGCCGTGCTCGCTCCGCTGCTGGTTGCGAGAGGTCCGCGTTGCTTAGGACGTGGCGTTTGCTTAGCCATACTTCACCACGCCGGTCGGTGAAGGAGGATGTGTCCCTTCCCACGGGGACTAGCCGTGGGTTGATGGCGGGGTGCTGACCGCTGTCCCGCCACTCGCTGGCTCCCTCGCAGCTCCCCCCCCCCCCCACTCCTCCGCTAGCGTCGAGTGATGAGAACAAGATGACCAGTTCTGCTACCGAGTGACAGTGACGATGATCGGCTCTGACGACGTCGAGGAGGAGGGTGATGGGCAGGAGGATGTGAGGGAGAAGTGCCGTGAGGCCCAGGGGAAGCGTGATGGGGGGGTGAGCGAGTGAGTGTTAAGCGCGGTGCGAGTAGTGAGTGTACGTAAACGGCATTGCCAGCCTGTAGACAATCTGCCTGTGCTGCGTGGACTCGCCTGTAACGGCACGCGTGGCGTGTAGGGTGACCTGGCGCTGGCCAGCGTGAAGGGACTGGCGGTGCCGAGGAGGCGGCGGCGGTGGACGTCTGGAACTTGACCGGCTCTGTCACCGGCTCTTTGACACCGAGGTGAGCGGCGTGAAAGGTGGAAGCCGCCGGGGTAAGGTGAGGGTGAGGAAGGGTGGAGTTGGGTGATAGTGGTGGAGCGTGGTGATGGTGGAGTGAGCCCTGCCGTGAGGCACCGTGTGTGTGACGGCACTCGTGATGATTGTGACGCTGCTTTTCCGATTTAATTGCTGAGGAAATGTCGTTACCTTGGAGATCTGAGCCGTCACTCCGTGCCTGTTACAGGGGGTAGGGGTGTAGTGGGGTAGTGTGTAGTACTGTAGTGTGTAGTACTGTAGTGTGTAGGGGTGTAGTGTGTAGTACTTTAGTGTGTAGGGCTGTAGTGGGGTAGTGTGTAGTACTGTAGTGTGTAGGGCTGTAGGAGGTAGGGGGGTAGTGTGTAGTACTGTAGTGTGTAGGGGTGTAGTACTGTAGTGTATAGTACTGTAGTGTGTAGGGGTGTAGTGTGGTAGTGTGTAGTACTGTAGTGTGGTAGTGTGTAGTACTGTAGTGTGTAGGGGTGTAGTGGGGTAGTGTGTAGGGGTGTAGTGGGGTAGTGTGTAGGGCTGTAGCAGGTAGGGGTGTAGTGGGGTAGTGTGTAGGGCTGTAGCAGGTAGGGGTGTAGTGGGGGTAGTGTGTAGTACTGTAGTGTGTAGGGCTGTAGCAGGTAGGGGTGTAGTGGGGTAGTGTGTAGGGGTGTAGTGTGGTAGTGTGTAGTACTGTAGTGGGGTAGTGTAGTACTGTAGTGTGTAGGGGTGTAGTGTGGTAGTGTGTAGTACTTTAGTGTGTAGGGCTGTAGTGGGGTAGTGTGTAGTACTGTAGTGTGTAGGGCTGTAGGAGGTAGGGGGGTAGTGTGTAGTACTGTAGTGTGTAGGGGTGTAGCAGGTAGTGGGGTAGGGTATAGTACTGTAGTGTGTAGTACTGTAGTGTGTAGGGGTGTAGTACTGTAGTGTATAGTACTGTAGTGTGTAGGGGTGTAGTACTGTAGTGTGTAGGGGTGTGGTGTGGTAGTGTGTAGTACTGTAGTGTGGTAGTGTGTAGTGTGTAGGGGTGTAGTGGGGTAGTGTGTAGGGGTGTAGTGGGGTAGTGTGTAGGGCTGTAGCAGGTAGGGGTGTAGTGGGGTAGTGTGTAGGGCTGTAGCAGGTAGGGGTGTAGTGGGGTAGTGTGTAGTAGTGTGTAGGGCTGTAGCAGGTAGGGGTGTAGTGGGGTAGTGCTGTAGTGTGTAGGGGTGTAGTGTGGTAGTGTGTAGTACTGTAGTGTGTAGTGGGGTAGTGTGTAGGGGTGTAGTGGGGTAGTGTGTAGTGCTGTAGTGTGTAGGGCTGTAGTGGGGTAGTGTGTAGTACTGTAGTGTGTAGGGCTGTAGTGGGGTAGTGTGTAGTACTGTAGTGTGTAGGGCTGTAGTGGGGTAGTGTGTAGTACTGTAGTGTGTAGGGGTGTAGTGGGGTAGTGTGTAGTACTGTAGTGTGTAGGGCTGTAGTGGGGTAGTGTGTAGTACTGTAGTGTGTAGGGCTGTAGTGGGGTAGTGTGTAGTACTGTAGTGTGTAGGGCTGTAGCAGGTAGGGGTGTAGTGGGGTAGTGTGTAGTACTGTAGTGTGTAGGGGTGTAGTGGGGTAGTGTGTAGTACTGTAGTGTGTAGGGGTGTAGTGGGGTAGTGTGTAGTACTGTAGTGTGTAGGGGTGTAGTGTGGTAGTGTGTAGTACTGTAGTGGGGTAGTGTATACTACTGTAGTGTGTAGGGGTATAGTGGGGTAGGTTATAGTACTGTAGTGTGTAGTGAGGTAGGGTATAGTACTGTAGTGGGGTAGTGTGTAGTATTGTAGTGTGTAGTGGGGTAGTGTGTAGTACTGTAGTGTGTAGGGCTGTTGCAGGTAGGGGTGTAGTGGGGTAGGGTATAGTACTGTGGTGGGGTATAGTACTGTAGTGTGTGGTGGGGTAGGGTATAGTACTGTAGTGTGTAGTGGGGTAGGGTATAGTACTGTGGTGGGGTATAGTACTGTAGTGTGTGGTGGGGTAGGGTATAGTACTGTAGTGTGTAGTGGGGTAGGGTATAGTACTGTGGTGGGGTATAGTACTGTAGTGTGTGGTGGGGTAGGGTATAGTACTGTAGTGTGTAGTGGGGTAGGGTATAGTACTGTAGTGGGTAGGGTATAGTACTGTAGTGTGTAGGGCTGTAGCATTGAGAGGGGTTTGCTGGTCTGGTTTTCGTGTTGGCACGAGGGATGTTGGTGTCTGTCCATGCTCCGCTCCGTGTTGCTCAGATCCACCGCTCTGCGTTGTCCCCACAGGTGGCTCCGTCTCCACACGGCGGTGGTGGCGGTGACGAGGAGGAGGGAGCCGCAGATTCCCCCGGAGGTGAGCCCACGGCCGTGCTCGCTCCGCTGCTGGTTGCGAGGGGTCCGCGTTACGTAAGACGTGGCGCTTGGTTAGCCATACTTCACCCCGATCGGTGAAGGAGGATGTGTCCCTTCCCACGGGGACTAGCCGTGGGTTGATGGCGGGGTGCCGACCGCTGTCCCGCCACTCGCTGGCTCCCTCGCAGCTCCCCCCCCCCTACTCCTCCTCCGCTAGCGTCGAGTGATGAGAACAAGATGACCAGTTCTGCTACCGAGTGACAGTGACGATGATCAGCTCTGACGACGTCGATGAGGAGGGAGAGGCCCTGTGGGGCCGAGGGGGAGCGTGGGGGGAGTGGGGTGTGCGTTAGGCCAAGTGAGGTGTGTGGTGAGTGAGTTGTGTGTGTTAGGCCGAGGTTTAGGTGGTGTGTGTGTGTACACAAACCGCGTTGCCAGCGTGTAGTCAATCGGCCTGCACTGCCAGTCCCCACCGCGTGGACTCGTCTGTAACGGTACGCGTGGCGTGGTGTGTAGGGTGACCTGGCGCCGGACACCGTGCAGGGACTGGCGGTGCCGATGGGGACGAGGCGGTGGTGGTGGTGGTTGACGTCCGGAACTTGACCGGCTCTGCCACCGGCTCGTTGACACCGAGGTGAGGGAGGGAATGGTGAAGCGGGGTGACGGTGAGGAGGAAGGTTGGCGTGCGGTGAGGGTGCAGGGTGGAGCGAGGGGAGGGTGGAATGAGGTGAGGCAGTGTGGAGGGTGGAGTGAGGGTGGAGCCAGGTGAGGAGGTGGAGCGGGGTGGAGTGAGTGAGGCACCGTGTGTGTGACGGCACTCGTGATGATTGTGACGCTGCTTTTCCGATTTAATTGCTGAGGAAATGTCGTTACCTTGGAGATCTGAGCCGTCACGCCGTGCCTGTTACTGGGGGTAGGGGTGTAGTGGGGTAGGGTATAGTACTGTAGTGTGTAGGGCTGTAGCAGGTAGGGGTGTAGTGGGGTAGGGTGTAGTACTGTAGTGTGTAGGGGTGTAGTGGGGTAGGGTATAGTACTGTAGGGGTGTAGTGGGGTAGGGTATAGTACTGTAGGGGTGTAGTGGGGTAGGGTATAGTACTGTAGGGGTGTAGTGGGGTAGGGTATAGTTCTGTAGTGTGTAGTACTGTAGTGTGTAGTGGGGTAGTGTGTAGTACTGTAGCAGGTAGGGGTGTAGAGGGGTAGGGTTATAGTACTGTAGTGTGTAGGGGGTGTGGTGTCTAGGGCTGTAGCAGGTAGGGGGTGTGGTGTGTAGGGCTGTCGCGAGTGGATGCTGTTGGGTGGTCAGGTTTTCATGTTGACGTGAGAGGCGCTTGTTGTGTTTCCGTGTTGGAGTCTGGAGTCTGCGTGTGTGTGTGCGCGTGTGTGTGTGTGTCAGCGTGTGTGTCAGCGTGTGTGTCTGCGTGTGTGTTTGTGTGATCAACATCGCCGCTCTGTACAGACAGCGGTGTGTCATCAACATCGCCGCTCTGTACAGACAGCTGTGTGTAATCAACTCAACATCGCCGCTCTGTACAGACAGCTGTGTGTAATCAACATCGCCGCTCTGTACGGACAGCTGTGTCATCAACTCAACATCGCCGCTCTGTACAGACAGCTGTGTGTAATCAACATCGCCGCTCTGTACAGACAGTGGTGTGTCATCAACATCGCCGCTCTGTACGAACAGCTGTGTCATCAACTCAACATCGCCGCTCTGTACAGACAGCTGTGGTGGTGGTGGCGTGGTGGCGGCTACAACGCCAACTGGCGTCTGTGCGGCGTGAGTGCAGCAGCAGCAAGAGGCGGCGATGGGTTCCGGTGCTCGTGGACAACCCTGACGGGTGAAGCTCTACCGGCTACACGACTCCAATCACCGCTTGCCGCGTGGTGCCACGGTGAGTGATGGTGGTGGCTCTGTGGCAGGGTGTCTGCGGCTATGCGCGGTCGCTTAACGCGGTGGTGGTGGTGGTTGAACACGTGTGATGGAAACGCGGCGTTGTAACAAATAATAATATAATGTAGGGGGTGAAGCAGAGTCTGTCGTGATCACGCGCGAGACCATAATGTGTTGTTGGGTGTGAGAACGTCTTAACACAACCCCTGCTTTTATTGCCAGAAAGGGTAAAAACCTATTATTCTGATTTTGATGCTGGCAAAAGCGGGATCCATTTTGTACGCGCAGTGCACGTTGAACTTGTGTTGCACGGTGCGTAGCCAAACCGCGCTAATGGTAAGGGTGCGGGGGGGAGGGGGGACTACAAACTAAACACAAAGCAGTTTGATGGATGAGCGTGCGGGGTGGGGGGCGATGGCGGTGTGGGATGATGATAACCCAGAGTCGCTAGGTGGGCGTGGGCCGTCACGGTCAAATGGCGCCCTCCCATGATGCCACTTTGTCATAGTTACACTGACCACAGTGCCACGCCTCGTGACCCCGAGGTGACCCCGGGGTGACCCGTGGGGGTGTGGTTTGGGAGAGGCGGCTACCTCCCGGCGGATCGGCAGTAGGTGTGAGGGTGGCGGCGCTGACCAAGTTTGGGCTTTGTGTCGTTACTCGGCAGGAGGTGACGCCGGTGGTGATGACGACACGGGCGGTGATGCCGACAACGATGGCGGCGCCGCCGATGGAGGTGATGGAGACTGCCGCTTATCACTAAGGGGGGCGGGGGGGAGGGAGCCTGTGTTGGCTGATGAAATGTAAAAAATAAAATAACCTGTCATGGACTGCCGCTGTGTGAAGCCCTACGGTTTATTTATTTCTCTCATCGCGATGCTCTGTGACGACCTGCACGTGTGGGTCGCTGCTGCTGCTGCGAGCTCGACTATCAATAAAGGTGACACCCACTAAAGCTGGGCCCGACTGCGGTGTCTACTCGGCACCATCGCACGCACGCGGACACACCGGGCACAACCACCACATGACTACACGGCCTTGACGGCTCGTCCACTCGCTCGTCCACCTGCCCACCCACTCGTCCACTCTCCCACCCACTCCACTCTCCCACCTGCTCATCCCCTTGTCCACGAACCCACCCCTTCACCCATTCATCCATTTGGTGGTCACCAACTCATCCAACCAGCCACTCGCCCATGCGCCCCTTCGCCCCTTAGGAAATAAAGGAACACGTTTTAAAGTGTACAGGGCTGCTGCGAAATACTCAAAAGTTTTAAATAAATTTATTGAGTACGAGCTTTAACCCGGCTTTGCCCGAGACTTGGATTTTGTCTTTGATTAATTCGTGGAGTGGGGGGGGGGAGGGGATGCGTGACGTCAGGCACACTGCGTGACGTTGCCGCATGCAAGTGACATCACAGACGTGACGTCACTCGCCGTGCAAAATAAATTCATTGCCCTTACCCCAAATACAAAAGTCTATTTTTGTACTTCGTGCATTGTGTACAGTCTGGAAGCTACCCACGTGCCACATTTAAGGTTTGTTGCATGTTGGGAAGTAATGCTAAACAGTTCGAACGGACACACATTCACAAATTTCCCTTGTACATATGGAGCTTGATTAAAGTTATTTGAACTCCGGGTATTGCTGATAAATACACGCACGTGGTGGTGTACAGTCGGGGCACAAGTGCACGTGTGCTTGGGTATGAAGCGCAGAATCTTTACTCCATGGTAAAAGTTTGCTCTGGGTTACACGGTGTGAGTTTAAGTGTGTCGTGAAACCCGCCACCACCCAGCCAATCGGTGGAGCTTCGTGGTGTAAGCAAGAACCGCTTGCGAGTTAGACCCACGACTACGACAGTTACTTGGTAAGGGGCCGTCTGTAAATGACGTCACGCGATTTGACGTTTTTTTAACCCCCCCTCGTCACATGACGTCACAGACCCCCCTCTCAAATATGACGTCACAGCTCCGCCCACCCCCCCAAAACCATAAAACATGCGACAAATCGCTTTCAACTATTGTCATTGTAGTTGCGTATTTAATATGGAGCTGCATTCTAATGTAGGAGAAAACATTTATTACAAAGTCTGTTTAATTAAGTAGAACGTGTTGTTTATATTTATTTATAAAGTTGCGCATTTTGATGTGACGTCACATTTCTCAACCCCCCACCATCGTCACACATCGTCACAAATGTCTGACCCCCCCCCCCCCAGGTGTGACGTCATTTATGGACGGCCCCGAACTAGTTGGGTGCGTTTTGGGTTTTTGACGACAACATTTTATACCAAAAAACACATTTGTGAATAATATTAACGTTGGTTGTGGTAATGCGACGACTCTTGTCTAAACAGCTTCCGTCACTGACCCCGTTTCGTTATTTGTGTCGCCTAGGCACGAACTGGTACACCTATAACCTCCACCAATATCCCATTTCTCTTATGGGAGGGGGAACCTCATACTGATGACATTTCCCCTATAACCCCCGCCAGTTTCCCCGTTATATGGGTGGGGTGACGTCATCTCGTCCTGGTGCCCTGTCCCCTATAACGTCCGCCAGTTTCCCCGTTATATGGGTGGGGTGACGTCATCTCGTCCTGGTGCCCTGTCCCCTATAACCCCCGCCGATATCACATGACCCAAGTGGGGGACATCGTTTCGTTATAAGTCGACCAAGTTTCCACTCCCGAACCTCCCCCACCAACCCCAACGTATAGAGGGGGGGGGGGACACTCCACCCCACCCACTCACCTCACCCACTCACCTCACCTCACCCACTCACCCCACCCACCCACTCACCCCACCCACTCACCCCACCCACTCACCCCACCCACCCACTCACCCCACTCACCTCACCCCACCCACTCACCCACTCACCCCACCTACTCACCCCCAGGGGCTGTGCGCTTTGTCATAGAGGATTTACCTCCGTAGAGTATCGGGTGGAAGGGGCCCTTGTCCCTTCGTGTGAAGGTCTATTATTGTTGTAATGAACGTGTTGCCTCGAGTGAAGTCTCGCTCTCCCTTCTACCCACCACACAAGTGTAGCGGGTTAAATTCAGGCTCACACTGGAACTTTGGAGACAGCACTGTTTATTAGCTAAACCACGACGGGTAACTCTTAACATTCACAGGATAACTGCATGGGGTGGTGGTGGTAACCGCCGTTCCTAACTTGGCTAACACACGGGGATACTACTACATCACTGGACCAGAGACCGAGGATCGTAGATGTTGGCTTCATCCCAGAGTTGACCCAGCAGAACAGCCCAGAACAGTACAGTACAGCACAGAACAGCCCAGAACAGTACAGTCCAGCACAGAACAGCCCAGAACAGCACAGAACAGTCCAGCACAGCACAGTCCAGCACAGAACAGCCCGGAACAGCCCAGAACAGCACAGAACAGCCCAGAACAGCACAGTCCAGCACAGTCCAGCACAGAACAGCGCAGAACAGCCCAGAAAAGCACAGAACAGCCCAGAACAGCCCCCGGGCTCTCCGTCCGCACCCCGCTAGTAACGCCTCCGGCGTGGCCGGCTTCGCCCCAGGCCACGCCCCCCCCCTTCCCGATCCTTCGGGAAGGCCCGAACCCCCAACCACGTGACCCCTCCCCCCTGGGGGCCCTGGTCCCCCTTTATCCGGTCACGTGTCCTGTTGGGTTCACCCCATACCGAGCCAATAGAGGTAGTGTCCTCGTACGACACGACTACACAAGTCAAAGTGAAGAACCACAGCGCTACTCGCTTACCCCGTCGCCTCTGGCGAGCGTTTCACTACGGGGCGGGCGAGTGAGAGACGCAGAGAGACGGACGGTGAACGGTGGAGCGCGCAGTGGTGATTGTGGTGGTGGTGATGGTGGTGGTGGTGATTGTGGTGGTGGTGATTGTGGTGGTGATTGTGGTGGTGGTGATGGTGGTGGTGGTGATTGTGGTGGTGGTGGTAATTGTGGTGGTGGTGATTGTGGTGGTGGTGATTGTGGTGGTGGTGATTGTGGTGGTGATTGTGGTGGTGGTGATGGTGGTGATTGTGGTGGTGGTGATTGTGGTGGTGGTGATTGTGGTGGTGGTGATTGTGGTGGTGGTGGTGATTGTGGTGGTGGTGGTGATTGTGGTGGTGGTGATTGTGGTGGTGGTGATTGTGGTGGTGGTGATTGTGGTGGTGGTGATTGTGGTGGTGGTGATTGTGGTGGTGGTGATTGTGGTGGTGGTGATTGTGGTGGTGATTGTGGTGGTGGTTATTGTGGTGGTGGTGATTGTGGTGGTGGTTATTGTGGTGGTGGTGATTGTGGTGGTGGTGGTGTTGGTGGTAGTGGTGATTGTGGTGATTGTGGTGGTGGTGATTGTGGTGATTGTGGTGGTGATTGTGGTGGTGATTGTGGTGATTGTGGTGGTGGTGATTGTGGTGGTAGTGGTGGTGATAGTGGTGGTGGTAGTGGTGGTGGTTGTTGTGTTGGTGATTGTGGTGATTGTGGTGGTGGTGATTGTGGTATTTGTGGTGGTTGTGGTGGTGTTGGTGGTGGTGATTGTCGTGGTGATTGTGGTGGTGATTGTGGTGGTGGTGATTGTGGTGGTGGTGATTGTGGTGGTGGTGATTTTGGTGGTGGTGATTGTGGTGGTGATTATGGTGATTGTGGTAGTGGTTGTGGTGGTGGTGATTGTGGTTGTGGTGGTAGTGGTGGTGATAGTGGTGGTGATAGTGGTGGTGGTAGTGGTGGTGGTGGTTGTGGTGTTGGTGATTGTGGTGTTGGTGGTTGTGGTGGTGTTGGTGGTGGTGATTGTGGTGGTGGTGATTGTGGTGGTGATGATTGTGGTGGTGATTGTGGTGGTGATGGTGGTGTTGATTGTGGTGGTGGTGATTGTGGTGGTGGTGGTGATTCTGGTGGTGGTGATTGTGGTGGTGGTGATTGTGGTGGTGGTGATTGTGGTGGTGATGGTGGTTGTGATTGTGGTGGTGATTGCGGTGGTGGTGATTGTGGTGGTGGTGATTGTGGTGGTGATGGTGATTGTGGTGATGATGGTGGTTGTGATTGTGGTGGTGATTGTGGTGGTGGTGATTGTGGTGGTGATTGTGGTGGTGATGGTGGTTGTGATTGTGGTGGTGGTGATTGTGGTGATTGTGGTGGTAGTGGTGGTGGTGGTGTTGCTGCTGCTGCCGTGCGGCTGAACCCTCCCAGCCGCTGGCCGGAGCGAGGCTCGAAGTTGGCGTCTGCTTCTCCCGAGACGTGGGTGGCGACGTCAGCGGCCACCGTAGGGACAACGACGACGACGAGGGTGGTGGTGGTGGGCGCTGCCTGGGGTGGCCACTCGCTCGGCTGGGGCGGTGGTGGTGGCGGTGTTCCACGGTGGCCACGGTGGCGGTGGTGGTGGCAGTGTGCCACGGTGGTGGTGGTGGTGTGCCACGGTGGCCACGGTGGTGGTGGTGGTATGCCACGGTGGCCACGGTGGTGGTGGTGGTGTGCCACGGTGGCCACGGTGGTGGTGGTGGTGTGCCACGGTGGCCACGGTGGTGGTGGTGGTGTGCCACGGTGGCCTCGGTGGTGGTGGTGGCCGCTGCTACACGGCGCTGTAGGCAGCGGAGCCCGGCAGTGGATACCTGCCGGGCTCCATCTCGTCACCGGCGTCCCGCTCCTCCTCACCCTCACGGTCGTCCTCCACGCTGGGGCCGAGCACCCAGTCTACGGCGTGGGGGATATGGGGGTGGGGGGGAGGGGTAGGGAGGAGGGGTAGGGGGGGAGGGGTAGGGAGGAGGGGTAGGGGGGGGAGGGGTAGGGGGGGAGGGGGAGGGGGAGGGGTAGGGGGGAGGGGTAGGGGGGAGGGGTCACGTTGCTTCAACTGCTCGCTCAGATGCTATGACGAGGTGTCCCACAATGGAGTACGTCACGTGGTGGTGGTGGTGGTGACTCACCCACACAGTCGTGAACGAGGTCTATGACGAGGTGTCCCACAATGGAGTACGTCACGTGGTGGTGGTGACTCACCCACACAGTCGTGAACGAGGTCTATGACGAGGTGCCCCACAATGGAGTACGTCACGTGGTGGTGGTGGTGGTGACTCACCCACACAGTCGTGAACGAGGTCTATGACGAGGTGCCCCACAATGGAGTACGTCACGTGGTGGTGGTGGTGGTGACTCACCCACACAGTCGTGAACGAGGTCTATGACGAGGTGTCCCACAATGGAGTACGTCACGTGGTGGTGGTGGTGGTGACTCACCCACACAGTCGTGAACGAGGTCTATGACGAGGTGCCCCACAATGGAGTACGTCACGTGGTGGTGGTGGTGGTGACTCAC